TAAATAATCTTTGAATTTCTTCCAATCTTCTTCCACCGACTCTCCTCCCTGGTCACGGATTCTGCCAGTCATTTCCGCCAATTCCATGTAGTCCATCATTTTCATCTGCCATTCCTCCAGGAATTATTTGGCATTCTTACCGAGAAGCCATTTTTCTCCACTTGAAATCTCTAGCCCTGGGCTTTATAGCTGTTATGTACTGAAGTTCTCACCCTGGGCCAGCAGGGGGATACTGTAGATAGTTCAGGTCCACATATGCAAATAAGGGATCGAAAGTGACGTTCAGATAATTGGATAGTTACAGAAAGTTGTTACAGTTACATTGTACTGGAGCTCTATATAAGCAGGCTGGCTGAACCTTTCAGTCAGTTCTGTTCTGGCCTGTGAATAAACAAGAGCTGTTTGAAGAATCGCTGTGTTGTCTGATATGTTCACCCACAACTTAACAATAGCAGTTTAGCAGCAACTTGTGTTGGAAGGACATGTGTATGCTGCCATCCCATCAAATTTTCCCTTTTTTATTTAATGACTCTCAGAGAACGGTTGCTGCTCCTTCAAGCCCTGTACTAGGGAACTCCATGGCTCCTTCTATTCTTATTAAGGTTCCAGAGTGAACACAAAGGTTCAAATAATAGGAAATCAGTGAAGCCAAACAGGACTGGCACCAGACTTCAACGTGCTCTTAGCACAGTGCATCTTATTTGATACCATTTTAATCTAAATATTCACATCATTTTCCTAAAATGGCACCATGCTTGAGATTTTTGTCCATAATACATTTGCTTTATTGCAGGCAGTTGTTTTTATCAAATGCCTGACATTGGTGGGTTGCGTGAGGGGAAATATACCAAAGCTCATTCCAGGTAAGATTTGGTTGCTGATGGTGAGGAAGGACCTGACAAATGAGGGACCTAAGAATCAGCTATTCATGGATCCGGAACAGCTGTTGCTAACCCAAGTGAGAACTCTAAAGGGCCTTTTTCAGCAGTGATTGATTTGCCTGCTATGCCCTCTCCTGGAAAACAGAAACCTTACACCCATTAGACATGCATCGGTAAACTTCCAGATTATATAGTGGTGTTATGTACTGAGTTGAATAGGATCCAAACTGCAGCAGTCTGATTGGTCCTAGAACAATAGGATTCAGAATGCAGCAGTCTGATTGGTCCTATAACAATAGGATCCAGAATGCAGCAGTCTGATTGGTCCGCAGGAGCCACCCAATCCAACTCCAGGTGGAAGTGAATTCGCAACCTGATTGGCCTACAGGAGAATCCTGGAATTAGCCAATCACGTGGGGCCCATTGTGTAAATAATGTATATAAAGCAGACATTCCAGGAGAAATTCCATTCCTCACTACTATGAGCTGAATAAAGAGCATGAAATCCACACTCGACTCCGAGTATATTTCAAGTGGGGATGTGTATGTGAAGTTGCTCACATCAAGAAAGTTTAGCTGGTCCAGAATGTAGCTGCCCAGTTAACTGTTGCCAGGCCTATGGATTATGTTTTACACCAGTATTGAGAAATCTGCCTTGGCTGCCCACTCGCATACGTGAATAAATTTCTACAGAGTTTGGGTAGTTCTGTTCCTATAATTACCAACAAGAAAGCTTCTGGGTTTTGTTTTGTTTTTTACAAACGTTATTTAAAACATATTTTTCAATTCAATTCTCAGAAGGCTTTCTGTACGTTCTGAAATCTGGTGGGACTCCTCCTGCAGTTCCGTATGATTACGCCTGATTTGAGGGTCCATTAGATGACAGCCTTAAGAACCAAATTGCAAACATCCCATACATTGCTTAAAGTGCAATTTGGGTTTCCACCTCAGCCTGACAAATTCGTTTGCTGCATCAACTGGGCAGAAAAAGTAGGACAGTAGAAAGCAGCACCCACATTTATGCCAAATTTGAGGTTGTCTTTTAGAATGTTGTTTCTTTAGGGAAATCACTCAGAAAGCTAATTTGCTGGCAAATTATGGTAGGGTTTCTGAACAGGCAGGGATTTGCTTACAAGACCACACGGATTATAATCTAATTTAGATTTGATGGGCCAGAAAGCAAAGCGCAGAGCTGTTCTGTGACGTCACGAAGAGATGGTCCAATCGGGTGCAGCTGAAGTGGCTGTTGCCTAGAGAACTCGTGGCAACAGCAACTTTCGTCTCGTGACGTACAAGAACGCGGCGACTGCGGGAGAGCGTCGCATATAGGAACCGTCACGTGACCGCAAAAAAGAGGCGCGTCGCATTGTTTGCGTTGATTCTAATCCGTAACGTAGAGATAGGAAAATGGAAGAGTCACAATTTTCAGAGGGAGAGAGGAGATGTAGTGGGTTTAACAAAAATAACGGTCTTGTGGCACCTGAAAGACTGGCCACGTTATTACAGCCTACTCTTCCCTGAATCAGAGTTCACTTAGAATAACAGAATCACAGAATTGTAGAGCTTGGAAGGGACCCCATCAGTAGCATGTAGTTACACATGGGTGAAAAAATAATAATAATGTTGGAGTCAAATGGCCATGGGATTCAAAAAGTACAGTCTGTAATATTTCAGTTATTAGACCTGGCTTAAATGATTGCAAAACGAGCACAGGAATCCTTTAGAGAAGGCTGGGGAAAGCCAGCCAGATGGGCGGGGTATAAATAGTAAAACATTATAACATATTATTATTATTACTCTTCTACATTCCGACCCCCTCCACAGCTGTGCGTGTATATATTTCCTTGCAATATAGGATTTCACTTCATCTGATGAAACAGACTCTCTGGGGAAAGCTTTTTTCTTGTTTTCTTTAAGACACCACAAAGCTTACTTGTTTCCACAGCAGCAGCAGCAGTTTGCGGCAACATAATATCATAAGTAGGGACACGAGTGGCGCTGTCGGTTAAACCACAGAGTCTAGGGGTTGCCGATCAGAAGGTCGGTGGTTCGAATCCCTGTGACGGGGTGAGCTCCCGTTGCTCGGTCCCTGCTCCTGCCAACCTAGCAGTTCGAAAGCACGTCAAAGTGCAAGTAGATAAATAGGTACTGCTCCGGCGGGAAGGTAAACGGCATTTCCGTGTGCTGCTCTGGTTCGCCAGAAGCGGCTTAGTCATGCTGGCCACATGGCTGTACGCCAGCTCCCTCGGCCAATAAAGCAAGATGAACCCCGCAACCCCAGAGTCGGCCACGACTGGACCTAATGGTCAGGGGTCCCTTTACCTTTAATATCATAAGTACTGATTAAGTTAACGTCTGTGATGAGAAAGGATGGAAACCGAGGATAAATGGCCGAAATATTGGGAAATCTTGGAACAAGATGGAGATAGACTGAAATTGCAGAGTTTTGAGAAATTAAAAAACAAAGTGCGAGATTGGCTTCATTATTATCAGATAATGGAGGCATATAATTTGGATAAGAAAATTGGCTTCCAGGTGGAGAAATCAAAATTAGAAACAGAACTGTTAGAACCCAAAACTAAGATTTTGTCAAAGATGTATAACTTGCTGTTGAAATGGAATACTCAGGATGAAACGGTGAAATCAGCTATGATTAAATGGGCACAAGATGTTGGACATAACATAATGATGGCTGACTGGGAACAGTTATGGACCACAGGTATGAAGTTTACGGCATGCAATGCCTTAAGAGAAAATATTATGAAAATGATATACAGGTGGTACATGACCCCAGTCAAGCTTGCAAAAATCTACCATTTGCCCGATAATAAATGTTGGAAATGTAAAGAAACTGAAGGTACATTCTTTCACCTTTGGTGGACGTGCCCCAGGATTAAGGCTTTCTGGGAGATGATTTATAATGAATTGAAAAAGGTATTCAAATATACCTTCTTGAAGAAACCAGAGGCCTTTCTCCTGGGCATAGTTGGCCAATCGGTGTTAAAGAAGGATAGAACTTTCTTTATGTATGCCACAACAGCAGCAAGAATACTTATTGCAAAGTACTGGAAGACACAAGACCTACCCACTCTAGAAGAATGGCAGATGAAGGTGATGGACTATATGGAACTGGCGGAAATGACTGGCAGAATCCATGACCAGGGAGAAGAGTCGGTGGAAGAAGATTGGAAGAAATTTAAAGACTATTTACAGAAATACTGCAAAATTAATGAATGCTAGAATGATGTTGGATTGAAGTTAAGTGGTTTTTAGCTGTAATGGTATAAGGAATATGAAAAAATGGATTTTTAACAGGTAAAAATTTAATGCTATAATATATTAAGATTAAAGATCAGGATAAAACAAAGAGGGAAAGGATTTGCTGAACTAATAAATTGAACTGGAATACAAAAAAGGGAGGTATGAGGAGGTCCAGGAAACAAGCAAATGAAAGATAAGTAATGGAAAGATTGAATTGCTTTTAACTATTTTTATTTTGTATTTTTTCTTTTTTCTTTTTCTATTTTGTAATACTGTGAAAACCTTAATAAATATCTTTTTAAAAAAAGAGAGAGAGAGAAAGGATGGAAACCGTTGCCTTTAATCTGAATCGAAGAATAACTGAGCAGTTCCATGTTGAAATTTCCCTTTATAGTCTGGAGAGGGGTTGCTATACATAAAATTTCGAAAGCAATTTCCATTGATTGAATTCAACGTGTATTTCTTATTTCCACTCTGGAGGTGTGTGGGGGTAGGTAGTGTGATGCCCCACATTGGTGTGGCAGGAGAGGATAGCAGGGAAGATTCAAGGGTAATCAAACAAATATCTAAAACATTTCACTGTAGCATAGTATCAGAAACATATTTTTTTTAATTGCAGAATTGGGATAGGCATCTATTCAAAACGAGAGCAAGGGCATCGAGTGGTACTGGGAACAATCCTAGTTGCGTTTTCCAATGTATTTCTTACCGATGTGGGAGGGGGGGAATCGGCAAATTTTCATTCTGAAAGTGTGGCTCAGAGGGGGGGGGGGGAGTGTAAAGGAACCCGGAATTCCATAAACCTCGGCAGTCTACAGCCATAAGTCTATGAGGGTCGCGATAGGTCGCCTGAGGGGGGAATGACCCCGGAAGCGGATGTGCGCAGCGGAAGTGGCTGGGCGGAAGTGGCGGCTTGTTGCTGTGCGCCTGGGTTTGGAGTTCTCCGGGTGGCGACGGGCCGTTAGTTCATCATGTCGATCGAAATCGAGTCGTCGGAGTGAGTTCCCTGACTGGGCTCGGGGAGCGGGCGGCGTTGCTTTCGTGCCTCGGCGCCAGGCCCCTTCCATGCCCCGCTCCCGCGCCTTTGCCCTCTTCCGGCAGACCCATTTCTTGCTCGTGCCCGTCGGGGCCAGCTTCAAACACCCCCCGCTCCCGGGTTGCCGAGGGACCTTTGTCATAGCTTGGTTGCAGTTGCTGGTACTCGGTGCGGGTGCATTTGCTCTGAGGCCACACGCGCAGTCCTGCAGGGGGTTGGACTAGATGACCCTCGTGGTCTCTTAGGGCCGCGGGTGCCGCTGTGGTCAAAACCCAGTGCCGCATATACGTATAAGCTAAATAATAAAATACAGTGGTACCTCGGGTTAAGTACTTAATTCGTTCCGGATGTCTGTTCTTAACCTGAAACTGTTCTGAACCTGAAGCACCACTTTAGCTAATGGGGCCTCCTGCTGCTGCTGTGCCGCCGCCGTGCAATTTCTGTTCTTATCCTGAGGTAAAGTTCTTAACCTGAAGCACTATTTCTGGGTTAGCGGAGTCTGTAACCTGAAGTGAATGTAACCTGAAGTGTATGTAACCCGAGGTACCACTGTAATAATAATAGTAATAACAATAATAATAAATTTTATTTATATCCCGGCCAGCGGCGAGCTCAGGGCGGCTAACACCAAACATACAGTGGTACCTCAGATTACAGACGCTTCAGGTTACAGACTCCGCTAATCCAGAAATAGTACCTCAGGTTAAGAACTTTGCTTCAGGATGAGAACAGAAATCGTGCTCCGGCGGCACGGCAGCAGCGGGAGGCCCCATTAGCTAAAGTGGTGCTTCAGGTTCAGAACAGTTTCAGGTTAAGAATGGACCTCCAGAACGAATTAAGTACTTAACCCAAGGTACCACTGTATTTTGCTAGGTGTTATGCACCATCTATAAAACATCTTTAGAATTTTTTCCTTTATGGCATCGCAAGCCGTAAATCACCAATTCTCATTCCATGATTTCCCCCATGATGATAATTGTGGGGTCTTCTAAGTCCTGAGTGCACCTCTTAGCTTTGAACCAGGATCTGATAAGTTTGAGGAAATGGACTGCTTATTCATTGGCTGCTGTATTTCCCCCCTTATTGCTCTGTATATGTCCTAGGACTGCACACACATACAAAATTTATTGCTGCTCCTGTTTATTTCGCTCAGTGTTATCCGACTGATTATGCAGTACCTGAAGGAGAACAGTCTGCATCGTGCCTTGGCCACTCTACAGGAAGAGACCACAGTGTCACTGAACACAGTGGACAGCATTGAGAGTTTTGTTGCAGATATTAACAGTGGCCATTGGGACACAGTACTACAGGCAATACAGTCATTAAAACTACCAGACAAAACACTTATTGATCTGTATGAGCAGGTAAGCACCCTTTCTACAGTAATATTAGTTCATATCTGATAGCACCTTTATCATTCACCAGAAAATAAATGGATTGTCTCTTTCTCTGTAGCTTTGCATTTATAGCTTTATCTCTGTGAAGATGTACCGTGTTTTTCGCACCATAGGACGCACCGGACAATAGGACGCACTTTGTTTTAGAGGGGGGAGAACAAGAAAAAAAAAATCTCCCCCTCTCTGCCCAGCGCCCCTTCAGCGAAGTGGCAGGAGGCACTGTGCAGAGAGGGGGAGAACTTTCCCCCTCTTGTTTTCCCGCTCTAAAACAAGGTGCCGTTTATGGTGCGTTCAGGCGGCTACCTTGGAAGCCTGGAGAGCGTGTGGGGTCGGTGTGCACTGACCCCTCTCGCTCTCCAGGCTTCAGGTTCCTTTCGACCTGCTCTCCAGCTGGGAGAGGGTCGCGGGGCTATGGCGTCTTCGCTCCATAGGACGCACACACATTTTCCCTTCATTTTTGAAGGGAAAAAAGTGCGTCCTATGGAGCGAAAAATACGGTAATGGGTTCCAACTAAGACTAAAATATTAGGTTTGAGAACAGTTGAACCAACTTTTTTCTGATGTTTGCTGTTTTAATTTTTTTACACTAATATATTTTGCAAGGAAATACATTGCAAGTTCATTAAAAAGTTAAGCTTTTAAAATACATGTATTGAAAAATAACAGTGGCATTAAAATGCTGTTACATTCTCAGTTTTTAACAGGCTGTCAGAATAAATAATTATTCACCTGTCTTCTAGACGTATGGTGGCTCATAAGGATACTATTTCTTAGCCTGCTCCTACTAAATACCAACCAAACCGTAGATGGAGATTATATCTATAATTGTTTCCCATCATCATGTGCTGACGAGAATATTATAGCCTCAAATTCTGTTGTTTCCACATCAGTGTCGTTGGCTGTTTGTGGTGAAGGGAAGGCATCTGTTTGTACTCGTATCTGTAATTCAAAAAACTAGCCTCATATCATAAATGGAGTCTCATAAAGTGAGACTGGGTAGATGCTGGAAGCATATTAATCTGGTCTTGATGCATTCAGGTGGGGTTCAGGAGTGACTCTCCTAGTATCAGTTGACTAATCCTTGTCATAATAAAGGCCAACTGAGCAAGATACGGATTTTGGTTATCTGAACCACATCTCCATTTCTGAAACCCGCATACTTAAGCTGCCTGAAACTTTGATCTTCTGTTTGTGCAGCTTGCTCTTCTACTGAATATGCATACCACATTAAACATTAATGCTGCTTACTAATGCTGTTTTTCTTCTGATATTTCAGGTAGTTTTGGAATTGATAGAGCTTCGTGAATTGGGTGCTGCCAGATCTCTCCTGAGACAAACTGACCCAATGATCATGCTAAAGCAAACTCAGCCAGAGCGTTACATCCACCTTGAAAACCTTTTGGCCAGGTCCTATTTTGATCCTCGTGAGGTATGCCTATACTAATCAAAAATCTATTTTTATATACAGTGGTACCGTGGTTCTCAAACTTAATCCGTTCCCGAAGTCCGTTCCAAAACCAAGGTGCGCTTTCCCATAGAAAGTAATTCAAAATGGATTAATCTGTTCCAGACTTTTAAAAACAGCAGTTTAACATGAATTTTACTATCTAACGAGACCATTGATCCATAAAATGAAAGCAATAAACAATGTACTGCCAGTCACAAAATCAATCAATCAATCAGTCAGTCAATCAATCAGTAGCTGAACTGGATTCCACACAGTCACAAAAAAGAGCCGTAAAAATGCAAAATAGCAAAAACAGACCTCAGCGTAACACTCAAATTGGAAGTGTGGCACTCAAAACGGAGCACGTTCGGCTTCCAAAAAAAGTTCGTGAACTGGAACACTTACTTCCGGGTTTGCAGTGTTTGGGTTCCAAGTTGTTTGAGTACCAAGGCGTTTGAGAACCAAGGTGCCACTGTATGTGTTACCTAGCGTTTCAATTGATAATGAAAGTTACCTTGATGGATAATGGGCTCTCCCGGCTCTCCCTCACTGAAAGTCTTTGGACTGGACTGGACAGCCATCTGCTGCGAAGGCTGTAGCTCTTGGTTGCCTACAGTGAGTAGGGCATTAGACTAGTTCGCCTCCAAGGTCCCCTTCAATTTTATGATCCTCATACGGATTAGGAATTCCATCAGAAATGATGCCTAATGTTTTCAGCAATTTGCTTTTTTGAGTAAGTGGCATGAGAGTGTAGGGTTGGTGTAGTGGTTCTAGGGGTTGCTCGTGCGTAAGCCGGTGCAAACGCCTGGCTAGGTTGCCTGAGTGAACCTTTTCCGTCCGGACAGCCACTCACCCGTGGCTGTCTCAGTCGCTGGTAGAATCCGTCAGTGGCCGTTTCTTAAACTTCTTCCAGCAAAGAAGCTCTTTGACGCCTAGTCTCCTCCTACTCTCTCTGCGCGGAAGCCTTCTGCGCAAGGAGGGCGTGGGCAGCGGAGGACCTCTACTCTCCCCGCTGGTCCCCGGCAAGGAGTCATGGGACCGCCTCGCCGCTTCCCCCATCTGCCCCCTTTCTCCACTGGTGCTACGCTGATTCTCTTCCCCAGAAGATGGGCTGCCTCTCCCAATCGCGGGACGCTCTCCGGAATCCCTCTGGATTTTGCTCTCTCCCTCTGGCACTGATGGCAGTTCCCTGACAGTTGGTACCATCAGGCCTCATTTGGGGGGTTCTCTACCTCTGTTTTCAATGGGAACCAGTGAAGGCGGTGAGCGTCCTGTGTGAGTGTCTGGAGGTGGTTGGAGGATGGATGGCGGCTAACAGACTGAGGTTGAATCCTGACAAGACAGAAGTACTGTTTCTGGGGGACGGGGCAGGCGGTTGTGGGGTACTCCCTAGTCCTGAATGGGATAACTGTGCCCTTGAAGGACCAGGTGCGCAGCCTGGGAGTCATTTTGGACTCACAGCTGTCCATGGAGGCACAGGTCAATTCTGTGTCCAGGGCAGCTGTCTACCAGCTCCACCTGGTACGCAGGCTGAGACCCTACCTGCCCACAGACTGTCTTGCCAGAGTGGTGCATGCTCTGGTTATCTCCGGCTTGGACTATTGAAATACGTGGGACTGCCTTTGAAGGTGACCCGGAAACTGCAACTAATCCAGAATGCGGCAGCTAGACTGGTGACTGGGAGTGGCCCCCGAGACCACATAACACCGGTCTTGAAAGACCTACATTGGCTCCCAGTACGTTTCCAAGCACAATTCAAAGTGTTGGTGTTGACCTTTAAAGCCCTAAACGGCCTTGGTCCAGTATACCTCAAGGAGCGTCTCCACCCCCATTGTTCTGCCCGGACACTGAGGTCCAGCACCGAGGGCCTTCCTGCAATTCCCTCACTGCAAGAAGCAAAGTTACAGGGAACCAGGCAGAGGGCCGTCTCAGTAGTGGCGCCCGCCCTGTGGAACGCCCTCCCAACAGATGTCAAAGAAATAAACAACTATCGGACTTTTAGAAGGCAGCCCTGTTTAGGGAAGCTTTTAATACTGGATGAATCATTGTATTTTAATATTCTGCTGGAAGCCACCCAGGGTGGCTAGGGAAACCCAGCCAGATGGGTGGGGTATAAATAATAAATTATTATTATTATTATTATTATTATTATTATTATTATTATTGTGTTGTGGACTTGTGGAGACCTTCTTCCCTTGTGTTTGCTGTGCTCCAAATGATGCCTTCCACTCTTTGCTTTTCTGGTTTAAGTTTATGGGAGATGGAAACAGTACAAATCTCTGCTTTGCCTTAATGAGCAAAACAGATTGATAGCTACTGGATAAGTAGTTTTACTTCATTCAAACTGGGAAGGGTCTTACCTTTTTTTAGAACAGTTGCTCCTGCCAAGTTCCTTCAGGCCCTGAAAACTAAACTGAGGCATTCCGTTGTTCTGTGTTAGGCATACCCAGATGGGAGCAGCAAAGAGAAGCGGAGAGCTGCGATTGCCCAAGCCTTGGCTGGTGAAGTCAGTGTTGTGCCTCCATCTCGTCTTATGGCATTGCTGGGACAGGTATTCTTCCCCCCCCCCCCCCGAGACTTACATTGTATGAAACTGAAAATAGAGATCCTTATTCATGAACTTCTGAAAGGTCCAATATACCTGAAGGAGCATCTCCACTCCCATTGTTCTGCCCAGACACTGAGAGGGCCTTCTGGCGGTTCCCTCGCTGCGAGAAGTCAAGTTACAGGGAACCAGGCAGAGGGCCTTCTCAGTAGTGGCACCCGCCCTGTGGAACACCCTTCCTTCAGATGTCAAGGAAAGAAACAACTATCTGACTTTTAGAAGACATCTGAAGGCAGCCCTGTTTAGGGAAGCTTTTATTGTTTAATAGGTTATTCTATTTTAATATTCTGTTGGAAGCCACCCAGAGTGGCTGGGGAAACCCAGCCAGATGGGCAGGATAGAAATAAATTATTATTATTATTATTATTATTATTATTATTATTATTATACAGTTAAATACAATTTGTTTTAGTAAAACCACAGTCTTCCAGTTCACATTTCAAAAGATTCTTTTCCTGGGATGGATTTAATTAATTAGTCTCAAGAACAAATCTATGTTCACAGACCCTTCTGCAGTGTAGGTGGATGATCATATTCAAGTTTTTACCACTAAAGAAAGGTCACAGCTGATGTTTGAGATGTAACTTCCCAATGTAAGGAATATCAATGTAAGGAATATTTAAAAAGTTACCAAGATCTGTGCTTTAATCCTCTGATTTCTCAGGCACTGAAATGGCAACAGCACCAGGGACTCCTTCCTCCTGGTATGACAATTGATTTGTTCCGAGGCAAAGCAGCTGTCAAAGATGTTGAAGAGGAAAAGTTCCCCACGCAACTGAGTCGGCATATTAAAGTGAGTCCCTAATTACCACTTGCGAGGAATGGGCCAGATTCTTCTTGAATTGTTGGCGTCCATCTGTCTCGAGAGACAATGGAGTACGTCTCCGAGGGTGAAGTCAAACCGCTGCCTTAGCAGCACCGAAGTGACTTCCCCTGGGCACATACCTGGAGTTTATTTAAGTAACATATCAAGGATACAGTACAGTCGTACCTTGGTTTTCGAACAGCTTAGTTCTCGAACGTTTTGGTTCCGAAATGCTGCAAACCTGGAAGTGGCTGTTCTGGTTTGCAAACTAGTTTTGGAAGCCGAACATCCGACGGGGCTTCCGTGGCTTCCGATTGGCTGCAGGAGATTCCTGTAGTTACATTCAAGATTGCTGACGGCTCTTGACTTTCAATCCCCTACATTTTAGTGATTAGTAATAATACCAGTTTTGAAATCCTCCTTGCATGCCCGTAAGCTCTGAAAAGCACACTTTCTCTCACTGATGCCAGTTTATATATATCTTGTAGATTCTGTTGCATGAAATGCAAAATAGACGTATCTTTTCATCTGGCTTTTGAGTCATATGGAACTTGGGCTGGATCTAGACACATAAAAAAAAAGTTTCAGGAAAACACGTTGTAAACCTCATAATGGGAACTCGTGTTGCCAAAGACAGATTTCTACATTGCCATCTGCTGACATAGTGTTATAATGCATTTTAAATGCTTTTAAAAAAACCTAATGTAGCCGAGTCCTTGGTCTGAATACCTGCTATATTTAAACACACAAGCAAGTTGATGAACACATTTGTAGCCTTTCTCATTTTTATATTTGTAGCTGATATTGGACTAGAAATCAACTGAGATCACTGGATGAAATAATTATTTTAACTGAAACTGTTTTTAGAAAAAAATAAATAAAGAGTTGTCCAGTAGCACCTTAGAGACCAATTAAGTTTGTTCTTGGTATAATCTTTTGTGTGCATGCACACTTCTTCAGATACATGCACATGAAAGCTTATACCAAGAACAAACTTAGTTGGGCTCTAAGGTGCTACTGGACAATTAATTTTTTTATATATTTTGACTGCGTCAGACCAACATGGCTACCTACCTGTTTTTAGAATGTTTTAACTGTTTCAGAATGCTTTTTTTTTTTAAGTGACTGTGTTTGCCTCCCTGGGCTACTTTGAGAGCAAAGACAGGATATAAATCAGATTATTAAACTAAAATGATTAGATTAAGTTAAATTAAAGATGCATTTTTTGACTCACTTGCATACCAGACATGTACCCAAGAATGCTAAGGGGGTTTGTTATGTTTCTTGCTCAAAATGGCATCCAGTGGTGATTGATTCCTTCCATCCACCTGTAGAGGGAGAATATAAAATAGGATTTTTATGATGAAAGTAACTTTCTTTGGCTAGGTTGAAAGCCATGAACCAAAGCATATACATAGTAATAGGGTTCAATCCAGATTTGCCCTTCTGCTAGCGCTGAATTTGCCCCTCTGCTACCGCCTGAGATCCAGCAGAGGCTTCCTGCTAGAGAAAGGGGGTCAGATGATCTCCCCCAATTCTCTCGCAAGCACTACCTCTTACATGTTCCTACTCTCAGAGCAGCTTCTCAGGGCACTGCAGGGAGAAGAAGGAATTGGTGAAAATCACCTCTCTGCTCCATTTCTCCAGCAGGAGCTGTACGCTGTGCAATACAAATATGTATCCAACCTATTTTAGTTCAATTTCTGGAAGTTATTCTGGAAGTCAATTTCTGGAAGCTTTATTGGCCGAGGGAACTGGTGTACAGCTTCCGGGTCATGTGGCCAGCATGACTAAGCCGCTTCTGGTGAACCAGAGCAGCACACGGAAACACCGTTTACCTTCCCGCTGGAGCGGTAACTATTTATCTACTTGTAGTTTGACATGCTTTTGAACTGCTAGGTTGGCAGGAGCAGGGACAGAGCAATGGGAGCTCACTCCGTCGCGGGGATTCGAACCGCCGACCTTCTGATCGGCAAGTCCTAGGCTCTGTGGTTTAACCCACAGCGCCACCTGTGTCCCTAACACCAGTTAGGCTTTCATAAATATTTCATATTAAATTGGTACAAAATCTGTATGCTGCAAGCATTGTGGATACTTTTCCTCATTCAGAAAGAAATGCACATTTTTTTAAAATAGCCGCAGAGTTTGAGCACTTAATGTGATGTGAGGGCTGTTCTATCATTATTTAGTCAAGGATAGTATCCTATTCCAGTGTCAGAGGGTTATTTGTATGAAATTGGCATTGCGTGAAATCCTTCTTTTTGTTCCCTTAAAACAGTTTGGCCAGAAGTCTCATGTGGAGTGTGCTCGATTTTCCCCAGATGGTCAGTATCTGGTCACTGGCTCTGTTGATGGGTTCATTGAAGTATGGAACTTCACCACTGGCAAAATAAGGAAGGTAAAACACTGCATGGCCTTTCAAGTGGATTTTTTTTAAAAATAATATTTATTAAAAAGCTTTTCCAACAATTTAAACACTACAAAAAAAAACAAAACCATACAATACAAAAACACTACATAACACTAACACATTAACCTAACAAAACATAACAAAAACAATTTAAAACACATCAAACAATTTCAAAATCTTATCTTTCATTCACTTGTTTCAACAACTTCCTCACACCTCCCTTTTTGTATTCCACTTCTATTAATTGTTTCAGCAATTCCTTTCCATCTTCAGGCCTTTCAAGTGGCTTGTTCAGTACATAGTTTGTGTTTTGACAGTAAAGCCCTCAGCTTGCATTCATTTAACTTGTGCGCATTCAGATTTAGACAATAAAATAAAACAAGGGAGGGGGGAATGAAGGGGGCAACATTCTGGGGGAAATTACTTTGGCAATCCCACCCACCATTGAACCCAGTGGGCTTTGACTATCTACGATTTTGGCATTAGGAGTGAGCCCCAGAACATAACCCCCACGTAAGTTGTGGGCTTACTGTACTAAATTCAGGTAAATAAGCAACGTTTATGATTTGTGTAGTTTCCCCAGTGGAACTGGAGTGTAAATGGGAGCTCTGAATGCACAGTGCATTTGAATTTTAAAACAATACAAATTTGACACTTGTCAGCATCATTTTCAAGACTGAGCAACTTGTTCAAGGTCCCAGGGCGGTCTGCAGCAATTTGAAATACAACACTAAAAACATTTAAAATGTACAATTACAAGAAAAATGGAATCACAAAAAATAGGGTGGGTTCTGAAAATATAGGTCTCAAGTGACAAAGATGTTATGTAGCTTCCAAACCAAGTGTTTTTGGGAATCCTGCTTTTACCATGTAACACCTAGTGCTAGATTTGGTAGACTAAATCTTGATTTAATTGCATTAAGAAGATGCATCTTCTATTATAAAGAATCTCATGTGGCAGACCTAAGAAAGGCTCCTAACTTTGAGCTCCACTGCTAGTCACATTAGTAAGGTAAAGGTAAAGGACCCCTGGACAGTTAAGTCCAGTCAGAAGCATCTGTGGGGTTGTGGCAGTCATCTCACTTCAGCTAAGGGAGCCGGCGTTTGTCCACAGACAGCTTTCCAGGTCATGTGGCCAGCATGACTGAACCGTTGTATGTCACAAAGGGACATTCCAACAGAAGCCGTTTACCTTCCCGCCACAGCAGTACCTATTTATCTACTTGCACTAGTGTGCTTTCGAACTGCTAGGTTGGCAGGAGCTGGGACAGAGCAACGGGAGCTCACCCCATCGCAGGGATTTGAACTGCCGACCTTCTGATCAGCAAGCCCAAGAGGCTCAGTGGTTTGGGCCACAGTGCCATTAGACAGTACTGTTTAGACATGAATAAGTCAGCTCCTTTGGTATGACTGTTATGCGCATTGCTGTTCCCGGTGGCTCTTGTTTCTCCTTCAGTGACTGATCCTTTGTTCATTACTTCATCTAGGATCTGAAGTACCAGGCTCAGGATAACTTTATGATGATGGATGATGCGGTTCTGTGCATGTGTTTCAGTAGGGATACAGAAATGCTGGCAACTGGAGCGCAGGATGGGAAGATCAAGGTATGCACTTTGGGGAATGAGAGGACAGAAAACCGATCCAGAGAGGTGATCTTAAGCCATGTTTCCTAAACTTCTGAGAGCTGAGGCCTACTTATTTCTGAATGAAAACAAGATTCACTGTTATACCCAGAAAGGGTAAGATTGGTCTAGCGCAGGGATCAGCAAACTACGGCCCACGGGCTGAATCAGGCCCAATTGCCTTCAGGATCTGGCCCACGGACTGTCCGTGGATCAGCGTGGGGTTTCTGTTCGTTCGGGCTGCGCCATTCCATCCCCCCCCCCCCACACACACACTGCGGCGGCGCCACTTCCCTCCCTCCTCCTGGTTTCTCCCCACCCTGCCTAGAGGAGGAAGGGGGCTGGCTGAGCGCCATTTTAAGCAGCCCCTCTCTGGAGCCAGCCCTTTCATGCCGCTCATCTTCCCGCCACTGCTGCCGCCCTGGTGCTCCTGTGGGTCAGAGAGCGGAGCAGACGAGCTCACTGCCTACCCACGAGAAGCAGCAGCGGTGGCGGCAGCCCCTGGGAAGGTAACAGCAGCGACTGGGGGTGGGGAGGAGGACTACTTCCCCCCCTCCCCTCTTTTTCCAGCTCCACACACACACACACACACACACCCCGGTGCTCCTTCTCTGGCCTGCTACAAGGTCTGAGGGACAGTGGACCGGCCCACACCTAAACAAAATTGCCTTCTCCTGGTCTAGTGTCTCTGCAGTCTCTTTCCTGATTGGAAGGCTTGTAGGTAGGGAGCTGTGCCTCATGAAGGTACATTACAGACAGCTCCCTTGGGGGAGGGTGTCATTCTGCTGCTTCTGTCCATCAGGAATCATCAAACAATTCTGTCACAACTGACGGAAAGACATAGCAGAATTACTTACCTTCTCACTCCACTAACACTGATTTGAAAGGACGCAAGGCCATAACAGTAACTCATGCAAAAATATCAGGCAGCTTCCTCTATGGCCAAAAGTTTGGGGTTCACAATAGTCTGTCTGTCTGATTGTGATTCTCTTGCAGACCACAGTTTCATTATGCAGTTACAGACCCAGTAAGAACAAATTAAAACATCCAAATCATGCAAGTTCTAACATACGATAAATTAAAATAGGTGGGATGTATATAAACTAGGGACAGAAACAATGATACAGTGGTGCCTTGCAAGACGAAATTAATCCGTTCCGCGAGTCTCTTCGTCTTGCGGTTCTCTCGTCTTGCGAAGCACGGCTATTAGCGGCTTAGCGGCTATTAACGGCTTAGCGGCTTTAAGAAAAAGGAAACAAACTCGCAAGAACTCGTAAGACTTTTTGTCTTGCGAAGCAAGCCCATAGGGAAATTCGTTTTGCGGAACGACTCAAAAAACGGAAAACTCTTTCGTCTAGCGAGTTTTTCGTCTTGTGAGGCATTCGTCTTGCGGGGCACCACTGTACAATGAAATTAAGAGAATTCCTTTACGAGTCTTGTTATAAGAAAAAGGAAAATCAGCAGGATCTTCTCATGTTTTTATAACAGTCAATAACAAGAAATTCCAACTAGCCAGAAGTTGGTGGCTTTCCAAATTGCACATGATTTTCTATTTCCCTCTCCTCTACCCAGGTTTGGAAGATTCAGAGTGGGCAGTGTTTGAGGCGATTCGAAAGAGCACACAGCAAAGGTGTCACCTGCCTGAGTTTTTCAAAGGACAGCAGTCAGATTCTTAGTGCCTCTTTTGACCAGACAATCAGGTACCTTTCATTTTGCTAAGTTTTGCTATTCAGCCTTACTTGGTTGGGCGACATTAATATAGCTTTTATTCTGCGGCAGGATTCATGGCTTGAAGTCTGGCAAGACTCTCAAAGAATTTCGTGGTCATTCGTCATTTGTTAACGAAGCCACATTTACACAGGATGGGCATTACATTATCAGCGCATCTTCGGATGGCACTGTGAAGGTAAGATCAGCCTACTGGCCTTTGGTAATTGTTTATTTTGCTTGTTAGCTGAAGTGTTTGCTCATTTCACTTTTGTAAAAAGAATTCTCACCAGCTTGGATTGCGGAAGTAAAACATACATTTAATACTTTCTATATCACAAGTCTTCTCTGCCTGTTGCAGCTTCTTAAAATATTATGAACTAGCATTTCTCTGAAGGGATGCCATAGTTGAAGCCAAGCTGTTTTCTAGAAGCATTGTATATACTTATTTGATTAATCAGCTGTTTAATAGGTTGTATTTTTTTGCTTGTTTTAAATACCAGACTGGACCTTCAGTACCAGACCTGAACCACCAATTACGGACCGGCTTTTTAAAATAAAAAAGTAGACCATCATCATTATTTTAAACTAGTAAAACAAAAAAATCAGTGCAATTCTGAAAAGTTTAATCTGCCACCATGATTCATAATGGCATCCAACTGTATCAAAACACAAACGAAAACCTGCTCCTTGATTACAGGAGCCACCATGCAAATTTGGTTGTATTTTAAGAAGTGTCGACGTGCATAGCAAACAAGCAACTTTCCAAAATATATAGTACATTTATATGTCTATGTTTTGAAGGGATGTGGTCCTCACCATATCCTGAAGCATTACTATCACTCTGCAGAACTGGGATTCCATTTCTTGGCATGCTGCTAAGGTGTGACAGAACTCTGGAGCTGGGCTTATATATGTTACGTGACTGTACTGATCTTTTCTCCTTTGTTCTGTTTTCCAGGTTTGGAATATGAAGACTACAGAGTGTTGTAACACTTTCAAATCACTCGGCAGCACAGCTGGGACAGACATCACCGTCAACAGTGTGGTTTTGCTGCCTAAGAATCCGGAACACTTTGTTGTTTGCAACAGATCAAACACAGTTGTCATTATGAACATGCAGGGGCAGGTATGTTATGGAGGATAATAGGTTTGAAATGACTTGGAACACAGCCTCTTGGATTTGGGAAGATTCTGTTTCTTTAGTCCAGATTCCTTCACTTCTCCCTTTCCAAATGTGACTAAATAGGATTCTGGACTCAATAAGTCTGATATTCTGGACTCCAAAAGTAATAATTGGAAGCCCTGTCCTCATTAGCATTCTCAGCAGTGCTCAAGCAGAGAATATGGGATGGATCCCTGAGGGTTATGCTGCTTCTGTTTTCCCTTAGGTCTAATTATGTGTTGTTTGATCTATGGGATCCTTCGGTATATTTCAAGCAATTCACTCACCCAACAAATGTGCAGCTGATTTAAATACCAATATATATTGACTTTGTAGATTGTGAGAAGCTTCAGCTCCGGTAAGAGGGAAGGTGGTGACTTTGTCTGCTGTGCCCTTTCTCCACGAGGCGAGTGGATCTACTGTGTGGGTGAAGACTTTGTGCTGTACTGTTTCAGCACAGTGACTGGCAAACTGGAGAGAACATTGACGGTGAGTAGCAGAGATGGCAGCATGTGGAACATAAGATGCGATGGTGCGTGCGCATGACATCATTTTGAGCGTCTGCGCATGCGCGAGCAGGGAAACCCGGAAGTAACGCGCTCCATTACTTCCGGGTTGCCGTGGAGCGCAACCTGAAAGCACTCAACCTGAAGCACATTCAACCCGAGGTATGACTGTATTTGTCACCTCTTCTATGGCAAGGATGGGGAATCCCAGGCCTGGAGGTGAAATGTGGCCCTTGAGGCCTCTCTTATGCGGCCCCAGAACTCTCCCCACGCCACATATCCTTCCTAGTCATTCCACTCACCAGCCCCGTTTTGCATCCTCCTTGAGGGCTTTTTCCTGGCTGGGATGCATCCTTGAACTCTGATGGTGCCTGCTGCTTGCCCAGGTAGAAGATGGAGAGAGGGATGTGTATGTAAATGTGTGTAGAAACTAGCTTACTGCACAAAGGTAAAATTCCATTCATTGCTCCACCTCTTCCTGCCTCTGGCCCTAACTACCTCCGGCATGTAGTTCCCACAAGATTGTACAGAAGGGATTGAGAAGCTCTTGCACTGGAAAAGTTTCCCCATGCCTGCCTTCTCTATGGCATCTTTGCTAGGCGGCTTATCCCCTATTTTCTTCTGCAAAGCTGTATAGACATGAATTACCTGGCAAATGACTTCCGATAAGCCTGCTTTAGAAGAACATTATCAGGCATATATATATTCCTCACTATGAACTGGGCAGGATGTACAAATTATTTCTGGGATGTTAATACTATGTCTTCACCCTTCACCCTTGCAGATTTCGAGTTAAATTCTACGAAAGATTAATTAACTTTCTTTTACACCCAGGTTCACGAAAAGGATGTTATTGGTATCGCTCACCATCCCCACCAGAACTTGATTGCTACCTATAGTGAAGATGGGCTGCTGAAACTCTGGAAACCATAAACTGATTTTTTAATTCCCTCCAGTGCATGGAGATCTTGAATGCAATGACACAGTGCGTTGCGGGGTGGTTTTGAGTTCCTAGGAGGTCCAAAAGTTATCTCAGCTGAATATTAATTTCATATTAAGATGTCCCAAAAAATTTGCAGTTTCTTTATTGCAAATAAATGCAATAAATCCAGTTAGTAGAATATTTGCTAGTTGCTTGCCCCGGTGTAGCACTTCACTGCAAAGGAAAAAAAACCCTTTAAGATGTATTTCCTTTTTGCTGCTTATTAGGGACATTAACCATAATTCAGTTTGTTTTAATTGAATGAATGTTAAATGTAAATATTGTTCTGGCTAAGGCAAAGTGAAGAAAAGCAAACATTTGGTGTTTCTGTGAAATTGATTTCATCCAAGTTCTGTCCCAACTATCCCTGTCTTTTACTGACAACATGGAAATAAGGTGTATTCTACTTAAAAGAGACAGATTTCTTGCCAAAGCTAAGCTTTTTAAAATTCTATCCGTTTTAATGGACATGTTAAGAAGATAATACGGTCCATTAACAGGCATGGGGCTTCAAAGCAATTAACTTTGGCTGGGTAGTGGATAAATCTTCTGAACTTCTCAAAATGAATACCCAGTAACGTTCTTGTGGATTTTTCTGCTCTGGGTAATACATTTGACTTTATTCTCCTTTTAAAATGTAGCTTTGTCTGGATTAGCTTAGAAAATACAGTTTTATAGATTTCGTTTTGCAATGTCCCAAAATATGTGTGAGCTTTAGTCCATCTTGCTTATTGTCCTAGTAAATAAGCCTCATCTAGCTAGTGTCTGGTCTTGATCTGAAGCCTGATGATCAGACTTGTTCAGTGGTCATTTTCTGATTTCTAGACTTGTGTAGCTTTTATTTGTAGCCATTTGTTTGGTGGTACTTTATTTTTTAAGTGTGCCTATTCTACAATAAAGTATTACTACAAAAGCATCTGACTTGTGTAGGGGGTCTAGCTTTCCTTTTTGAACTTGAGATTCTACTGTAAAGGCTGTTTTCCAGCCCTGGGAATGGTCACTGTTGTCAACACAGCTGCTGGCAGTTGCTTTTTTGAGTTGGGTCTCTTTGTACTTCACTACAGTGCAAGCAGCCACGTAGCATTCAAAATGTGATTAGGATCCTCACCTGATAACCTCCAGTTATCTGTTGCATGAACTAATTATGTTTACATATGTTGAGGCTGTTTAACACTGTTGCCTTATGTGTAGTTTTAACCAAGGGTTGTTCTTTATAAAGCAAATCATTGAGCATGTATCTGATGCAATGGGACAGTGCACCTGGCTGTTAGGTTGGTAGTTCCTGCCCATCCAGGGACGGCTGTGGGCAGGATTCCTGTATTGTGGGGGGTTGGACTAGATGATCCTTGGGGTTCCTCCCAACTCTACAATTTTATGTGCTTTTCCTCCCAAGCGTTGGGAACCATAGAGCAGGTTCTCTTATCCAATTCTTCTACAGTAGAAAGAAAAATAGGACAGATTTGCTACATATCCAACAGACCGATATAAGAAGAAGAGTAGAAGAGTTTGGATTTGATATCCTGCCTTTCACTCCCTTTAAGGAGTCTCAAAGCAGCTAACATTCTCCTTTCCCTTCCTCCCCCACAACAAACACTCTGTGAGGTGAGTGGGGCTAAGAGACTTCAAAGAAATGTGACTGGCCCAAGGTCACCCAGCAGCTGCATGTGGAGGAGCGGAGACGCGAACCTGGTTCCCCAGATTACGACCCCAGATTACGAGACTACCGCTTTTAACCACTACACCACACTGGCTCCCCAACATGCTAATAAAACATGCTAATATTGCAGTGTTTGGGTGGAAAGGCAGAGCCAGCTAAGCTCTTCTGGAGCAGATCGGACTACAACCCCCATAATTCCTTATCCCATTAGCTATGCTGGCTGGCATTTTTGCCTGTTTTGAATTGGTTTGGGGGGAAGTTGTGTTAGTTCAACCTCACTACCCACCCTTCCATTTTAAAAGAGAAGTGCCCTGAGGCTGCATATGAGGTGTTACCTAGAATCAGAGTTGGAAGGAACACTGAGGATCATCTAGTCCAACCTCCTCCAATGCAGGAAAAGGCAGCTGTCCCTTACAGGAACTGAACCTGTAACCATGGTGTCACCAGTACCATGCTCTGACCAGCTGAGCTATCCCAAGACTAGCAGCTTCTTATGATGTGCTCCGGAGTATGGAGGACAGGGAAAACTTTTTTTTTCTTGGGTGCAAATGCCAAGCAAATTATTTCCCCACAAAGTATTCTTGCTAACCATATTTGAGAGCTACTAGAGATAATAATAATAATTTATTATTTATACCCTGCCCATCTGGCTGGGCCTCCCCAGCCACTCTGGGCGGCTTCCATAGAAACCAAAAATACACTAAAATATCACACATTAAAAACTTCCCTGAACAGGGCTGCCTTAAGATGTCTTCTGAATGTCAGGTAGTTGTTTATCGCTTTGACATCTGCTGGAAGGGCGTTCCACAGGGCAGGCGCCACTACCAAGAAGGCCCTCTGCCTGGTTCCCTGTAGCTTTGCTTCTCGCAATGAGGGAACCGCCAGAAGGCCCTTGGCGCTGGACCTCAGCGTCCGGGCGGAACGATGGGGGTGGAGACGCTCCTTCAGGTATACTGGACCGAGGCAGTTTAGGGCTTTAAAGGTCAGCACCAACACTTTGAATTGTGCTCGGAAACGTACTGGGAGCCAATGGGAGATATGCCTTTGATGTTAAATGTTTTGCCAGTTAACTGTCTGGGCTTGCTGAGGATGTTCAGGTGGCTAAGAGTGACAAGCAGGAGCTATTCAGCGTTTTAATTGGGAACTGCCTGGGGCAGCAAGGTGCTGTGGACGAATCGTGACAGCATCAGGCTATATGATTCAGCAGATAAGCTGCTTAGAACAAGTAAAACAAAAATAGTTGGTTGAGGTGGGAGGCAGGCTAGTCATTCCAAGACCAGTTCTACAATAGGCTTTACAAGTTACCATGCTGTCATTAGAAGAGCTGTCCCAATTACATTAATGCTTTAAAAATTACTTTGTCACTTCATTTGAAATAGCCTAACTTGTTTAAAGAACTAATGCATTTCATAATGACCCCTATAATGCTAAAGTAGATGAATTGTAACGTTAAACAACATAATTGAGCATTCCCTACACATGGCCAGTGCCAAGAAATGGCTGTTTTAATAGGTACAAATTGCCACAAAGGCACAATTTTCCACTGCGTTAATATGTTTTGATTGGCGATTTAGGTAATAAAAAAGGAAGAGATGAAACTGTTAGAAGTAAGGACAGTATTTATTCCCCCTATAGGTTGAAACTCATGTTTGAAGTACAATATGCAAGCATTTTTTAGAAGTAACATACTCAATTAAACTAACTCATCCTTATCACAGGGACCATGATAATTTGCTATACAGCTTAATCAAACCCCAGACTAGAGACTAGAAAGAAGTCATAGATCAAAACCTCAAATATAAGATCATGGATGTGAAAAACTAGACTGCTATTGTTAGCTCACTTGCTCTGTATGTACAGCATGATGCACTATGTGCTGGGCTCATTCTTATAATAGGGATGTTTGCAATGGAATTCTTAAAAAAAAATTAATCAAGTGTCAGCTTAGGTAGAGCTGAGTCTCAAGAGGCACTTGAATCTATTAAGCCCCTGGCTTAGTTATCAAGGCCCAGCTATGAACTGGAATATCAAGCCATTTTAGTAAGCTATATCCCATTTAGTTATAAAACCAGTTAACATGTTGAAATGGCTAATTGTAGAGGTAGCCCTTATAAGAAACTTCACACAAAACTATCGGAATTCTTTTGACACTAGTTCAGTGTCAGAGTTAGGGATTTTCTAGAAGTACTCATGCAGTCTAAGAACTTGAATATTGTTAATAGGCTCACTTAAAGATAAATATTAATAAGTTCAAATGGTCCACCTTTCCTATTTAAAGTTGTAGATACTATATATTTTTCTGCCTTTAGTCCAAGAATAATCATGCTGCTTTCAGTTGCATGGTTGCCATTGTTCAAGGTGCCAAGTATTTCCTGTTCACAGCAAGCCTGAACATTCTGATCTTCATCATACATAAGCACTAGGCAGGCTGAATTTTCAACACCTTTCACCCATTAGCCATGTTAAGATCCTGTATAAAATTAACAGAGCATGTTTGCACAGCATTCTAGCTAAAGCTGGGGGTGGAGGGGGGGCTTTTACTTTCCAGCACAGGACAGTGTCTTGTGAAGTCTCAACCAGCCACAATACATCCAAAACACACCAACTTATTCTAGGAGCAGATGAATACAAAACTTTAATTTCACATTTTAAACATGAATCATAAATACATGTGCATTACTTCAAAGGGAATATAATTTATAATACTAAACAGAAATCACTGAATACTAAGCCAGTGCGTTTGCACACAATACACTTACAATGCACAAAATAAAAAAAGCCAGAGCAAAGTGGCTTCTAGTTTCCTTAAGAGGTCATACGGAAATATGAACATCATTCCAACTTGATTGAAGTGTAGCATTTTACTGATTTAAATTTGTTAACTTGATTTAAAAACAACTATGTTTTAAATATTACAGGGATGATGGCAAGTTTGAGAGAAAGTTTAGCAAATTTAGTCCTTCACTCATCCACAACTGACATACAGGGTAAGCAGCACAAGGGGAATCATGAGGCCATTTTAAGAGGTCTGGCACTGGACACCACCTCTGGGATGATGCTCATCATCTTCATAGGCTTCCCCATTGTAATGTTGTCTTCTTTCCTGAGATGGGTCAAAGTCCACCAACTCTACCTGATCCGCATCTTCAGTTTCTTCCACTTCTTGCCTTGGAGGTAGCAGCTTTTCTAATAGACACAGCTTATCTGAGGAAAGGAAGCCACCATCTGGAAAGATCACCTGAAATTAGGGCACACTATTAGCGCACTGCATGCATATTACATCTCTAGATAGGTGTGTGTATACAATACGGTTTGGCAGGCAGATATTCGCAAGCAGAAGGCACATTTGCGTAGCTATGTAAATTAATGTCAACTTTTTCTTTTAAAGCACAGTATATTAAACCTCACATGGCAGTATTTTCTAACATGAGTAGAAGCTGCTTTACTGAATAAATTTCATTTAATCGGTGGCTTTTGACAACTGCATCTTACCTTGAACTCAATGATCAGACGGCCTTTTTCATATGGCCTGCGATAGATGGGCATTCCTTCATTCAGTACACACTTAATATCTCCATGTTTAACAATATGACCTAAGAATCAAAAGGATAAAGGGTTATCCTCATCAATAAACCTGTTTTTATTAGCATTCTACTACTCTCTGTGCAGAGTAGTAAGACTATTCCCTGTGAAAAATGCTTAAAATTTAATAGATATAGCAAGGCAAGAGAGAATGAAGATGCCCAAACAACCATGCAGAAGTAGCTATGTCATGCAGAAAAGTGTAGTGAAACTTCACTTTGCACAGATATCACCAAGTATTGGAAGTGGAAACCGGCGAACAGAAGAGATCTTTGCTTCCAAATCAAACCGGGATTAATGTTCAGTATTGTATTAAGAGTACTTCCAACATCTATTTGCAAACTTTATTTCCATTTTATCATGTCAAAGAACAGCTGCAAGTGATGGTGACATTTCTCCAAGGCAATAGGAGTCTTATCACTGAAATACTATTTGTACACCGCTATAATTTTCTAAGACATTAAGAGCCCTGCAACATCAAGCCAAAGAACCACCAGAATCCTGATCTCACAGGGCCAACCAGATGGTGAAAGCTCTCACACAAGACTTGAGTGCAACACCACCCTCCTCACTTGTGGATCTCGGCAGCTGGTATTTCACTACTAGGTTTGACATACAGTATTTGTTGTGTCACAAGTCTGTATTCCATAGATTTGAGCGCATTTCATTTTCATGTGATTATTAGCTCAAAATATTACTTGGAAGTTTTACCACCCAAAGTAAGCAATAGGAAAATATACCAAAATACCTGTTCTTAATACTTACCAGGATGAGAAGTAATGATTATGGTTCGATTATCCAGCATTGTAATTGGCTTCTGAAAACCACACAGTGCCTCAACTAGTTGGATATCCATGCTCATGACCAAGTCTTCACCTCGTCTGTAGAGACAAAGAACTATCTGCCACAGGATGCCTTCCAAGTGGTGCTGGGACTACAATTCCTATCAGCCCCCCGCTAGCATAGTCAACAGTGAGGTGTGAGGGGAGCTGTAGTTCAGCAACATCTGGAGGGCACAACACTGGCTGCTCCTGAGTTAAGTTCAAATCCTTAACACAGTTCTGAGAACTTCACTCATACAGTCTTTACACATTTTGTTGTAGAAGCAACTCTTACTCCTGCAGGACTGGAAGTACCCCATAGTTTATTCTGATCCTAGGGCCTTTGAAGACCCACAGTTTTAGGGGGGGAGGGGCGGGAAATGCTATTGCAGCTGTCTGTTCTATTTCTTTTTATTTTTTTAATGTTTTTTATTAAAGATTTCTTAAGCATACAAAAACAGTGTGATGCCTTGTTCTTCAAGTTATGATTTCTACAATTCAGTTGCATTTGTTATGAGACATTAATGTTACATACAATGTTAGGTTAGGAAGAAAAGGGGAAAGGGGGGGAGTAGTGGGTGGGGTGGGGTGGTCATGTTTCTATGTCTGTTCTATTTCTAAGTGGTTAGCTTTGCTATAATGGATACTATGGATGTGAACGTAATGTATTAAACTGAAAAGCAACTACATCCAGTCACCCCGATTTTCAGAGCTTCACCACATCTCCCAAGCCTGCTTTAAAGCAAGTCAGTATCGCCCAGTACAGATGACTATTTTACCAACTAGCAAGGTTTTCTACCAGTTTTCTTATTCGCACCTGTGGTGACAAAAGCATGGCAAAACTGCACCCACCCACCACCATGGATACTAATGCACACTGAAGACTGAGGGTTTATCAAGCAATGAGGCTTCCCTACACTAACCACTTACTATCTCTGTCTTCTATATTAGCAGTCAGTGGGGAAAGTACTCCCAAGCTACAGAATCTTGTGGCTAGATTTGTATCAAGGAACAGCTTGTTTTCAGATTTTTTTCATCAGGCACATCACAGGTAAATCCACAGCTACAAAGGAACCACTGGGAATCAGCTTATGTTCCCAGTGGTTCCTTTGCAGATGTGTCGTGCGTTTGGCACCAAATTTAAACATGAGCCATGGCGGCAAAAGAACAATCAGGAGCACAGTAAACTATACCTATTACTGTGGTTCATTGAAGGCCTGGTCACTTTTAGATCTGGTACTCCAGCCAAAAGTGATTCCCCACCGCCTAATTTACATCTGTTACTCCTGAAGACCTATAGTAGCTGCCCCATCTCTAAGAGTAATGATTGGATTTTTAACTTTGCTCCTTTATGGCTATCCTCTATTCTCACTGAATTATTAAAACCTTATTCTCCAACTATAGCTTCCTCTGATCCAATAAACAAACCCTGAGACTGGCAACATACACATATAAAAACCAGCCCTTACATATTAACATAGTTAAAATTGCTATAGCAGTACGATCACAAATTTACCTTGTAAACAGAGTATGGTCCTTTTGATCCAGGACAATGATAATATCTCCTGGCTCCAATCCTGGTTCTTGGTCACCTTCACCATGAAAAGTTATCTTCTGACCATCTTTCATTCCTATTGCAAAAGCACCATGTAAGATGGAAAAATAGCACAAAAATATCATGGCATTATAGACATTAACAGGTATTACTATTCCTCACTGGCTTTTTGGTTAGGCTTTCTGCATTATGGACTATATTCTACCTGCAGCTCTGCCTGATTTTTATGCCTTTTAAATTTATTATTTACACACTCAAAGTATTCACTGGAGGTTGGAATCACAATATGACTAATGCTGTACAGCTTTAGTACAAAAGCTTTGGGAAACATATTAAAACTTTTATTAAGGTAGAATAAAAAATGTTTTAATATGTTTCCCAAAGCTTTTGTACTAAAGCTGTACAGCATTAGTCATATTGCGATTCCAACCTCCAATGAAAAGCAAGATTTAAACAGCCACCAAAGCCAAATTTCTGAACACTAACTATGACAGACACAGAACTCTCCCACAACTCTTAGGAACCACTATGTACCCACAATTAATGTGAGAACTAGGTGAACATCTTCCATCTCATATCTTTTTAAAAATTTACTTTTCAACCAATACATAACTTCAAGAACAAAAACAAAACTAACTCCAGAAGAGGGGGTCCCACACAACACCCAAAGCAAAGGGGTAGTATCTCGCATTGCACAATTGGCACTCTCCTTGGGCAATGGGACTTCCTCTATTCTCCTTATTGTCTCCCCAAAATCAGCTCCAGAAAAGAGAGGAAGAGGAAGTCCAGTTCCAGAAGTGAGTCTGTGGTATGAGTGGTAAGACAGGATGGATACGAGCCAAATAATTAATGGAAGTCATCACTCATCTTCCATCATGCAACACTCCACTATAGTGTGGTTTCCACCTAATCTTCTAAATTCTTTCAGGTTTTCCTGTTTATGCCTCTTGTAGGCACTTGTTAGGGACACGGGTGGCGCTGTGGGTTAAACCACAGAGCCTAGGACTTGCCGATCAGAAGGTTGGCGGTTCGAATCCCCGCAACGGAGCAAGCTCCCGTTGCTCGGTCCCTGCTCCTGCCAACCTAGCAGTTCGAAAGCATGTCAAAGTGCAAGTAGATAAATAGGTACTGCTCCAGCGGGAAGGTAAACGGCGTTTCCGTGCGCTGCTCTGGTTCGCCAGAAGTGGCTTAGTCATGCTGGCCACATGACCCGGAAGCTGTATGCCAGCTCCCTCAGCCAATAGTGAGATGAGCACCGCAACCCCAGAGTCGGCCACAACTGGACCTAATGGTCAGGGGTCCCTTTACCTTTAGGCACTTGTTAACATTCATTATGGTCTACGATTATCCAAGTAAATGTATAGGAGTGTTCAATAAATTTCATAAATGTACCAAACCATTAGCATGTAAATCTCTTACGTTTCAAATTATGATTTTATATTGTTAAAGCAGTGAAGTAAGTATTGCATATATTTCAATTCCCCCAGATTTTAAATAGCTTCCTCCTCATTCAGTTCTGCATTTTAGCAGTCTAACACCATTACACCATTTCCCTACTGTGCTGGTTACAGAGGTTCAGGGTTAGTAAAGCTACAAGCTGTTCATGTAGATTCAACCCTGCAAGGGATACTCTTCCCTTTCCTATGGCTATGGGGGAGTTTAGGAGAGACATGTACCTCATGGTTCACATCTACCAACCCTATTTTGAAACCCTTTTCCCAACCACCCAAAGAAACTTAAGTTGTTGGAAGCTTTTCTTCCATCACAACTGAAAGTCCAGAAGTTAACCTAGAATGAAACACCTCCTCCAAGCCTAATAATTCTCCCTCAGAACTCCTATAAAGCGTTCTCCAACACTCCTCCAGAATACTATGTTAATGGCTTAGGCACACCATTCTCCTCATCCCCAGTTGCCTGGTATTTGTGGCAGTGAGAATATTTCAACCTTCAGGGCGTGACAATCTCATGGCCAGTGCTCAGCCAGCTTCTGGTGAGTGAAACAAACCCAAAGCTTCCTCCCAATACCTGAGCAAGCAGTAAGCCAAAACAAACATTTACATCATCTCTCTGGCTTCAAGTTGAAGAGGGAAGGGGAAGATGCACTGACTTGTCTCTGTGGCAGCTTGGTGGCTCTGTCACCTCTTGAAGATTTGGGAGCTGAACAGAGACAGCAGAGGCACATCCTTTTGCCTTTGACTTTGTGTTCCAAGCTTTGGGGCAGGTCCCAAATTCCTGGTTGCCCAGAAAATTTGCATTTTTTGTATTCTCCAGGTATCTAAGCATGCAGAAACACTTATCTTGTCTGTAGGTTGGCTTATTTCACTGCCTTACTTGCAGGTCTGGGGCTTCCAACAGGGCTGCTAAAAGGAACAACTGCGTTGTTTTCCACAGAACTATGTTTCTTGACTGTGGAGATTCTCATGCAATTCTTCAACTTATCCAGATCATATCAGGTGTTTGGCTAAATTACCTGCAGGCTACTTGTATTACCAAGTAGGCTGCAATAGCAGCAGCAATTCTTCTGTAACTTTTGTGAGCATTCTCCATACTTGCTCCCTCAAAAATAATTGGGTTTAAAACTAGAGACCCAAAATGAGACACATACCTTTATCAATATGGACTTCCAGGATTTTCTTCTCTCTAACAATCTTCCTTCCAGTGCAGCTTTTACACCTGTCCTTGGGACTAATGCGCTCCCCGTGGCCCTGACATTCCATACAGACAGACTGGATCTGCTGAACCATTCCAGGCCCTATCTGATGAATTCTAATTTGCATGCCTGTTCCTCGGCAATTAAGGCAGCATTCCACAGCACCTTTCTTGCCGCCTCGGCCTAGAAAACAGCATCAAAGAAACTAAGCACAAGATCACTACATGCTTATTTCCCTCCCTTTACAACTGCACTGTCTCCAATATGACTTTTCACCTCCCTCATCCCAAAGAACAAAAGTTTATCAGTGTACCTTCACATTTGTCACAAATGACATTCTTCTGTAGAGCCAGTTTTCGCGTTGCTCCATTGTACAAGTCTTCTAGAGTAACTGACAACTGATGGACAACATTTTTACCTGTAAGGAAAGGCATTTTGTTGAGGACCAATATGATTGGCATCTGATTGTATTTCAGTTCAGGTTATGTTTTCCAATATCCATCAAATTCTTGCTTACCAATACATTTTAACTTTCAAATTCATTTTCTCCAACCTGGGAAGCCATTCTACGGTAAGTTTCAACTATGATCACTGCTAATTGACATTAAGCAAGATCCCTGATCCCACTGTAAGGGAGGGAGTTCTGTGCTGCCTGATCTAACCAGGGAAAGGTGGATTTCTTGAGAAATGGACAGAACAATCCAAATGGGCTGGGGAGAAGTAACATGGCAGATCTAGCACATCAGGCACATTTACGAAATAGTAATATATTGAACTTAGTGGAACATTTCCAAGTAAACATGAATAGCTTACATCAAGTCAGAAAACTCTTTTGGGATGCTATGTAAGTAAGGTGTTTATTGTGTGTTTTTAACAAAACAACAACACTCTTTGTAGCTCAACTTTTATCATTTATATACCTGATGTTCCACATTAGTAACTTTCAAATATCAGAAACTAGAATTTGAAGCACTTTATAAGTACTACAAATGGATATTTTAATAAAATTTAAGTCCTTAAGATTGGGATTTATTTTAACTGGAGTCACCAAAGCAACTCATGATATTAATAAGGTGCAGCTAAATGAGTGGGCCACCTTCACTTTCAAATGGAAATCTCATCTGTTCTCTTTGCCCATGCAATCTGCTTTTATTGGTTGAACTACAATCACTTGCATGAACTAGTTCAAAAAAAGTTGGACATTACCTCTCCTTTCTCTTTGCATTCTTCCACCACCTCCAAAGAACATATCAAATATATCCATGGGTGACCCAAAGCTGCTTCCAGTACCACCCTCTTTTATAGCTTGTTCACCACCTTTATCATACAAATCTCTTTTCTTAGGATCAGAAAGTACTTCATAGGCTTGGGAAATCTGTTTGAACTACAAGATTAAAAAGAAAAGTTTAACCTCTTTACAGAATATTCACAGATTACCTGTACTATTGTAACATTTCTTTAGCACCACTATCTGAACGTAATGCTCCACAGAAATCCAGCTGGCTGTTCAAGACTAAAGTCAGGCCTTTTAAATCATATTTGGAGTCGATGTGAAATTTCTAAAGGTTAAGATGGTCAGCCTTTCCATTTGTGAACCTTCAGAATTTGCAAGGACAGCAGTCATGCTTTTGCATTTAAGCTTTTCAAAGCTTCTTAAAAGCAAAAGACAAAGGTGTTTAGTCTTAAAAAGCCTTGAACTGATCAATGTTCTGATAACCATTTCGCACTATAGAGGGGTTGTTTTGCACAAGAGGCAAAGTAAGTTATAAAATATAAGAAGGTGCACAAGTACCAATAGCTTCTCATTTAGCAATATTAGCTCTCTGCTCACCACCTCCAAATTCTAAAGTATGTCACATGCTCAAACTAATAGTATGAAGCAATAGACCTAGACATGTCTATTGTATCAGTATCAGACTGTTATGCCCATTCTGGGAAGAGGATATGTATTACTGCCTGGGTACCAGAACCCAACCCACTCTAAATTCACAGCCATTAGGTACAATACCGACAAGTAGCTAGCAGATAAAGCATGTTTCACAAAACTAATTGGCAAAATGTCTGTGGTAGGGAAGGGGCTTGCACACTTGCCTTCTCGCCCTCATTAGGATTCTTATCAGGATGATATTTCAGTGCCAATTTCCTATAAGCTTTCTTCAGCTCCTCTTGGGAGGCATTGGGCTTTACCCCAAGCACATCATAATATGTGGTCTCCTTCACCATGGTTCAGCTGATACCTGCAACATGGAGGGAAGGATAACACTGACAAATAAGAACATGAAAAATACATCAAACAAACACAGTAAGCTAGAGGTATTTCCAGTCTCTCTCATAATTTCAGCATTCCTGTCTCCCAAATGCTTATGAAAGCAAACTCTTTTAGGGCTATCAGGCCAATAGCTTTTACCTTAAAAGGGAATTCCCTCACCCCAAGCTAACCAAACTTCTCTACAAAATAGCAATATGGTACCCCTTGTATACTTCACACTTCCACATGACAAGTGGGCTTCTCAACCCCTCCCCCACCAAACCCCTCAAAAGCACCTTTATTGGCGGGGAGGTGGAAGTTCCATCCCACAACCTTGGCCTCCCCGGCCCCCCACAACCACCTCACAAATTCACACCCAACCTGAGACCACTACAGAGAAATGCCCATCTTTATACAGTGGTACCTCTGGTTACGTACTTAATTCGTTCCGGAGGTCCGTTCTTAAGCTGAAGCACCACTTTAGGTAATGGGGCCTCCAGCTGCTGCCATACTGCCGAAGCAAGAGTTCTGTTCTCATTCTGAAGCAAAGTTCTGAACCCGGGGTACTATTTCTGGGTTAGCAAAGTCTGTAACCTGAAGCGTCTGTAACCCGAGGTACCACTGCATTTATTAAATCTGTACTTTTCCCTCTGTCTGACGACCACAGGGCAGCTCACGACATCTGACGAGAGACTCTTCCTGCTTCCCCCCCTCCCCCAACCCTTCCCCCTACAGACGGAAAAGGGGGCGAGCACCAACTCCATGCTTAGGAAGAGAAATCACCCCACAGCTGATCACACCCCCACACCTCTTTTGTGCTTCAAGGGGCTCTCCTCCTGAGAAGTCCTACCTGGAAAACGGTCACGACCGGCTTCTAGGCAACCCCCCCCCTCCACACCAACGGCCCAACCAGCCCCCCCTCCTCCCCACACCGTCTCACATTCCCTCCTTAGGGAAAGTTCAGTCACATTTCCCCCCTCCTCTCCCCCCCCTCCCCACGCCATGCCGGCGTCAGCTGACCAGCCGCGCGCCAGATCCCCTCCCCCTCCCCCCTTTCCTCACACAAGCGGAGAGGGGAGGGGGGTTGGGAGCAGCCGCGCAACTGCCCGCCCGTTCTGTGTGGGAAAAGCGGGCGTCGGTGGGGTAATTTTTTTGGGGGGGTGGGGAGAAGAGGCTGAAGCGGCCCCTTTCCGGCCCTCACTCACCATACGCTCGCGCCGCCGGCCGAGAATTTTTTTTAAAAAAATACCACACGAGGTCTAGCGCTTGAGGGAGCCGAGCAAGCAGCCTGCCGCTTCCTCTCACACAGAAGGCAAAAGGCAAGCCGCGACTTTTCTAGAAAGTTCCGAGCCGGTCTCAGCCTAGTCAGTATCCGGGGAGTTTTTTTTTTTTTTTCCCCTTTCTCAAGAAAGCTCCGCCCATTCCCGGAAGCCCCGCCTCCGGCCTCCTATCACCAACGCTTCTCATTCGGTGGCTTTTCTGCCAAACGGCGACGCGGAAAGCCAGCTCCTCCCCCTCGCGGGCTATTACGTCACCGGAGGGAACTACAAATCCCGCCATGCACCGGAGGCGGCCCTTTATCAGGTCGTGCCCGGCGGTATAAAGAAAGACTACAAGTTCCAAAATGCAACGGGGCTCTTGCTGACAAAGAAACTCGGCGCTGGCAATGGCCGCTGTTCAGGGAACGGTTCCGTTAACTTGCAAGCGCTTGTCCCGCATGTCCAGGATATCTCATAGAACAGTAGAGTTGGAAGGGTCCCCCGAGGGTCATCTAGTCCAACCCCCTACAATGCAGGGTGTGTGTCCCCCCCAATCCAATTTGAAACCATACTGGACCCTGCTTGGCTTTGCAAAACATGCTGGCGGTTTTATTGCTGCAAAACTTGGTTGGCTTCTGCCACTAATCTTGTTCCTTCCTAGTATGTCGTGCCTGGAGAACATGAGGGTTTTATTTATTTGTTTAATAAAATTTATACACTACTTGATTGTAGAGTGTGTAAAAAGTAACTCACAAATGTAAATGGTAATACAGTACTGTACAGTAATTCTATGAGGGCAAACTAGGAGCTAACACAATGTGACAAACATCAGACACAACAGAAACATTGTGGACCAGCAGAAGGTGGAGTTTTAAACGCCACTTTTACAGGAAGCTCACGGTATATCCGAAATAGTTATGTAGGAGGAAATTTCAGGAGTAACTTGTCAGGCAAGCTACACCTCCTCGAATACCGTCTCCCACACAATGATGAAATGTCCCACTTTTACATCTTGCCACCCAACTTCCTAATAAATAGTTTTTCCAGTGAAGGACTCTGTGACAAAGCAAAACGAAGTTCCAGCTGATTTCTGTAAACATTTATTACATTCAAATGCACAGAGGTGTTCTGGAATAACGAATGGTCTCTCTCTCTCTCTTTCCTGAGAAGTACCAGTGTCTACTTGGACTGAACACAGAATTTCTGCCGCGATATATTACTTCATCTGCAATCACAATTGTAGGATCTCCTACAACAATTACAACACAAAATTATATCAACATATTTTGCTACTTATACTGCTAATACAGCATACGGAAGTTACGTTACATATAAAATACTAAAAAAGCTGGCTCTTTAAAATTAGCCTGGCAAACCTAATCCTGCATTTTTTTATTAAGGCTTTGCATTCAACTAGTTAAGCAAAAATAAGGTGCAGAAGAATTTTAGTGCAATGCAATCCGCACCATACCTAGGGTGGTCCCCAAACCCTAGGGAAATCCAGCCCCCCACCCGCCATACTGAAAGTTGCTCACGACCAGCTCCATTGAGCGAGCAACTTCCTCCTTGCACTTTGGAGGAGGCTGGCTCCGCCTCCCAGCCGGCGGGCGCAGCGCTGCTCACGCGGAATCGAAAGAGCGGGTTTGATTGGCTACTGGGCAGCAAAGGGAGCTGCTATTGGACAGCGGCGTCCGGGCGGAGGCGGGCGGCGATGGCAGCGTGGAGGTGAGCGGAAGCCCAGGCGCGGGCCGGGCTGGCGGCGGGCAGGAGGAGCCGGGGGCCGGGCGGTGTCGCTGGGGTGTGTTGTGGGAGGCGGGCGACGTACCGAAGGCCGGAAGGGAAGGGAGGGGAGTCTGGAAAAATGATGAGCATCTCCAGATGGTCCCAATCTGTTGTCATTTTTCCTGCTAGTATGGGGGGTGGGGCGTGTCATTTTAGGGGCAGAAACTTAATTTTTGCAATTTTTTTTCAGTGGGGGGGGGTCCTTAAAAATACATTTTCGGATGTGAGGAATTAAGACCTGTTATTTCTGTGATCGGGCAACATTTCGCTTCCTAAGAGAGTACGCTTGGTGAAGCACATAAACTGCTTTGGGGAAACCCAAGAGTTTAAATGTGACCTTCTGAAGCTGTCAGGCAATGCTAAATAATAATAAAAATACATAATTTAAATGATATTAATATAACGGGCAAGTACTTGGTAATATGCTGCTTGCCAAGCAAAACTGAGTTGTATTAATTTAACCAATCCTTTTGAATTCCCATGTCATGTTAAAACTTTATTTAGCACCCCTCATTTTGGGAATTGAAAGGTGGAAAATTCAGCACACCCTTTTGTGTGCACTCAGACAGTGGCTCATTCTGCCCAGAGCCACCCACCCACAGTTCCTGATCTGCAGCTGTTTATTTCATGCTGAAGTTCACTGCGCATTGAACTCCTTGGAATTTATTTCTTGGGAAATGGGAACAAGGCTGCAAAAGCTTTTATTAGGCCAGCCAAAAAAGTATGCAGGCCTTCTGAGTTCTTAAGAGCTCTAATATGGGGTAAGTGGTAAGCAGAACAATAACCTGAAGGAAGGAAGTGGGATTTGAACATACCCACACTCCAAAACGCGGGTGGTGCTGTGGGTTAAACCAGAGAGCCTAGGGCTTGCCGATCAGAAGGCTAGTGGTTCGAATCCCCACGACGGGGTGAGCTCCTGTTCGGTCCCTGCTCCTGCCAACCTAGCAGTCCGAAAGCACATCAAAGTGCAAGTAGATAAATAGGTGCCGCTCTGGCGGGAAGGTAAACGGCGTTTCCGTGTGCTGCTCTGGTTCGCCAGAAGTGGCTTAGTCATGCTGGCCACATGACCTGGAAGCTGTACGCCGGCTCCCTTGGCCAATAAAGTGAGATGAGCGCCGCAACCCCAGAGTTGGCCACGACTGGACCTAATGGTCAGAGGTTCCTTTACCCTTTACTTTTTCCTTTACCTTACACTCCAAATATCACCCCAAATCAAATGCCTATATCTCCAGGAAGCCTCTGTGTCCCCTATAAGTGGTTGTATGCCAATAATCTAGTTTAAAACAATTTTGTGTGCAACTCACTGTAAAGTGTGATGCCCTCCTCTTACCCTGCACGTATTGAAAAGGAATGAGGTGACTAGCTGTGCTCCCTCACCCTGACAATTACCATTGGACCACCCCAAATCATTTATTTTTAATCATACAAAGAAGCTGCTGCACACTGCTTCCCGTTCAAAATATCCACTTGTGCACAAGGCATTGTATTTACTTATTCAGGATTCATTTGCATTTCTGAACTGAGTAAGAAATTGGGAATTATAATGGAAAACCTAAGAATAATCTTTAATTTTGTTCTTGTCCCTTACTCCCAATTTCTGACGGGCTTTGCAGGCTGAGTCCTGGTTAAAATGAAAGCAAATTAATAACTTTCACAATTGAATCTTGTTGAGGGGGAGAAACTATAGACAGTGCATTTGTAAACATGTTTACTTGGAAGTAGGACCCATTGAACCATGGTAGGCATGTTTAGGACTACAGTCAGAATTCGTTTGTTTCTATGATCATAGCTGAATTTCTATGAACAGTTACTTCTGCTTAACTGTATTCATTTAGCATTTGCACGTAGCCCTGTGCCATGGTTAATAGTCGCAAGCGAAACTTAGAGCCTCATCAACCAAAAATCTTAAATATGCCTGTCAGAGGCAGGTTCCCAACCTTGTTCCTGAAGGAACTTCCTTCTGAAGCAATTATCCTGTAGGAGGCCAGAACTAATTTGTGGGTTGCTAGTTGGAAATTACAGGCATACTTCAAAGCTGAGGCTTAATAAATGTTTTAAAGTAGTAAATATTAAAAGTAATGAGATTGTTCTACAGGTTGTATTCAAGTGTATATGTATAAACAACACTGTTACAATGTGCTTGCTTGTCCTTTTAGGATATAAAACTCTGCATTTTTGTTTATGGAGCTTAAGCATACTTACTTGCAATTAAATCTTACCAGTTTTAATATGACATTTTTAGGTAAATAGTTGAGGTTGGATTGGTCTTGTGCATGTAATATTTGAAACTATTCTGTATCTTAATGCTATTTCTGCACTGATGAAGTATTTGTGTTCTGTAAGTCTCGGTTTTCTTCCACCTGCAGAGAGATTGAATTCTAAAGATTATTTCATTTTTGTTTTATTTTAGACATTTATATGCTGCTTAATGATTTGCATTTCTAAGCAGTGTGCATAAAAACAATCCACAGAAAGTGGGATGATAAAACAACAACAATTCATAACAGAACAAAACACTACCTTAATATTCCCTCTGGGGCAAGAAAGTCTCAGTCATGTGCCTTAGTCAAGTTCAGCAAGGAGGGTGCCTGTCTAATCTCAGTTAGGGAGTTCCACAAGCTTGCCCCCACTACGCTGAATGAAAGATTAAGACCTATCCAATGAGCACTGTAAAATAAAATATAGATTTTATGGAAAACGTGTGGCTCGCTTGTTCCCAAGCTGAATTTAAGATTCATTTAGTAAAACTGAGTATTTATTTTTTCCCTTCTTTCTTTTCTCCCTTGAGCACAATGCGTGTGTGCTGGCTTGTGAGCAAAGATAGAGCCTGTCAGCGAATTAAACTGCCACATTTAGAAATGGTGATGCTAGGGCGTGGGCCCGAAACGGAGATAACAGACAAGAAGTGTTCCCGAAGACAAGGTAAAGTGGAGATGAAGGTTGCAATCCTAAACATACTAGGGAGTAACTCCCGCTAAACTCAGTAGTCCTCACTCCTGAGTAAAAATGCTTAGGATTGATTTCTTTTGGTGAAGCGTCATAAGTTATTTGAAGCTAAATAGTTTGCAGGGGGTGCTGCTATAGGGCTAAAGGAGAGGCTAAAAGACCGAGAGCTTCCACTAAACTTCCTAGGGCTGCGGTCCTAACCCCCACGTGCAAAATGTTAAGACTTATTTCATAGTAGGCACAGTTAGGATTGTGCTGTTGGTAATACAGTCCTACCTTGGATCCCGAACGCCTTGGATGTTTTGGCTCCCGAATGCCGCAAACCTGGAAGTGAGTGTTTGTGAACGTTCTTTGGAACCTGAACGTCCGACGGGGCTTCCGCGGCGTCCGATTGGCTGCAGGAACTTCCTGCAACCAATCGGAAGCCGCACTTTTGTTTCTGAATGTTTTGGAAGTCGAAAGGACTTCCGGAACGGATTCCGTCCGACTTCCAAGGTACAGCTGCATTAGGAAGGTGACACAGCCCTCTGTTTGCCACATCAGAATGAGAAAACCAACATGGATCACCACAAGAAATACTTTGAACACTCTGAAGAACTAATGCTAAGTAATATTAAAACCTCCAAAATTCTCTACATTTCGCAGAACAAAATAGAAGCACGGGAAGTTGCTTTATATAAAAAGACTAAGAGGCAGAGGTGCTGGACTTCCCCTTTCCACCGACTGCACCTGATTTGGCACACAGAGTTGGTGGAGAAGTCAATTCGTCACAACAAGCTTGTAGAGTCGCAGTGCCAGGCCAACTTACAAAAATATGGTTCCTGTACGTGTCTTGCAGAAATAAAATATTAGCTGTGACTCCTGCAATGCAGGGGTTGGGCTAGATAACTCTTCCAACTGTGAAATTTTATGAGTCAGACCATGAACCCATTTAGCTCAGTAATATCTACATAGACTAGCAGTGACTCCGGAATTTCACTGGTTTCTCCCAACCCTATGTGTAGACGTTGGGGATTGAACCTGGGAAATGAGGTGCCAGAACTCATATGTTGATAAAAGTGCCATGGGCAGAAAAACAAACAGACACAAAAGGAGAGAGATGCCAATACTCTATACCAGTAAATGATGTCATAAAAATGCACTGCTTATAATACACCTGTTCTCTATAAGTTTAGATTCCCACCTGCACGTTGCAAAAAGGTCTTTCCTTTTTTGAACATCATATTAATTTATAGCCTGCAATTGTCTGCCTTGCATTGGCTCTTCGCACAGGATGTATTAGCAAACCTGTGCTATAAAATGCAAGTAAGTCGAGAGAATGCTTGATCTGGTTGCCTTTGTTACAGAGCAACACAATCAGTTCACCAACATTTACTGTCTGGATTGATATGGGAAGCAGCACACTGACATTTTGCACCCATAACTTCTAGAGAGGGCGGGCTGGAGCTGAAATCTGAAGTGTGTGTACGCTGATAAAGTTTGGAAAAGGCATTTCCCCCCCCCAAAAAAGGCGTAGCAAGAATGGGTGTTTTGCTGCAACAGGCACTAGACTATAAGGGCCACCCCCAGTAAATAGGGAGAGGCGGAGAGATGGGTTGAATCCAGCGCCACATGCCCAGAGTTCCAGGTGTTACTTCCACTTATCCCTGTGCGCCCTTCAGAATCTCAAAGCAGGCAAATCTGCTCTGGAGGGTCCTTCAGTCCTCCGGAACAGATGTGAAACAGATGGAGTGAAAGACTGGGCATCAGTAAAGTGTGATCGCACTTCGTGGAGTCATATACTCCTGAGCTTAATTTATTTTCCAGGCTAGTGGAGCAGGCCTTGATTTTCACGGCTCATGAATAAGTTGATGGACACCTGCCGCTTACTTTCTAAATTTAGTAAAATTAAATTAAGGTGTTTGCTCTTTGGGATCAACCTGTCCTCCATCCCCAGTCCTTTCTGGTTAGTATACCCTTCAGCATAAAATGTTGGGGCATGGGGGGGGAGGCCTAACGTCACTCTCTGTCACTTTTCTTTTCAGTACAGCTAAAAGCAGACTGCAACAAAGGGTATGTCCAGGTTAAACAGGTATGTCCTTTCCTTCGCACGCAGGAATGCTGAGAGTACTTTGTGAAGCTTAAGTGGAAGGGCAGAAATGCTTGTGCCCTGCGGTTTATGCCAGTTTCATCTGCTTTGAAAGCATAACTTCGCTTTGCACTCAGAAATCCAAAAGAGCTTTGGGCGGCGCTTTCAGAGGTCAAGGGCTATCACTGTCCTCGCCAACCTATGTTTTTGGACTACAACTCCCATCATGCTGGCTGGGGCTGATGGGAATTGTAGTCCAAAACATCTGGAGGGGGCACCAGGTGGACGAAGCCTGGTCTAAGCATTATATGTAATAAGCCCGTCACTGAGTACTTAATTCCCCCTTTTCTGTCCATTCCCTCTTTTGCCACAACCCATGTTGGTGCATCCCGCTCCGGCGGGAAGGTAAACGGCGTTTCCGTGTGCTGCTCTGGTTCGCCAGAAGTGGCTTAGTCATGCTGGCCACATGATCCGGAAGCTGTACGCCGGCTCCCTCGGCCTATAGAGCGAGATGAGCGCGCAACCCTAGAGTCGGTCACGACTGGACCTAATAGTCAGGGGTCCCTTTTACCCTTTACCTATGTTGGTGCATCCTTTGGAAAAAGAAATGGAAGTGAAATGAATAATGCAAAGCTTGCAAATATAGGCTCATTTCCTGGATTTCCCTGGTACTGAAGATAGATGTGAGATATTTTCAGTTGCTACATATGGTCCTGCTGAGTGCGGGAAAGGCAGCGTATCTGCTGCTGATCAAAGACGTGGCGTTGTTTTCCCCTTTTCCCCTGTGGAAGGTTACTCTTTTGAATAAATGCAGCATTGCAGCGGCTGCAGCTGCGAGTGAATTAATTCAACCGTCTTTTCCCAACAAAGTGTAGGAAAATAAGTGTGTGGGGGGGGGACTTCCATTACTCATTGCCCTGTTTCGAAACAATTTTATGCCAGGTTTGGAACAGATTGAACAACTTCACTCACATTCAACCCATGTCTTTTAAGTCCCACCTATTAGCTAAGTTACCTTTAGAAAACTCGGCTGTTTCCGCCTTCGGAAACTGACCTCTTTGTCAGCCTAGACTTCTCTGCCATTCTCACAGCTGTGGCGGGTCATTGCCTAGGCAACCATAGTGGCAAGCAGCCATATGGTACTTGACCTGAAGGAAGGAGACCTGGGAAAAATGGAAGCCGCTTCTTTCTGGCTACAGGAAAAGGGTGGCCTGCGAGGGACTGCTAGCATAATTTTCCTTGTGTTTTGTTTGGGTCTGACTAAAGGTTGATAAGGCAATCTTTAGATGTTGCAGGGAGGGGCTTAGTTCTCTGGCCAGGAGTTGACTTCAGTGAAGGAGGCAGAGTTTAAAAATAAAGCCAAAGATGTACTATTCTTCCCCCCACCTCTCTTTTTTTTTTGGAAATAGTTTTGTTATTTTGTAAAAGTTCATATAAAGTGTACAGCCTGCAGACACAGAATGCATGAGGGAAATAACACGACTCAATCAAGAGCAGAGAAGGAAAAGAAAAGAAAAAGTACCCAGACTATTGGTCAGTTCCAACATAACCTTTCTACAATGGGAAATGAGTTGGGTGGCCCATCTCTGCATTGTTATTAACATAAGAAATCAGTTGAAACCAAATCTCACCAAAATGGTCTTTTTTGGAAGCATTCCTAATCACCAGCAATGATGAGTAAGTCGTTCTGAAAGAGCGATATTCCGTACATTGCGAAACCAGGAACCTTGGGAAGGACATATCCCACCCCCACCCCCACCCCCTTTCGTTCACTGTGAGCCTCTTTATTATTACCTTGGGCTGGCTTTGGATTTTATTGGCACTGAGATCCAGCAACGCTGTCTCCAGTTGAGTGGAAATAACCCATGTCACATGGAGCAAACATTTCACTATGTGCTAACGTTTCACTGACTTTATAGGTAACAAAAGTGCTTTATTGCTTTGCCCAACCAGTTTCTAAGACCTACCCTGCTGGAAGGAAGTGTATTTCACTGTGCTTCCTTTTCATAAAGTGGCTTTCATCCAGAATTCATACCCGTCCGAGAGGAATAGCCAAAGTAAGCTGAATTTATCTGGACCCCCCCCCCTTTGTTCCTTGTAAGAGGCTTACAGTACAATCCTATACAATCAACAGAGAACTAAGCCTCATTCCATGGGACTTACTCCCAGGTACATATGTATAGGACTGAAATCTTAGTCTAGACTGAAGTCGATAGAAGGAAGGTCGATGAAGGTCTATAGGCTGAGGATCCCCCCCTTCCCACTGCCGGCACCTATGCCCCGCCCCCTGCAAAAGCCTCTCCAGAGGGCTGCCCTGTGAACAATAGGGTGGGGCACAGGGGCTGCTGCAGGGAGGAGAGGGTTCCCAAAATTGGGAAGAGCATGCTCCACTTCGTATTGTTCAGGAGGAGCCCCATTTCTTTCCATAGAGGCTTTGGGGGGGTGGGGTTAGTCAGGTGAATGCATCAGGGAAGAGGGAACAGGCAAATTTATTTCCATGAACTGCTTCAAGTTAACATATCACAGGATCCAACACAATATTCCTTTCTAAAGTTTCATACTGTTGTAGCGAATGTGTTGGATCGCCTGCTACAAAGTAGACTTGTTCATCCCACTTGTGGTCTACTGCTAAAATGGCCTGGTTGGCAGTTGTTCGGGTGTGTAGGAAATACTACATGTCCTTCCATGGATGCCGTATTTAGGGGTGTGAAAGTTCTGGTTCAGTGACAAAACACCAATTCTGGCATTTTCTTTTGCTTCAAAGATAGGAGTCAACCCGACCAGCGTTGACCTAGTGGATATTGGCAAGGACCAGGAAATTAAACTGAAGCCAGGACAAATTCTCCATATCGTCAACAATCTGTACCCGTACACCGTGCAATTCTCGGAGGAAATGGGGGCTTGTGGTGGTAAGGAGACGGTGGAGCCTAAAGGGGGGAAAAGACCACAGGATGAACTTGAGACTGGTGGCATGGAAAGTATGCCAGGCAAACACGCAAAAATGGAGCAAATGGCCCCTCAAGTCTGCGATTCCAGCTACAGCAGTAGTTCTGTTTCTTCAAGTGGAAGCTCTGTCAACAAAAAGGTGAGCCAGGAAATATTAGTGGTAACTCCTGTTGTAGCACAAGTGGATGGGTGAAGCCGGTGAAGCTCTCCTTTCACTGCAGGACCCGAGCGGTAGGTGAGATAACATTAGGGCCTTATCTACATTACAGGCTTAAATTGGTGCAATGGTCGTTTCCTGCTCTCTCCTTGGAGTTGCACTTCAATGAAGTGGAATTAAAGGCTTCTCAGCATCCTCGCCCAAGCAGTTCCTATAAATCTTTGAGGGGAGATATAACACTGTGACGGGTATAATAACCATGTTGATGTGTCGGCAATGTAGATCTTAGTACAGTCACACCTTGGGTTACAGACGCTTCGGGTTGCGTGATTTCAGGTTGCACACCGCACCGAACCCGGAAGTACCAGAACGGGTTACTTCCGGGTTGCGGCGCATGCACAGAAGCGCTAAATCGTGCTTTGCACATGCGCTGAATCGCGACCCGCGCATGCGCAGACGCGGTGCTGTGGATTGCGGACGTGCTTCCCGCACGGATCACGTTCGCAACCCGAGCGTCCACTGTAGGGGCAAAGGCTGTGCAAGACCTTGATACTGGGGCTTGACTTTTGGGTTTGCAGGGCAGGTGTAGAACATTGAGTCCAGCAATGTGTGGAGGGCCATAGGTTCCACACCCAGGACCCTGACATCGTGAAACGGGGGCAGACAGAACGCACCATCTGAGTTTCTGCTAATCTTCATCAAAGTACTGCTGCATTTTGGACTATTTGCCTACTACTGTTGCTCCCAGGAACGACCTGAGAGTTACAAATATGTTGGCATTCAGTGCTCTTTCAGAATGCAGCCAGAACCACAAGTGTCTCCTACAGCTATTTTAGCTATGTGACTTGGCTCTTTTAGGCTGCAGTCTTAAGCATACTTAACTAGGAAGTGTGTCCCATTGAACATTTCCAGACTCATTTTATCAGAGTTCCTGTGTTTTGTCCCGTAGGCATGTTTGGAGTACTGGGCTCAAGGTCTGAAGGTCTCCATGCAAAACCCAGATATGCAGGTAAGGATCTCATTCCTAACTTGGGTCACCGTGGTGCCTGAGGATATATGCTCCATGATAGCAAAATCAGTGCAAGACTGTAGGACTTCTGTGTTTCTCTGCTAGGTCTACAAGGATGAAAAGGCTGTAGTTATAAAGGACAAGTATCCGAAAGCTCGCTATCACTGGTTAGTGCTGCCGTGGCAATCCATCTCTACCTTGAGTAAAGTAAATCAGGAGCATCTCGAACTTCTGGAGCACATGCATGCCCTTGGAGAGAAGGTCATCCAGCAGTGCCCTGAAAAAGACAGCTTGCACTTCAGACTGGGCTACCATGCCATTCCCAGCATGAGGTAATCCATAATTGTGTTCAGACTGGGTTGTGCCCTGTTGGTTCAGGGCGAAGGTCCATTGTCATGGACCGGCTGGATGCAGAGGAGTGGTGGGAGGAATCAGCTGGAGGGAAGAAGACTCGGAACCAGGGGATTGGTGGTGGGATGACAAGGAGTAGTCAGAGGGAGAAGAGGGAGCAGACTGAGAGGAGGAGGTGTCGGAAGCTGAAGAGGTAACAGGGTTTAGTGAGCAGGAAGAGGCTGTGCCAGAAAGCAGCCCAGAAGCAGAGGCTGGAGAGGGGTGAGGCTAAAAGACAGAGATAAGGCAGACAGCTGAAGAAGCCAGGGGGTCTCCCCCTCCTGCTGTGATCAGCTCCTCTCCTTCCTGGTCTCCCAGTACTAGGAGAGGTATGAAGAGATTAGAGCAAAGAGAGACTTGGGAAGGACCTAGGGGAGCAGGAGATTTAGGGAACTATGGTAAGGTTACCAGACTTTTTTCAATAAATCTGGGGACACTTTCAACTTCTTACTAGTTGAAGCAACACCCTAGTGGTCCCGGGCCCTAAGGAAGTTAGATTGGCTTCAACCAGAGCCAGGGCCTTTTCAACTCTGGCTCCGGCCTGGTGGAACGCTCTGTCTCATGAGACCGGGGCCCTGCAGGATCTGATTTCTTTCCGCAGGGCCTGTAAGACAGAGTTGTTCTGCCTGGCTTTTGGCTTGGAATTAACTTGATCCGCTCCCCCTCTTTCTTTTTCCTTTTCCTTCTGTGATGGAACTCCTACTAAGGGACTTCCCTGACTTTTTTTCTGGCCCACGTAGGACCAGTCTGGATAGTTAGCCTTGGTGAAGACGTTTTCATCCCCCAAAAGGTTTTTGAGTTTCTGCTGAAACGAGGCTGCATTTTAATGTTGTATTTTAATCTTGTTTTTTAAGTTGTATTTCAATCAATAGTTTTATATTTGGTGTTAGCCGCCCTGAGCCCGGTCTTGGCTGGGGAGGGTGGGGTATAAATAAAAATTATTATTATTACTATTAATAGATGGATTTTGTCAGGGGACTGATTTGTAAATCTGGGGACTGCCCCCGGGGAACAGGGACATCTGGTAACCTTCAGGTATGGGAAAGTGGGGACCTTCAGTCCCCACAACTGCCTCATAGGGGCAAGATCTACTGGGACGAGTTGCTGGGCTCATTAGGCCTGGCTTACTGAGTTGGCCTTGTTTACCTTGAATAAAGAGTTAACTTCCCTGATGCCGTGTGAGTTATTGCTGACCCTCCCCTGCTGCCCATCTGGTTCAGCATCCTGTTCTCACAGTGGCCAACTAGATGCCCTTGGGAAGCCTGAAAGCAGGACAGGAATGATAGAGCGCTCTTTCATGCTGCCTAGCAGCTTGTATTCACTGGAGGTAGTAAGGTAAAGGGACCCCTTACTGTTAGGCCCAGTCGTGGCTGAGTCTGGGGTTGCGGTGCTCATCTCACTTTATTGGCTGAGGGAGCCAACGTACAGCTTCTGGGTCATGTGGCCAGCATGACTAGGCCGCTTCTGGCGAACCAGAGCAGCGCACGGAAATTCTGTTTACCTTCCCACTGGAGCGGTACCTATTTATCTACTTGCACTTTGACATGCTTTTGAACTGCTAGGTTGGCAGGAGCAGGGACCAAGCAACAGGAGCTCACCCCGTCGCAGGGGTTCGAACCGCCGACCTTCTGATCGGCAAGTCGTAGGCTCTGTGGTTTAACCCACAGCGCCACCCGCATCCCATACTGGAGGTAGTACACAGCCACAAACACCAGGGCTCCCCAGGCACAGACCCTGGAGACAACTGGGGGTGGAATTCAGCGTAGTGGAGCCTGCAAGCAGTGAACAAGGTCCACTCTCCCAAGATGACTTCTCCCTCTCCTCCCCTTGCAAGTCCCCCAGGGTTTTCCCCAACTCTCAAGAGCAGATTTAGAGGGTGCAAGGGGGGAGGTGAAGGAGGTGGGAATCCCATGGCAAGTGGACTTTGATCCTCTCACCCAGCAACTTGGTTAAATCCCATTCTGTAAATTTAATTCTGGCAACTGGCAGGTGCCCAACACGCTCTCCCAGGTGCCCACTGGAGAGAATGCCTGCCTCCCCTGTGGACGCTTGCTCCCTCCTGCAGATTTGGTGCATAACAGAGGGGTTGTGTAGCACATGGCTGGTTTCTTTCTTTGCCCCATACGTGTCCACAGTAAGGAAGCTGCAAACGATGAAAAATAATGGTTGGCTCCGGCAACACACCAGAGTTTGTCAACCCTTGAGAATGCTTGTGCAAAAGCTGTGTTTCTGCCACTGCTGCTATTTTGGATCCCGCACGTTCCACAAGTTTACAGGCCAGATTTAGCCCACTCACTGTTTCTCTATTTCTGTTCTAAATTTGTGAAGTGGGAGTAGAAGTGACTTATTTCAGAAGGCTGCAGTGACAACACACAGCATAATTAAAGTATGCTTGCCATAAGGCATTCTGCACATTACGGCAAGCTCTAAAAGTGCTTAATTGTAATCATTAGGTCTGTTGGTCAATTAAGGATTTGTTTATTTTTCAGTTGAGAAGTAATCTTGTTTTATAACCGGATTAACTTGTTTGTTAATTGACTAAATCAGTTTGTGGAGTACCAAAACCTCAGTTATAGGTGCTTTTTGAAATATGTAAGTATGAGATGCTGTAAACAAATTTCCTACCTTTTGTTAAAAGGAAAAGCCATCTTTAATAATTTGTTCATTACCTGTTACAGCAACATATAACACACATCCTTGTTGCGTTGTTTTCTCAGCCAGCTGCATCTTCATGTCATCAGCCAAGATTTTGATTCCCCGTGCTTCAAAACCAAGAAGCACTGGAACTCTTTTACAACAGAGTACTTCATAGACTCCAAAGGTAAAAAAAAACAAAAAAACCCTGAGCCATCTCTTCTAAAATTACTCTTTATTTGTGAGTGTCTATTTGTCTGTCTTTGGACTTTGTTTTCTCCAAAAAACCTAGCCATGACCGCATCTTTCACATGCAGATTAAGCAGGTGGGAGGCATGCAGGTGTCGTGAACTGAACCCTCCCCTCCAGGTACCGTATTTTTCGTTCTATAAGACGCACATAGTTTTTGGAGGAGGAAAAGCAAGAAAAAAAATATTCTCAATCTCAGAAGGCAGAACAGCAAGAGGGATCACTGCGCAGTGAAAGCAGCAATCCCTCTTGCTGTTCTGGCTTCTGGGATAGCTGCGCAGCCTGCACTCGCTCCATAAGACGCACACACATTTCCCCTTACTTTTTAGGAGGGAAAAAGTGAGTCTTATAGAGCAAAAAATACGGTACTTTCTCCACAGCTCTGCTCCGATACTACAACTGAACTGGCCTAGGACAAAAGGGAAGAGACCTCTCAAACACCTGCCTCTTAAGATAGCCACAACCTCCTCGTTTTATATGTGAATAGGCCGGGCAGGATTAAACAAATGTGGCTGCAGCTATCGTGTCAATTTAGCCCGTATTGCAGGATTATTCTAAAACAAGTTTCCTGGATGATCCCTTCACATTTTCATATGCATGCAGCTGTAGTAATGACTCTAGGGTAAGCGTGGAGAACCTTTGACACTCCAGATGTTGCTGGACTACAGCTCCCTTGACTGCTAGCTCAAGGTCATGCTTGCTAGGGCTGATGGGAGTTGTAGTTCAGCAATATCTGGAGGGCAAAAGTTCTCCACTCCTGTTCTAGGGGGGCATGTTGTTTAGTCAATTAGCCGTGTCCGACTCTTTGTGACCCCATGGACCAGAGCACGCCAGGCACTCCTGTCCTCCACTGCCTCCCGCAGTTTGGTCAAACTCATGCTGGTAGCTTCGAGAACACTGCCCAACCATCTCGTCCTCTGTCGTCCCCTTCTCCTTGTGCCCTCAATCTGCTCCTTTTTCCTTATGGGGTATCCAAGCTTATAGAGTCCTTAAGTGGGTTCCCTATTGGTAGGAGAAAATAACAGAGGCCAACCAGGGAATACTGGGAAGCAAAGCAGCTAGTAAGCCTGATCTTTATTAAAACTGTTGCAACACGGTCCTCACTCACCATACGCAGGAGGGAGGAGGAACCCAGAACAATGACATGCAAGCTCTTATCTAGACTTTTGAAATTGCCCACCCTGTAGTTCAAGACCACCCCCAAAACAACATACATACATCACTGAAGGAGGCGGTCTACAACAGAAATCCTGTCTGCCAGGATACCTGACAATGGCCAGTGATTGCTTACTTGGGCAGCCTGGCCATCTTTCGTGATGGTAATTACTTTAATTCCTGAATCCAGGTCACAGGCTCACCCTATTAACACACAAAGATGTCCTACAGACAGGTAAGCAAAAGACAATGGAGAGGTTTTCCCATTTCCTTCCTCCTTGCAGAGAAACATTTGAAGTCAATTTGGGAGAGTCAAAATGGTTTCAGGATTGTTCTCCTGTACTATTTCAGACACGTGGTTTACATATGTATGTGTTTGCCTTGTAAATTGATGAGCATTTAATTTATACATTTGAGACCTTAAATTATTATAACAATCAAGCAGCTGTTTGCACCAGCGGAATGTCATAAGAGGGAATCAATTCCCTCCCATTCAGAGCTAAGCGTTGGCACATGTTTCCTAACTTTAACAAAACAGATGTGGCCGAACCTGTAATCTCAAATAAAACATGTCTGTCTGTCTCTCCTCTCCCCCACCCGAATTTCCAGATCTGATTGCGATGGTGAAGAAGAAAGGGAGAGTAACTGTAGACAAGGACGTTGCCAAACTCCTGAACCTGCCTCTGAAGTGTCACGTGTGCAAACGGCAGCAACCCAATATCCCCCAGTTAAAAGAGCACCTGAAGGAACATTGGCCAAAATAAGATGAAGAACTGCTCTTCTGATCCGCTTGCTACATTCTACTGATTGTTGGGTTAACCGAATCCCAAAGTTGACATGCTCATTTTAATTTAAAGTCCATACCAAGTTGCTTATTAAAATGCCCACAAAGGCGCAAGTATTTAGAATGGCCGAGCCTGCTTTAGTGTGACAGATTGTGGCGCGGCCTGGGGGTGGTTTGTGATGTCTCTGGTAGCGCATGCTGTTCCTGGGTAGGTGGAACCAAAAGGAGTAGCCTCAAATGCTTTCTAAAGGGTATTTATCTTTTGGAGCGGGTGGGGTTGGATGGAAATCAAACTGGGTTTTATCTTGTGACCAAAATCTCTTCCCCTTCAGTAGGGCTGGGTGATAATCTGGTTTCCAACATCGTGATATATCACCATCTAAACATCGCAATATATCAATAGATCACCATGTCTGAAAAAAAAGGATGGAGCTATGTAGAGACACTGGCTGGCTTCATGATTTTCCCTGCATTGTGATTTTTGGCGGCGCCTGCTCTTGTGATTCACTGCTCACTGCATGAGGCAGAGAAGAGTTAACGACCTGCAGGAAGCAAGAGAAACATTGGCTGGCTTCACGGTTTCCCCCACATTGTGATTTTTGCATAGCACACATAAACACATTATGATTCGCGATACACTGCCAGGTCAAAAATTATGAAAAAGATATCACGATACGGATTTCAAACTGGTTTTGGACAGGGCTGCCTTAAGCACATGTGGCGCCGGGGTGCAAAGATCCGCCCGGTGCCCCCCCCCGGTTGCCCAGTCCCAGCGCGCAGGAGGGTGGAGCCAACCGCCCGCCTCAGCGTCTCGCTGGCTCGGTCGCCCCCGAACTCATGGCGCAGAGCTGCCCGCAGCAGAAGAGCCTGCCGCAGCGCTCTAATGGACAGGTGGGCTCTTCCCCGGACTCAACTCTGACTCTGGACTCTCGGCCTGGTGCTCCTGAGAGCCCGGCGCCCGGGTGCCCTGCACCCCTAGCGCCTATCGGTAAGACGGCCCTGGTTTTGGATAATATATCAATATATCACCCAGACCTACCCTTCAGTACTTTGTAAGAAGATCTCAGAGATCAAATGACTGGCAGGGACACCTTTTAAACATCAAGAAGTCCCTTTTGAACCCTACCCTTCAGCAAGGGCCAGTGCCACCACCACACAGAGCTCCAAAGGCTCTTCCCAGATAGTCAGTACAGGAGGATACCATACTTAATGGTATCAAAAGCTTTCAATGTGGGTGGGGAAACCCTATAGTCCTTTTGATGTTGGACTGCAACTCCTACCATCCTTGATCATTGGACATGCTGGCTGAGGCTCATGAGAGGTAGTCTATCAGGGTTCAGTAGCGCATGTATGCTATGTATGCCAGTTCCTGGGCACAGATAATCAGGGCCAGAAAGCCAAAGGAGTTTCCATCTGAAAACATGGTTGCAAACCAGATGGGAAAGAGTACAGATAATCCGTTTCCTCCAGAACAACCTGGAGCTGGATCGCCACCACTCATTGAAGCAGCTTGCTCAAGTTAGTTCTGACTAGATCCCATTGAAAGCAATGGTCCTAACCACATCACAACTAACAACTTGGGTTGGGAGTCTGTAGAAGTGTAGAATTCTGAATAAATGCACGTAAGTTCAATCTGTTGGTTTAGTTTTCCAAAGAAGAGCCCAAAGGATAATTTCAAGTAACAAACATTTAGGTGTCTGTTTTAAAATTACAAACTTGGACCAAATGAGTCCAACATAACTTACTCAAATACATTTAGGGTTGAAATTTGTGCTTTGATCATTCTGTTCGAAACAAGGTGTCAAAACAGTTTGAAAGGTGAAATTCCTCACCTGTTAACAACCACCCACATAGATTTTTTTTTTACTAGGTTGTCAGTTCCAGCTACATTTTAGCTCAATGCTGGAAAGCTAGGTTGCTTTGCTTATAGCCCTGGCTATACAAAAGATGTCTGTTTCCTAGTAAAAAATCAATTTTGTGAAGAAGGGCAAACATGCTGTAGTCCAGGAGTGGGTATTAGGCCGGTGGTGATCTACTGGTACATCTTTTGAGAAATTTGCAGTAGATCACCAAGCGGGTGACTCCTAATTATCTAACAACTAAACATAATTTCACCCAGCCTGCAAAATTAGGTGGCTAACAAAATGCTTGCTGAGGGGAGTAGATTTTTGTCTTGAAGAACTTACAAACTCGCTTCTAGTACCCATCTCAGATTCCTGGACTCGGCATGTTCCCATTCCTGAATTATTAGTGTATTTCCATCTGGGACACACTTATGCCCTTGGCTCTGTTTGGTGGACCTCAGGATTCTAGTGTGACATGGGGGGACCAAGTAGATCCTGTAAGCCTGAACCCCTCTTAAAGGCCATGTTGGTAACCCAAAAGGACCTGATAAGGCCATTGGGTCTTTTTTCCAATATCCCTGTTATCCTATAAGACAGTGTTCCCCAACCTTGGGCCTCCAGCTGTTTTTGGACTACAATTCCCATCATCCTTGACCACTGGTCTTGCTAGCGAGGGATGATGGGAGTTGTAGTCCAAAAACAGCTGGAGGCCCAAGGTTGGGGAACACTGCTATAAGAGATCAAGATGCTTAAAGAGGGGGTTAACTGAGTATTCTGAGGTATACAGTTTCACATTGTATTCCTAAGGCTATTCCACAGATGTTAGCTGTAAGCCAGAACACTTAATAACTAATATACCAGACCTTTGCTCATTTTCATACTGAACCATCGACAAGGCACATCTACAACATGCCCAATAAATTACAAATCAAATAAGAGTACCAGCAATTGTTAATTTCTTTTGGCAAACCCCAAATTGACCTTAATTCTGCCAGGAGCTTGTCCTACACTTGAGTAGGACCCTGGTAGAGACACATGCCTGACTGGTATGTTCTCTCCCTTCTGGTTGTTCGGGAGCTTCAAAAGCTTCTGCCCAAACATCACAGCGACCGATGCCAACAGACATCGGCACACTTAGGGATCTGCAGAGTCTTCGCAGTTGCGTGACAGACCTCAGCAACTCAGCATTTTGGCTAATCGACTTTATTTACATATAAACACACACGGAGCACTGCAACATGGCTCCCTCTCTCTCTAGCATCAGACAGCAAAGAGAAAAAGAACAAAGGACAATAGTCCCGCTTCACGGAACATGGTAACACAAACATCCTGTCTTCGTCACTTCCCACTCCATGGAGTCAAAACATAAACCATCATGTGATAGACAAAAATCCCATGACTGCAATCATGGAGCAGGAATTCTAACAAATTCCTCCAGTGCAGATGCATATCATGACCATTTCCTGCTTGCGTCTGCAAGGTGGATGATGTCATAATGCACAATGCCAGTGTCATCAGGGTTCTGAAACCCACTGTGGACATCGCCGCTTGTTTGAAATGGAGCCCAGCACCTAGAGAATGAGCGTAAATGAGAAACGAGACAGAAAATGTCTAGCCGAGGAAGTGCAAGTTCTGGTTCCGTGCCGCTGAAGAGGGGGCCGCTTATGAAGCCTGGCTCAGCCAGGGCTAGAGATGAAGGGGAGGCAACTCCAAGGATGGTGGTGAAGGAGACCAGAGCTGTCGTCGTAGACATTGGTACTGGCTCCTGCAAGTGTGGGTTTGCTGGGGAACTCAAGCCAAGCCATGTGGTCTCCTCGACTGTGGGCAAGCATATCCAAGAGACGGCAAAAACGGGAGACAACAGGAAAGAGACTTTTGTCGGCAGAGAACTTCGAGATGCAGGAATACCCCTGAAGCTTGTGAACCCTTTGAGACATGGGATCATAGTGGACTGGGATACTGTTCAAGACATGTGGGAATATCTTTTCCTGAAGGAGATGAAGATTCGGCCCGAGGAGCACGCTGTCCTAGTATCTGATCCGCCCCTGAGCCCTACCACCAACAGAGAAAAATACGCAGAAATGCTCTTTGAGAGCTTTTGCACTCCTGCCATGCACATCGCTTACCAATCTAGATTGTCCATGTATTCCTATGGCAAGACGTCGGGTCTAGTCGTAGAGAGCGGTCACGGTGTTTCCTACGTGGTCCCCATTTATGAAGGCTACACCATGCCAAGCATTACTGAAAGGGTCGACTATGCTGGGTCCGATGTCACACAACACCTCATGAAGTTATTAAATGACTCCGTGAACTTGTTCACAGAGAGAGACTGGCCCATTCTGGAAGATATCAAAGAGAACCACTGCTTCACTTCCGTGGACTTCCAACAGGAGACAACAGCACCTTCCAGGAAATACGAGATGGAATATGAGCTTCCTGACGGGCAAACCATCATTATCGGCAAAGAGAGATTCCTGTGCTCCGAAATACTCTTCAAGCCCTCCTTGATAAACTCGCAGCAGCTGGGCCTGCCTCTCCTCACCATGACTTCCCTCAATAAGTGCGATGTCACGCTGAAAAAGAACCTGATGGGCAACATCTTGTTGTGTGGGGGCTGTACAATGCTTAAGGGCTTTGCTGACCGGTTCCAGAGAGAGCTGATTAAAATGTGCCCAAATGACAACCCCATTTCATCAGCTGCTGCTGAGAGGAAAACGTCTGTGTGGACTGGAGGCTCCATCTTGGCCTCCCTTAAGGCTTTCCAGCAGCTCTGGGTTTATAGGAAAGAATATGAAGAACGAGGTCCTTTTTACATCTACAGGAAATGTTTCTGAGCTCCCATCAGTGATTAAACTCTTACACACACACACACACACCCCTCAAGTTAGATGCAGAGAGGCTAAAGAAGTCTCACACCCGCTTTTCTGTTAGTACCCATCGAAAAGTTACTTGATCTGTGAGCACTAATGGACTGCTTACTTTCCGTTCTCCCTGTATTAAAAGCCCATAGTAAACACTCTGCAGTTATAACAAAGTGGTTTTCCATTTCTTGACACAAAGCGGCACAGCAAATTTGCGCATAGGTAAGGCCTTCCTGCTGGATCCACGTTCTCAGGAAGCAAATGTAGCATCGGGCTGGATTTCTGTCTTATAGAAGAAACGGAAAACTGGAATTATTTTGCCTTGCGTTCCAAACGGTAATGGAGTTGAACATGAAAACACTGCCTGCTATGCCAACATCTTTCAAATATTTTTGCTTGGGAAAAGGGACGAGCTTTTTCACTTATAAAATGTGTTAAGTGTGAATTAGTCAAAAGTTGTGTTCCTTTCAGGGATGCCTTACTTATTTTCTAGCTTGAGAATAGCAGTGCAGAGCGAAACAAACAAAAGTTGCTATATCAATATAGCATTTACACACGCACACAATCAGGCATAATCCAGCACTGCAATCCTATACACACACTTAGGTAAAGGTACCCCTGACCGTAAGGTCCAGTCGCAGACAACTCTGGGGTTGCGACGCTCATCTCGCTTTACTGGCTGAGGGAGCCAACGACGTTTGTACGCAGACAGCTTCCGGGTCATGTGGCCAGAATGACTAAGCCGCTGCTGGCAAACCAGAGCAGCATGCGGAAACGCAGTTTACCTTCCCACCGGAGCGGTACCTATTTATCTACTTGCACTTTGACGTACTTTCGAACTGCTAGGTTGGCAGGAGCAGGGACCGAGCAACGGGAGCTCACCCCGTTGCGGGGATTCGAACCGCCGACCTTCCGATCGGCAAGCCCTAGGCTCTGTGGTTTAGACCACAGCGCCACCCGCACACACTTACCTGGGAGTAAATGCCATTGAACTAAATGGAATTTGGTTCTGAGTAGGCATGCGCAGAATTTATGTTGCTGAAAGCCCTACTCTTAACTAAAAACTTGAGGCATACTTTCTTCTTTTTAGTAAGAGAGTTTTCTTTTTATTGTGGGCAGAGAGAATTATACACCTTCAGAGAGAAGTCCCTCTAATAATTCTGCCCCCGGCCTCATGTTTTGATTTCATTGAATTACCGTATTGGCCCGAATATAAGCCGCAGCTTTAAAATTGGAGTTGTCCTTTGATGCTATGGCCTGTTGGCTACGCAAATAAAGTCCTTGTTGTTGTTGTTTAAAATTGGGGGGGGGGAGAGGAAAAAATACCCGAATATAAGCCTCACTTTAACTTTTCATGGTCGGAAATTGGGGGGAAAGTGTGGCTTATATTCGGGCCACCACGGTATATGTTTTTCATTTATTACGGACCTGGAGACAAGGACTACCTTTAGGCACCAATCAAAACAGGTGTCCCCAGGTGTAGTCAGAGGGAACATAATGCAGCCACTTTGCTGAAGTTAAGCTGGCCTGGATTGAGGCAGTGCCTGGATGAGAGAGCACAAGGGAATCCCACGAATGTCACCTGGAGTACCGTGAAGGCGATATAAAAATATTAGTATTATTTTTAAATTTTAAAAAACCACACAAATAAATACATAGTGTAAGATTTTAGTTTTGCTACTAGAAAACATCTTTCCATAAAAGGATTACGTGCTCCATTGATTCATCAGCTTTTCCATGGAGATTCCCCCCCCCCCAAAAAAGGAAATGCAGGTACTAAAGTTTGTTCACAAAGAACAGAAGAACCAAAAGATACAGAGACCCAGAATGGGAAAAGGTGACAATGAAACTTTAATAGCCCCTCTTTCTCCTTGATTTTGAGAAAAAGGGGCAGCTCCTATAAATATTTTGTCAAAACATGGTATTTCAAGGTTAGCGTATGAAAATCCACCATCAGATACTCAGTTGATACAGCTGTGGTGTGTTTGTACCAGGAGTGCTGTGCTCTTGAGGGAATTACAAAGCGTATCTGGTTCAGTGGGTGCTTCACTTTTGCTATGCAGGGTAACTGATGTCCGTATTTGAGTTTGAGTTGGGTGTCCTTAAAAGACGCAGAGAAGTTGCCATTCAGCCTAGAAAACCACAATGCAACTAAGGCGCAGTTCTGCTTTCAAATTTTAAAAGATTGTTTTGTGATATCCACTGCCAAAAAAGGGACCAAAGAGCAAAAAAAATGTTGTTTTGAGTCAACAATTTTAAATAAACAGATGTTGCCTGCTTGTTTTGCAGAGGCTTTTGTGTTTGGTTGTCCAGGTAATCCATCTGAACTCAGCAGCAGGAGAAAAGAGGAGGAAGGAAGGCAGCCCATAACTCAGAGCTATGTAACAAGGCAGGTCAGCACTGACTTTGGCCTGCCAATCCCTTGTCAGTTCAGTATACATGATCAGCTGCAAGATCTGGAGAAGGCACATATTTCAGAATCTGAAGACACAGAAATACAGGCGCTCAGTCCATCTAACAGCTTCAGGGTCTAGATTATTGGAGAAGGTTCAGTTTCCACTGGATGCTTTTGTTGAGTTTGGGAGGTATAAAGAATTCAGGATCTAGGAGAGAGGGGGAAACAAAAGACAATACTAATAGTTATAAACAAAAATAAGCAGGCAAGCAATTGCATTTTACATGTAGTATGGGGATTGCAGAAACTGAAAGGAGATGCAAATGCCAAACCCTCACAATAACATTTTTTAAAAAAAGAAAAGGGGGGGGGGAGAGAAGGAACTTTGTGAGAATGAAAATCATTCCTACAATTCCACCTGCTATTGGAGGCATACTTAAAATGAGTCAATGAAGAGTATAAAAATCTGGCATTCCTGTTTTTAATCTCATTTATTTGTGATCAGCACAGATGGTTTCTGGAACTTTACTGAATGGTAAGCATATTTAATCAAGATTAATCACCAAAAAACTCTGTGTGGTTTACATAATATCAAATATTCATTACAAACACCAATAAAACCAAGCAGTATAGATAATGAAATTACATGGTATGAATTGTTTTATTTACTTATCAGCATTTTTATAGAAACAGAACATAATCTGAGTCACAACTCAGTAGGGGATCAGCTCCGGAACCAGTTTTGAATGCTAGGAGCCAGCTCAGGAATATATGAAGAAATAAAGAAGAGTGCCTCTGAGCATGTGTAGAGTATGTTCCCTCAGCTCTCAAAATCAGAAGCAGCTTCCTCCATACCCTTTGGTATTAGACGGTTTCCAGTCAAACAAGTTTTCACTTATATGTATACAGAAATTAAATGCTGAATTCAATCACAGTAACAATTGATTTGTGCAGTGTATAATTTCTCTCACCCACCTTGTGATGCTGGAGCCATTGTCTTTTGCTGATTGTAGGCAGCGCTTATGCTATTGGCAGTTGAATTGGGACCCAGGATCTAAAATAGCAAGGATAGGCAAGTGGAGCAATTAGTCTGTGGCTCACTAAACATGCAATGCTAAGCCCAGCCGCGGTTTAGTGAGCCCTACTGCTGCCATGCTACCCAGGGCTAAGCTGTGGTTTTGCTCCGCATTATGTCTGAACCCAGGTTCGTGGTTTGACTCCTCCAGACAGATCACGAGCTATAAACCCAAGAACAGGTCTGGGTTACAGCTCATGGTTTCTCTGGAGTTGAGCCCTGGTTCACACTATATGCTGAGCCAAGCCAAACCAAACCATGGTTTAGCCCTAGGTAGCACAGCACAGCACAGCACAAAAATGACCAGGAAGAAGCAAATTGCTGACAGACTCCTCTCTTCGAATCGGCATATTCATATAGTCATTCAAAGTCATCGTTTGGCTTAACGCTACGTCAGTCAGGTCTATGTCTAACAATGAAATTACCCTAACAAGTGGGGGTCGTTTTATACATGGATAGTGCATGGGGTGGTCATTTGATTGGTTGCTGCCACGGCTGTCAGCGGCTATCGGGCGTGTTATTGGTTGCTGTGTGCGTCAAGGGCTGGTCTTGATTGGTTGACGCTGCGGCAATACGGTGGGTGATTGGCAGCTTCTGCCGGCGAGGGAACAGACGGGAGGCTGATTTTCCGCCACGTGCGGGTGAGCGATTTCCGGCAAACCCCCCCCCCAAAAAAGTTCAACAACTCTGAGCCATCTCCCCTCCATTTTCTTAAATTTGAGTCCCCCAAAATAAGGGGTGTCTTATACATGGGGGCGTCTTATACACAGAAAAATACGGTAATTGCTCCCTCTGGATAGTCCTTGTCAACACCATGATAATTGAGAGAGCATGCCGGATCAGAGCCCTGTGACTACTTTTTTTCTTCAAAATGAAAAGTGGTGAGCTGCGGTTTTAGTAATGCCAAGAGCCTTTAGCCCCTTGTGCTATAAGCAAAAGCAGACAAGACAAAGTAGTGATTACTCAGTTAAGTTTGTACCGAGTTGGCTGGGATCTGCTGCAGATCTGGTGTCCAGATTTCAAGGAGGGATCGCTCCACCATGCGAAGGGTCTCCTCAAAGGCTTGCTGCAACTCCTGGGCTCGCCCGTCATAGCCAAAGAGGACGAGATGTTTTAAAAGGCTGTGTATCTCACCTTGGGAAGAAATTAAAGCCCCATGCCCCAATTATTATAAGTTAAAACTGAAATTCTTTAATTGTGGGGGATAATACACAAAGATGCCCTCCAAACCCAGCCTGGAAGTACCACAAGACTTAGGGAAGCTTTTAATGTTTAATAAACTATTGTATTTTAATATTCTGTTGGAAGCCGCCCAGAATGGCTGGGGAAACCCAGCCAGATGGGAGGGGTATAAATAATATATTATTATTTATTCCACAGAATCCCCCTCTCTCTTGGGCCCGCACAAAATGAGCACCTATTCCTTTCCTCTGGAAAATAAAAGGGTCTGGGGGCCTCTGCAGGACCTATTCCCTTCAGGGGCATTCCAATCCCCATCCCTGAATATTCAGGTTTCCTTTTAATAAACAACAATAGGAGCCTTTTGCTCAATGAGAAAGACAGGAAGTGCAAACTGCCTTGTACCCTATTGATCAGTAAGAAGCAAACAACTTTTAATGTTCAGGCCAAATGTGTCAATGGCTCTGGCACTTCAAACATTTGATATATTTTCCTAAGTCTACTTAATAAGTTAAATATGTTGAGAATGTATTCTAGTGATGAAGGCAAACCAAGAAAAAAAAGGGGGGGAACGTGGGTATCACTATTATTTTAACATACAGTGGTACCTCGGGTTAAGTACTTAATTCGTTCCGGAGGTCTGTTCTTAACCTGAAACTGTTCTTAACCTGAAGCACCACTTTAGCTAATGGGGCTTCCTGCTGCCGCTGTGCCACCACTGCACAATTTCTGTTCTCATCCTGAAGCAAAGTTCTTAACCTGAAGCACTATTTCTGGGTTAGCGGAGTCTGTAACCTGAAGCGTATGTAACCTGAAGCATATGTAACCCGAGGTACCACTGTAAAGGACTACGTCCTGACATGTTTGAAGCTAGGGGCGCTCATCTTCAGGGAATATTGAGAACAATAACAGAGAGAAAGTTCAACACCTCAAAATTCAGGCTTCTTCACTGAGTTAGCTACCCTGTGTCAGGTTTTCATTGTTAACCTCTTCAGAGTAGCTTTAAATCAGAATTATCCAGCAGCGACATGAACGTTGGCCTCAGTAGTCCAGGATCCATGCATTTTTGTTTTACTCACTTTGTTATTGGTCATTCTGTCATTTAGGCTTATCCATTAATGAAGGCAGCCTATAATTCAGAGCCGCTGCATTTAGAAACTCTCTCTGGAAATTATTAATTCCTTTCTCTTTGTGGGGGTCCCGTTCCCCACTCCCCCCCGAACCCAGGCTTTTTCAGAATCGGTTCTGAGCCTCTTCCTTCAGACGGCATCCAAAGTTTGAAGAACCTTAGTGACTAACCTTTTAGATTGTCAATACTCCGGACTATTTCCCCTAAAACTTCCAGGAGCGCAACATCCTCTAAGGGGCTCCCTTCCTTGAGGCTGTGTTTCTTACGCTCTGCCTTGCGACGGTTCTTTGACGAGCGTCTACAATAGATGAAATGCCATGAAACATATATACACAACAGTGAAGTTGGAGTTCTTTGGGGGCAGTTTTTTCTCCTCAAACTTGGGTCCCTAGCTGTTGTTGGGACTACAACTCCCATCATCCCTAGCTAGCAGGACCTGTGGACATGGATGATGGGAGTTGTAGTCCAACAACAGCTATGGACCCAAATTTGAAAAAAAATCTGTTTTACGAGGAGGAAATAAGAGGGAAACCATAAATGGAAAGGCAGATTGAGGAGAGCTTGGTTTTGTTGTCAATACCTCCACATGTACTGCGGAAAGCTAGCATTTTAGGAAGAAGCTAGACCCTGTTGTCTGGCTGTTCTAGTTTTTTTATGTGAAAGGATACTGGTTTTAGGAAATGGGTGGTAAGGAGAAGTATTCCATCATGTGCACCTATAGGCAGGCTGAAGTGGTATAGCCTTGAGCAGAGTTTCCCAAACTTTGGTCTCCAGCTACCAAATTCCCATCATCCCTGTCCACTGGTCCTACTAGCTAGGGATGATGGGAGTTGTAGTCCAAAAACAACTGGAGACTCAATTTTGGGAAACCCTGGACAAGACGGTTTTACTGCTTAAGTGAGAACTAGCTTTTAGTTTCAACCTCTTGTTGCTATTTACCTGTCCCTCTATTTTCCCACCACCACTGAAGATTCAACGTCTGGGGTAAAAAGGCAGGATCATCAGTATCAGAAGCTCTATTGAAATCTGTGCAAGAGAGAGCAATGATGACCCACCCATCTTATGTATTTATATGGGGCTACCTTTGAAGGTGACCCGGAAACTACAACTAATCCAGAATGCAGCAGCTAGACTGGTGACTGGGAGCAGCCGCCGAGACCACATAATACCGGTCTTGAAAGACCTACATTGGCTCCCAGTATGTTTATGAGAAAAATTCAAAGTGTTGGTGCTGACCTTGAAAGCCCTAAACAGCCTCGGTCCAGTATATCTGAAGGAGCGTCTCCACCCCCATCGTTCTACCCGGACACTGAGGTCCAGCTCCGAGGGCCTTCTGGCGGTTCCATCACTGTGAGAAGCCAAGTTACAGGGAACCAGGCAGAGGGCCTTCTCGGTAGTGGCACCCGCCCTGTGGAACACCCTCCCACCAGATGTCAAAGAGAACAACAAATACCAGACTTTTAGAAGACATCTGAAGGCAGCCCTGTTTAGAGAAGCTTTTAATTGTTTGATACATTACTGTATTTTAATATTTTGTTGGAAGCTGCCCAGAGTGGCTGGGGAAGCCCAGCCAGATAGGCAGGGTATAAAAATTATTATTATTATTATTATTATTATTATTATTATTATTATTATGGCACCACAGCACCACAGGTCTGCAAGTGGGGAGCATGTGTTTTACCATACAACCCAAGTATATAGTCAGACTCTATAATAAACTCAGTACCACCTAACAGCAATACTTTCACACTTACAGTGTGTGTGCTTGGTTGTTATCAGCACGACACAGCGAAGAGAGATGTAACATTGAAATTACACATACACTTCTGAAAACAATGTTCCTTACAGGTGAAATTAGGCAACCGTTCAGGTTAAAACGTTGCAAGGATGAAGCAATGACTTTGTGGCCTGCTTGGTGATCAAAGCCCTAATGCAGATGATCAAATAAATGGGATCCGCAAAAGAGAACCAGGCACAACCTCCATTTGTGCAAACATAATTCCCGACCTTCCCACTTGAACCAGGCCGTTGAAAAGCTGATGTGAGGGCAAAGTACATACGCAGATATTCTCGAGTTACTGTGAGTGTATTTGGAACTCGCGTCGCTAGCTGTCACCATGCTGCTGGCGTCAGAAAAGAGATCCGATTCTGGGCAGTTTGGCAATTCGAGATCTGAAAAAGTCAGTCACCTGGATCAAGAGGAGAAAGAACAAAACATCCCCCATACCGCCTCCTAAATCCTCCCCACAACAGCACCGTATTTTTCGCTCTATAAGATGCACCAGACCACAAAACGCACCTAGTTTTTGGAGGAGGAAAACAAGAAAAAAAAAAATTCTGAATCTCAGAAGCCAGAACAGCAAGAGGGATCGCTGCGCAGTGAAAGCAGCAATCCCTCTTGCTGTTCTGGCTTCTGTGATAAGCTGCGCAGCCTGCATTCGCTCCATAAGACGCACACACATTTCCCCTTACGTTTTAGGAGGGAAAAAGTGAGTCTTATAGAGCAAAAAATACGGTATTTCTATGACACCTAGCAATGTCTGACGGGCCTTTTTCTCCAAAACAATTCTGCCAGGCAGCTAGTTATTGCTGTTCCATCTCACAAACGGAAGCCCAAGCGGGGACAGAGTGACTTTGCAAAGGCGCTCCACAAGTGAGCCGTGATTTGAACCTGGGACGAAATTGATTTGATATAATCACAGACTTGCAATTCAAACTTTGACCTCCATGGTGCTAGTCCGTAAGAACATACACTGACTCCTTGCTGCTATATGGCTTATCCAGTTCAGCCTCCTCTTCCCAACAGTGACCACCCATATGCCTCTGGGAAGCTGATGAAGAAGAGGAAGAAGAATAAGAAGAAGAGTTTGGATTTGATATCCCGCTTTATCACTACTGGAAGGAGTCTCAAAGCGGCTAACATTCTCCTTTCCCTTCCTCCCCCACAACAAACACTCTGTGAGGTGAGTGAGGCTGAGAGACTTCAGAGAAGTGTGACTGGCCCAAGGTCACCCAGCAGCTGCATGTGGAGGAGTGGAGGCGCGAACCCGGTTCACCAGATTACGAGTCTACCACTCTTAACCACTACACCACACTGGCTCCCTATGAACATGGCATAGAGGCAACAGCGACCCTCTCCACCCAGTTGTTTATTCCTAGCACCAGGCATTCAGGAGATAATATTGCCTGTGAACCTGGAGGCAGCATGAGTAGTAGCCATTGATAGCCTTATCTTACATGACTAGGTCTATATCAAAATACAGCTTGAACCCAGGAGCTAATCTGTGGCAGGACACAAGACCATTGCATACCCAGCATCTCATTTCGGGCTTGCTGCTTCAGCTCTCTGACCACAGAAAGGCGCTTCTGATGGCAAGAAAATGCTGCTTTCTGAGTCTCCAGGAACGCCAAATGATTTTTCTGAACTATTGAGGGCGACAACAGGGGAAGAAGCATTTTGCAGTAAAACTGACGCAGGCACATTAAAAACTTTGTCTAAGCAAGGAAAAACTCCATATCAAGAAGACAGCACTGTACAAGCTTAAGGCAGACTGTCAAGGTGAATCTTCCCTGGTGTACGCACCTTATCCTGGCACCCAGAAAGCTAGCGTATCAGCACAATCACGGTCTTATTTTTTTTATTACATTTATTCATTGCTTTTCAGAAAGGTGTCTCTCAAAGTGGCTTACACAAACCCATAAAATGCAAATCATGTGAGAACCAAATACACTGAAAAAACAAGGGAATAGGCGGAACGGCAGATGAAACTACTTGACTATGCAGAAATGGTGAGATTGGCTGGGAAAATCAGAAATCAGGAGGATCAAAACTTCAGAAGAGAATGGGACAAATATCAATTATATTTAAAAGAACACTGTAAACACTTGAACACTTTGGCAGGCTTTGAATAACTCTTGCAACGTTACAAAGGCTTTGGATATATTGGAGGACTAAAATGCGGATGAACTATAATACGCAGTTGATTAAGATATTTAAAGGCCCTCTACAAAGGTCATGCGGTGTGAAGAGACACAAAGTAATCAAGGAAGGGTTTAGGGGGAAGTTGACTCTTTAAATATTTGGAAATGAATATATATTGTTATTGTATAAGTTTGTTATTTTTGGAAAATTATATATATATATATATATTAATAATAAAATTTTATTTATACCCCGCCCTCCCCAGCCAAGACCGGGCTCAGGGCGGCTATTCAAAGGACCCAGGGTGGGGAGGGGGGAAGTTCTAAGATTCGGAAGAATCTTGTTTTATTTTAAAAAAAATGTTTTTAAATGTTAATTGTGTGATCTATTTTGTAAAACCAATAAAAACTATTTCCAAAAAAAGAAAAGAAAAAACAAGGGGTGAAATTACCTAAAAGTGCTTGTCTAACAATAAAAAGGCTGAATCCTACCCAACCCCACTAAAAGAGAAGGCAGAATTTCATCTTGAAAGAGTTCTCTAGTCATCTCTGATGGGATAGCTTTCCATGCACAGGAAGGTTTGCTTTACACAAAAGAAACATTTGACTACACAATTCCCCGCCTGCAGTCTGAAGTTGCACGATCCAGGGGAAAAAAAGTACTACAACATGCATACCAAGACAACATTTATCAACATCCTTGCACAAGTGCTGATCTCAGACCAGTAGAGTCCCACATCCCAGTATCCCTGTCTTGCTACACCCCCTGGAATCCCAGCAGCCCTGCACTTCTGAGAGCATCCCAGCAAACATGAAGTGGGAGCTTTACCTTCCAGCAGAGATGGTCTGAAGTTGGTCTCCAGAATGTCAGTCCTGTTATATTTGTAAATCTGGGAGACAGGGGAAAAAGAGAAGGGACATAAAAACCCACATCAAGGTTGTTGTTGAGTGACAAACACAAATTCTTTCAACAGGCAGGTAACGAAAATGGGTTCATGTTTTGAAGGATCTCACCAATCTTAGGGCTTCATCCCAAGTGGTCCCTTCCAGGAGAAGAAGGATGGCCTCTTCATAATCCTGGAAAAAGGGAAGCAAAGCATTTTCTGCCTTCTATTTTTATGTTTATTTGTCGCTTTACACATGCCTCAAAGCAATTTACAGGAAACAGGAAATTATGTTCACATGTGGTGGGGGTGTAAATATGTACAATTTTTTATTTTTTTTTGCAAAGTGTGTTTAAGGAGACAACAGAAATCACTGGGTTAAAGCTGACCAAAAGTCCAAAGGTAGCATTATTATCAATTTACGATGGAGTGGAAGGTTCGCAGGCTAGGAAGGACTTGCTCACAAATTTATTGACAGCTGCACGCATTATGATAACAAAGAAGTGGAAGGGGCAAGCAGAATATAAAATGGAAGAATGGTATAAAGAGGTGTGGGATATAGCTAAGAATGATAAATTAACACGTACCATTAAGGTAAGACGGGGAATATGCAGGAGAAATGATTCTGAGGAGATATGGAGGGTGTTTGCAGAATTTTGACTGTTAAAACGGAGAGGGTGTTGAAATTTTGGGAGGTTGGATAGTTACAATGGAATGGTCTCAGTGGTGGGATGCACATTTTTATTCTTATTCATTTATGATTATTACTTTGTCCCAAAAAAAAATTAAGCGATTTACAGATAGTAGTAAAATAAGAGAGCGCAGCATATAAAAAGAAAAAAGAAAAAAGCGCAAAGTGGTTAATAAACTTAAGAACATAATTCGTGCACAACAGTCAGGGCTTTACAAACAAAATCCCAGAGGGAAAGTATAACAAACTACAGAATATAATTACACTGGAAGGTGAATGGGAGTAATGAATATTTCTCGCACACATTGATTTTAATTTGCCGGGGGCAGGATCCAGCTCACTGGTTGTTAGTTGGCCAATTCTTGCACTATGTATTTCATTTATATCCCGCTTTTCCTCCAAGAAGCTGAAGGCAGCACACGTTGTTCCCACCCCCTTTTTCATCCTCAAAACAACCCTGTAAGGTAGGTTAGTTGGAGATGCAGGGACTGTCCTGAGGTAAACCAGTGAGCTTCGTGGCTATGTATTTTTCGCTCTATAAGACGCACCAGACCACAAGACGCACCTAGTTTTTGGAGGAGGAAAACAAGAAAAAAAATATTCTGAATCTCAGAAGCCAGGACAGCAAGAGGGATCGCTGCGCAGTGAAAGCAGCAATCCCTCTTGCTGTTCTGGCTTCTGGGATAGCTGCGCAGCCTGCATTCGCTCCATAAGACGCACACACATTTCCCCTTACTTTTTAGGAGGGAAAAAGTGAGTCTTATAGAGCAAAAAATACGGCATGTGGGGATTCAAACCCTGGTTTCCCAGGTCCTAGTCTGACACTCTGACCGCTGTACCGTAATGGCTATCTTTAGAACCCAGGCCAGACAGCAGAAAGAGACACAGGGGTAGTAAGCTGGGAATCTGAACAACAAGCAGGAGGTGGAAGAAGAGAAATTATTATTATTATTAAATTTGCATACTGCCCTTCGTCTGAAATTTAGGCGATACCTTGGCATATTGTTCCAGGAGTATTGCTGCATCTGCATACTTCCTTTTTTCAACAAATTTCCCTGAAAGAAGGAAGAGAATTTAATTTAATTTTTTTTGGGGGGGGGGGAGAAGAAAAAAGAAACACTTCTTGGTAAAATAAACCCTGCCTGTGTTATTGCTTTAATATATTGCGGGTTCTGATTTCTTCCTTGTATGTGATCCCCATTAATTAAAGATGCCAGTCCTTAAATTAGATCAAGTCGTCAGCAGCAGGGGATTCTATTCATTCATATTGCCTGGTAAAATGATATAAACAACAGCATCCTGATACGAAGTGTAACCGGCGTATAAATTTCTGCACCATAGCAACCCCACTCTTTGCACAGACTTATGCAAGTCGAAACTGCCGCACGGATTTAATCTGCATTAATGAATACTTGGTCTCACTATTTGGGCTTCAAGGAATTCAGCAGTGTGTGGGGCGGGGAGGTTTGGCAAAAATTGAGAATGGCAAAGAAGGGAAGAGAAGCAGATAACATGGAGGGAAAGTTGGCTGTGCAGGGCATTTGAAGTGCTGTACTATTTCCAACTTCAGGGTTGTTGTTTAGTCGTGTCCGACTCTTCATGACCCCATGGACCAGAGCACGCCAGGCACTCCTGTTATCCACCACCTCCTGCAGTTTGGTCAAACTCATGCTGGTAGATTCGAGAACACTGTACAACCATCTCGTCCTCTGTCCTCCCCTTCTCCTTGTGCCCTCCATCTTTCCCAGCATCAGGGTCTTTTCCAGGGAGTCTTCTCTTCTCATGAGGTGGCCAAAGTATTGGAGCCTCAGCTTCAGGATCTGTCCTTCCAGTGAGCACTCAGGGCTGATTTCCTTCAGAATGGATCGGTTTGATCTTCTTGCAGTCCACGGGACTCTCAAGAGTCTCCTCCAGCAACATATTTCAAAAGCATCAATTCTTCGGGGATCAGCCTTCTTTATGGTCCAGCTCTCACTTCCATACATCACTATTGGGAAAACCATAGCTTTAACTATACGGACCTTTGTTGGCAAGGTGATGTCTCTGCTTTTTAAGTTGCTGTCTTACTTGATCTAACTTCAGGGTGCTCTGTCTCAAAACTTCTTTTGGTTTCTAAGGGCTTCTTCTGTAATCTTCTGTCAGGATTAAATTCAGGGTAAGACTGAGAATGGCCCTCAGGCTATCATGCTCCCAACTCTCCTTTAAGAGAAAGTAGAAAACGAAGCAGGAGATCCCATACTTTGTGGAGGGAAGGAGGGCACCCAGGCCTGAGGCCTCCTCCCCATCTCTTCCCAACTAGAAGCTCGGGCAGAATGCATAATCTGAACAGACCTTGAGTGTACAAGAGACATAGGCAGGGTGCCATGTTACGGATCTAACCTGCAGCCGGGATGTTGGGTTGCCATATTTTGAAGAGCGAAAAAGAGGACGCTATGACAACTCTCATTTTAAATACCCCGACTATATGTAGGCTATAGAAGCTGTGATATTTTGCTGAGGGGGGCAGGTGAAGAGAAGAGGAAAGCAAGTCTTCACACACACACACACACACACACACATTTTTTTCACAAAAAATAAAAATAAAACCATTGCATTAAAAACACACATAAGTTAAAACATTTAAAAGAACTATATAAACAATCAATTTTGAATCCACATTCTAGGATTACTTGAATCCCCCAACTTCCCTCCACTACCTCGCCTGGTTCCTTTGTATTATCTTCATTAATGCATGTCAATAAAATCTTCATCTCTAATGACCTCCAAGTTTACACATTATATATAACATCACAAGTGGTGTTTTTTTAAAAAAAAAAATCCTGCTAATGTATTAACTTGCATACATTGCTTTTGTAAATATGCAATAAACATTTCCCATTGTTTTTTATATTTGTTGCCATCTTGATTTCTAAGTTTCCCAGTTAACTGAGCCATTTCCGCGTACTCCATTAACTTAATTTGCCAATCTTCCTTAGTGGGAAAGCAAGACTTCAACCACCAGTTATGTCTATGTCTCATCCAGAAAGTACAGTGGTACCTTGGTTCTCAAACACCTTGGTACTCAAACAGCTTGGAACCCAAACACTGCGAACGTTTTTCGGAAGCCGAACGTGCTCCGTTTTGAATGTTAAGCTTCCGTTTTGAGTGCCACGCTTCCATTTTGAGTGCTACGCTTAGGTTTATTTGTTTTTGCTATTTATTTTGTGGTTTTGTTTTTGTGGCTCTTTTTTGTTTATTTTTATGACTGTCTGGAACCCAGTTCAGCTACTGATTGATCAATTGAGTGACTGCAGTACATTGTTTATTGCCTTCATTTTATGGATCAATGATCTCATAAGAAAAAAAATTAATTTTAATTTTTCTCATCTACAAGACTGTCTTATATATTTTATAGTACAGTAAACTGATTATTGCTTTCATGTTATGGATCAGTGGCCTTGTTCAATAGTAAAATTCATGTTAAATTGCTGTTGTAGGGGTTGTTTTCCAAAGTCTGGAACGGATTAATCCATTTTGCATTACTTTCTATGGGAAAGCGTGCCTTGGTTTTGGAACGCTTTGGTATTGGAACGGACTTCCGGAACGGATTAAGTTGGTGAACCAAGGTACCACTGTATAGCCAGAGACATTTTGGCAAATTGAAAAAATCCACCCGGACAGAAATTTTACCGCTGAAAAGGAGGACGTGTCCTGGAAAAAGAGGGCAGGTGGCAACCCTGGAGCAACGCAAACAAGAGGCCACATGCATTTCAGAATGCTCACCTGCCATGTTCCTCGCCAGGTTGGCCAGCTTGTCTTCGGTGTAACAAAGTTCGCCGGCTGCCGTCAGGGCCAGCTGCCAGTTACCGCTGATCAAAAAGGCATCCAGCGCTCTCTCGAATGCACCGCAGCGGAAGAAGATCAGCCCCGCTTGCTCAGGGAGATGCTTCTGGATCAAGTGTTCTCCATAAGCATAGCTAACAGTCTGCAAGGCAGAAACGTAAAGAAATTGGAGTTGGGGGAGGGATGGTTACTTTGCACTGGCGGTTCCGTCACTGCAAGAAGTGAGGTTACAGGGAAGCAGGCAGAGGGCCTTCTCGGTAGTGGCACCCACCCTGTGGAACACCCTCCCATCAGATGTCAAGGAGATAAACAACTTTTTGACTTTTAGAAGACATATGAAGGGAGCCCTGTTTAGGGAAGTTTTTAATGTTTGATGTTTTATCGCTTTATTATTATTCTTATTCTGATGGGAGTCGCCCAGAGTGGCTAGGGAAACCCAGCCAGATGGGCGGGGTATAAATAATAAATTATTATTAATTATTTTTCTTCTTCTTCACTGACTGGACAAAACAGGTGAAATATCATAGTATGGCCCACACATTCGCTATTGTTTGGTTCCCTCTCATCTCCTATGTTTCTAAATCTTATGGTAAACTCTCCTAGCTCCAATCACCCATGTCTCCTTCTGGGGAGACTCAACAAAACAGACTAAGATACCTTATGTTCTCAATGATTTCATTTCTGCCTGCTAATTCTATCATGTGATACTTCTTTAGGATTCGTAATGAAACATGATGCTTACAGTACTCCATTTTGTTGTTTCCTGTTTGGGTTTTTTGTACATGTTCTTTAAGCCAATGAAACAGAATTACAAAACACACACACACAGATTCCTGACTAAATGTTGAACCTTGTACATAACAGGCTATGATCGTGTGTGCAACTGTTATTTTATTTCTTGTTTTAGAAATAAAACTTTATTAAAATAATGAAGGAGAAGCCACTGAATTAACTGATATACAGGAAGAGCTGTTCACCCTTCAGGAAAAAGTGACTTGGCTTTTAAACTGATGAAGTGGTTTGGAGTAAGTTATTGGCCAACGTCTAGCCTGTAACCTGCCTTTTATCACTGCGGTAGAGCAGCCTAAACTCACAAGTAATAAAGTAGTAATAAGAAAAAGGTACAACAACGGGGAAAGCACACCTTGTACTCTTGGGAGTCTGGCAAGTATAGCTTCAGGGCTTCATTAAATAAGTTCTGATCCACCACCAAGTTCAGGAACTCTGAAAAATGCTCTGGCCCTGAGGGGAAAGCAAAATACACTTTCTTGGGAAGAAAGCAAGCAACGGGTTTCACATAACTGCACAAGCCAATCTGGGCTGACTAGAGTGGGGTTTGGCTAGGCAAGTCCTAGCGTGAACGCAAAACTTTTGAGCTACCTGAGGACAAACATAAAAATCTTAGCTGGGGGCGGAGGGGGGGGGGGGAGCAAGTTATAGTCCCAGTTATTCCAAAAGAAAAAAATTAAAATATACCGTATTTTTCGCTCCATAAGACGCACCTTTTCCCTCCTAAAAAGTAAGGGGAAATGTGTGTGCGTCTTATGGAGCGAATGCAGGCGGGAGGCAGGCGGGAAAAGTCCCCAAGAGCCGCACATACGCTCTGCGCGCTCTTTAAAGGGAGCGCGGCTCTTGCGGGCTTTTCCCCGAGGAGGAAGAAGGGCAGCCCGTCACTGATGGCAAGTCCTAGCGTGAACGCAAAACTTTTGAGCTACCTGAGGACAAACATAAAAATCTTAGCTGGGGGCGGAGGGGGGGGAGCAAGTTATAGTCCCAGTTATTCCAAAAGAAAAAAATTAAAATATACCGTATTTTTCACTCCATAAGACGCACCTTTTCCCTCCTAAAAAGTAAGGGGAAATGTGTGTGCGTCTTATGGAGCGAATGCAGGCGGGAGGCAGGCTGGAAAAGTCCCCAAGAGCTGCACACACGCTCTGCGCGCTCTTTAAAGGGAGCGTGGCTCTTGCGGGCTTTTCCCCGAGGAGGAAGAAGGGCAGCCCGTCACTGATGGGCTGTCCTTCTCCCACCTTGTAGAAAAGCCCACAAGAGCTGCAAGCTCTTTAAAGAGCCGCGCCTAGCGTGTGTGCGGCTCTTGGGGGCTTTTCCTGAGGAGGGAGAAGGGACTGATGTGGCCTGTCAGTCCCTCCTCCCTCCTCGGGGAAAAGCCCCCAAGAGCCGCAAACACGCTCCGAGTGCTCTTTAAAGGGAGCGTGGCTCTTGAGGGCTTTTGCAGGAGGTGGGGGAATTCCCGCACCTCATAGAAAAGCCAGCAAGAGCCGCACACACGCTCCACACGGCTCATGAAAGGGAGCGCTGAACACAGCCTGGGTTGCATACAGGCTCTGCTCAGCGCTCCCTTTAAAGAATATATTTTTTTCTTGCATTCCCCCTCTAAAAACTAGGTGCCGTCTTATGGAGCGAAAAATACGGTAGATGCGTAGCCTCAGATCCATGGTCCATTTAGCCCAGCATTCAGTTTCTTGAGGGTGGACAGGAAGAAAAAAATCCTCAAAATGTTGGCTGCATTCAGATAATCAGTTTATTAAGCCACTGTTGTTGGGTAAAGGGAGGAGAAACTTTGCTGCTCCCTTTACCAAGATTAGCAAAATGAGGGAGTCTCTAATCAGCTACAGTTAACAGAAAAGATAAGATGTGGCAAAAGGAATATTTGCCCCCAAGAGACCACACAGCCAGGGTACCTACCACATTTGCTGAGATGATGAAGAGCCTTTGAATACCTCTTCAAATATTTATCTATAGAGTATCTCTGGTAATTGTTTTCCATTTTCTTAAGTTTGTTCAAGAATGGGAGATATTCCTTAGGATCCTGCCAAAAAAGGAGGGTTGTAAAAAATAATTATTTTTGAAAAGCATGAGCTGCAGTTGCCTAGTTGTCAAAGGAACGGCAGCTTGAACAGTCTCCCCAGAATTGCAGTCTAGATCTGAGCAGAAACTATTTGCCTTGTTGTTGTGTCAAAGGGCACATTCTATTTTCAGAAATGTTGTGGTCTTGTTGTAAACTCATTCACTTTTTCTAATGAATATTGTTCTCTCCTTCCCCCCCCCTTCCTTCCCTTCTTTTTTGGGGGGTTTGGGGCTCTCACTTTTCTCAGCCTCTTTTGTCCCCACTGTCATTTTATTCAATTCCTTGAGAAGACGCAGGTGGTTTTGTCCATGCCATGACTCAACTTCTGACAAAGCAAGATCATGAACACTCTTCAAAGACACCCCACTTGGGTCACCACAGACCAGCCTTAGATGTTGCCAGACTTTAGTTCCCAGCAGCCCCTGCCAGCATGGCCAATTGTTGGGGATGATGGGAGCTGCAGTCCAACAATCACTGGAGGGCACCAGGCTGGGGAGAGATTGCCACAGACAATTTAAACAGCAGTGTGGGAAAATGAGGCAAAGGATAATGAAGGCAAAGAAGAACTACCACTAAGAAACAGGTGTGATCTGTAGGAACTGCACAGAATGGACAACCCTGTATGCTTATGGCTGTGTAGCGTATTTTTCGCTCTATAGGACGCACCTTTTCCCCTCCAAAAATTAAGGGGAAATGTGTGTGTATCCTATGGAGCGAATGCAGGCTCCTTGGCTTCAGCAATAGCAACGCAAAGCCTCTGAAGCGCAGAGGGAGCGCTCCCTCTGCGCTCCCGAGGCTTCGAGTTCCTTTTGCTGAAGCCGGGAGAGCAAGACTCTCCCGGCTTCAGCAGAGAGGGAGAGCTGCGCAGCGCCTCTTCAGCGAAGAGGAGGAGAAATGGAAGGGGCTCCGTTTCTCCTGCCGCTTCGCTGAAGAGGCGCTGTGCAGAGAGGGGGAGAATTTTTTTTTCTTGTTCTCCCCCTCTAAAACAAGGTGCGTCCTATGGTCGGGTGCGTCCTATAGAGTGAAAAATTCGGTATATGCTATACCTTTTAAAGCACATTTCCTCCCTTAAAGAATTCTGGGTACTGTAGTTTCTTAAGTGCTGCTGGGAATTGTAATTCTGTGATGGGTAAATCACAGTGCCCAGAATTCTTTGATGGAAGGAATGTGTTCCGGTCGTACTTTAAAAGGTTTAGTGTGCATGCAGTCATCGACAGCAGAGGAGCTTGGGTGGCAGAAGCAATTCTTGGGAGTGTATTTTGCAGTTATATACCACTTATTTCTCCAACGGCTTAGGCCGAGAGGCAGTGACTGGGTCAGAGGGGGAATTCGAACCTGGGTCTCCCAGATCTTAGGTCCATTGCTCTAACCGCACACTACACTGACTCTCCCCTTGAGAGAGTATTTTGATAAAGCAGTGATAATTTTTGTTGTTTTTGTTCCGACATCTAGGACAGGGTAGTAAATGGGCTATGGGAAAACAAAACACAAAATTACCTTCTGAGACTTCTCAGCAACCATGATGACTAAATCGAAATCGTATGTCCCCAGAGAATGATCATACAACTCATTGACATCTACCAAGTACAGCAGGTATTTGAGAGCTTCTTCTGCACTCACAGATCCAGCAGTTATCGAAGTTTGCTCTGCAGTTTAAAATTATTATTATTATTATTAAAAAGACTTTCAAAAGGCGACTGCTGAATCAGATGTCTAAGGAAGATGTTGCACAGAAATGTAGGAAGTTGTTTAACAAGCAAGCACTATCATCACAGATTGATTGCATGAGAAACTGATCTTTACTGTACAGTAAGCAAGTTTCTTGCCCTCATTGTTCCTTAAAAAAATATATATTGGAAACATGAGTCCAACATTTGGTGAAACTCCAAAGGAGTGAGTAATGAGCCCAAACATCCCCCGGTAAATGTAGATACTGCCTAACAGCCTTTACGAGGCCCCAAACCCCCCCCCCCCCAGTTTTAAACCCCATAACATGTGTTCAATCAATTCAACCCTAATAATGTACCTCGAAGTTTACGAATTCTCTGCAGAGCTGTTTCCAGTTCTGGGGGGCTCTTTTTCACATGAGAGGTCAGTATGGACAAACAGTATCTAAAGAGGACAGGGGGGGGGGCAAGACAAGTGTTAAAACCTCTGGACTTTAGGTAGTTGTTCATTTCTCCCATATTTTGCTTAAAAGTGGAAGAGAAGAGATTTAGATATCTAGCCCCTTTCTTCAGCTCCTATAACACCCCACAGCCCTTTTTAGCAAAGAAGCTGGTTTTAAAGGGATAGAGAGGAAGTCTGGGTTGAAAATTATTTCACCAACTCCCTGGCCTTTCTGTCCATGACTGAGGTAAATTAGAATGAAAAGAGCCAATGGAGAGAGCCAATTCTGCCTCTTCTTACTGGCACCATAAGGAGTCACGGTCTCTAGACCAGGGTTTCCCTAACTTGGGTCTCCAGCTGTTTTTGAACTACAATTCCCATCATCCCTGGCCACTGGGATGATGGGAGTTGTAGTCCAACAACAGCTGGAGACCCAAGTTTGGGAAACCCTGCTCTAGACCCTGACAAAGGAGAGAGGAAACACTCACCACTCCTTAAGCCATAAGCTGCATTCCCTCCTCTTCCCACATACCCTGAACCCCAAGCTCCGAGGATTTTTGGTGGATGCGGGGAAAAATAAATTTCCTCCTTCCTCACAACTCTGGTGATCTGGTAGTCCTGTTATTAAGAGTCAAGCTCCTTCCTTTGAGTATAGACCCAGCACTCCTATCAGAGTTCTATCAGGGTTCTATGGCTTTTATATAGAGAGGTATTCTAGAATGATATGTTGAATACTTGGTAGTACTGATGTTCTCCATGGCTGTTCTCATTGCATCACAGATGAGGTTAACCTTTTTCCCATCAGAATTGTGAAGCTCACAGACATTGGTAGGCTCTAGAGGTGGGTACATGGTCTTTGTGTAGTCTTCTTCTCTACGAAGGAGCACATAAACAAAGAAACTAGGTCTCAGTGCCATCTACAAAAATGTACACAGGATAAACACATCATTCAACAAGACTGACTAAAAAAATTGGTAGGGCTGTGTGTTTCTCAAAAGCACAAAATCCAGCTTCCTAAAGTCCTCAGCATTTTGGATTTTATTTTTCATACAAATTTCTAGCCCTTAGGTCTGCAAAAATATACTTGAAAATGTGTGGGAATGGCATAATGAAATCTTAGAAACCAGAAAAGTTCCAGTGATTGAGGTTGGAATTTCACTTGCTTTCTCCATACAGGCAAATCAGAATACATTTTGCATAAAATAATAACGACAATGGTGCAAAAATAAAAGAAAATATAACAAATTTAATCTGCACGATGTGCAGATTGCAAAATTCGCCTTTACTTGATGCAGAATCTGTTTTGCACAGAGTCCTCCATCTCAGTCAGCTGTCTGATTGTACATGTTTAAAGGAATAGGACCTCCCTCTCAACCAGTCCTCAAAAAATATATGTAAACACATCAAGGTTCATCCAAAATATCTGATTCCTTCTCCTTTGTTACCTTAGCCCCTATAGACAGACTGAACGCTGAAAGGAAAGTGAAAAGGAAACAAGAGCAATCTAAAGACTTGTAGGACAAGAACTTCCTCAGGAACTAACTGTGTGCTCCACCCTAATGCTGCCTTTGCCAACCTGTTGCCCTCCAGATGTTCTGGACCTCAACTCCCATGTCATTCAAAACATCTGGAGAGCACTAGGTTGACGAAGGCTGTGCCAATGCGTGCAACAGTGCCCTGCTTTTGAAAAAGCAGAACAGCTTCAGGATGGGGGAAATTAAGAGAAACAATTTTTTTCTGCCCCAGGAGAGAAAATACTTTAGAGGGGCAGTTCTGAAATGGAAAAATGAGAGCTGGGGAGAAGGTTAAGCACTCCTTTGTTCAGCTTCCCCTCTCAAAGCCATTTTGCATTTTCAAATATAGCACCCAGGTATAAGGCGCTGTCAACCTCTTGGTCTTTACACATTAACCAGGCAATACTCACTTCAGCTCTGTGAGGAACAAGTTGATAAAACTCACTGAATCAATTTGTTTTATAAATGTTTCCACATTTTCCAGGAAAACCTGAAATGAAACCGAGTCCTGTTAACTTCACATCAACCTCTTAAATTTGTGGACCAATTATAAATAGGCAGAAGAAACTCAAAGCAAATTTCATGCTGAAACGGCCTTTCTCAGCCCATCTAACAAAGCAGTCCAAATGGTTTATGACTGATAAACCTGGGAAATCCTCCCTCAACGTGGGTAGGTATCAGAAAAGGCATTTGGAGGAGACCTTATCTAACTTTCCGTGTGCCTTGGTGCAGAAATAATATTTCCTAATCTCCTAACTTGGGTCAAGAGATACGGAACACCCCTATCATTATCGATGGAGAAAGTCTGATATTGTTACAGAACAACTGTTTTTACACTTGTGCAAATTTAAATTGATAAATTGTATCGTCAAAGTGCAAAAAGTGCAAGTAGATAAATAGGTACTGCTCCGGCGGGAAGGTAAACAGCGTTTCCATGCGCTGCTCTGGTTCGCCAGAAGTGGCTTAGTCATGCTGGCCACATTATCCGGAAGCTATATGCCAGCTCCCTCGGCCAATAAAGCGAGATGAGCGCCGCATCCCCAGAGTCGGTCACGACTGGACCTAATGGTCAGGGGTCCCTTTACCTTTACCTTTATAAGTTTTAGATGATTTATCAGTTAATATTTCTTTAGCTGGGTGACAGTGCTAACAGCCATCAACTCGCTGCGAGGATTTGTGATGTTCAGGCCCTCTCCCCAAACAGATGGACTCTGAGCAACGTTGACAACAGGTTTATTCAAACTTGCCTTTGGATTGTGGTCATAAATGAGGTTGAGATTGATTCGCAGCTTCCTCATGCATTCAAAGGCTTCTTTAAACTGGAGGCTGGCAGGAGAGGCAGAATGATGGTAAGTCATTCGAAAGAGGAAGACACATGTCCCAAATTGCTCCCAACGTCCCATCACCCTGACTCACCAGTCCAGCCACTTGCGGACTTGGGCCAAAACAAGAGCACGGTGATGAACAGTTTCCAAGTTTCCTCTCGGCATCTGCAGAAAGATCACAATATAAATTTACCGCCCTTGCTGCTAACACCACGATAGCTTATTGCCAATAGCAGGGGGAGGAGTCATGAACAGCCCCCCTTCCCTTTTGCAGCCACCTGACCCAACCTTCAGTAATCAAATAAATGGATATTGCAAAAGTGGACATATTCAAGGAAAGCTTGGTGAAAGATTTATATATATTTTTTAGAAAGTGTCTAAATAGCTGGAGGTATGGGGACATTAGAAAACAAGTGGGGGTGCAAAATGTCTCCCCATATTTTTATTTCTATAAAGGTAAAAACAAAGGACCCCTGGATGGTTAACTCCAGTCAAAGACGATTATGGGGTTGCGGTGCTCATCTCGCTTTCAGGCCAAGGGAGCCGGTCTTTGTCCACAAACAGCTTTCCGGGTCATGTGGCCAGCATGACTAAACTGCTTCTGGAGCAACAGGACACCATGACAGAAACCAGAGTGCATGGAAATGCCATTTACTTTCCTGCCGCAGTGGTACCTATTTATCTACTTGCACTGGCGTGCTTTCGAACTGCTAGGTTGGCAGGAGCTGGGAAAGAGCAACGGGAGCTCACCCCGTCACGGGGATTCAAACTGCCGACCTTCTGATCGGCAAGGCCGAGGCTCAGTGGTTTAGACCACAGCGCCACCTGCGTCCCATTTCTATACAGGGGTACCTCAGGTTAAGTACTTAATTTGTTCCGGAGGTCCGTTCTTAACCTGAAACTGTTCTTAACCTGAAGCACCACTTTAGCTAATGGGGCCTCCTGCTGCTGCCGCAGCACGATTTCTGTTCTTAACCCGAGGTACTACTTCTGGGTTAGCAGAGTCTGTTGAAATCCTATTGAAGCGTACGTAACCCGAGGTACCACTGTACTATAATACTGGCACATGAGGGAGAAGGGTGCAGCCTCAGCAATCTAGTTCGTTTTATGGGGAATCATTCAAATAATGATTTATCCAGCCTGATTTGTGAATGAGACACTCCAGGCAAGAGCTACATGGCATAATTATTCCATTTGTGTAGCCCAGTTATTTCTCTTTGCCACGATCACCACCGCGCAACAAATAAGGTGCTTTGAGCCATAAGCATAGATGGAGAGCACTCACCTGCAAAATGAGCTTTGTATCCTGCGGCACAATTGTGACTATCCGGGATCCTCTTTCAACCTTGCGCTGTGTCTCACTGTTGGGGACAGATGCGTTGCCCAAACCTGACCGCAAAGCTGAAGATGCCACAGTCAATATAAAAGCTCAGTCCCAAAGGAAGAACTATTTACTTTTTTTATGAGTGAGGAAAAGGTGCCTAATAAAAAGGACACCAGGCATAAACCCCAAGCGCAGATATGCCGGGTTTTATCCAATGAAACTGTCCCAATAGTACAAGGATTTCTGCCACTGTGCACATTTGATATAAGTTTGCTGATTGAGTGTGTGTGTGTGTGTGTGTGTGTGTGTGAGAGAGAGAGAGAGAGAGAGAGAGAGAGAAGGCCTTTACAATGCTAATGGCTTTATAAAGTATGGACAATGTTATGCTCATCCTCTTTGTGCTGCTGTGGCATGGGAAAAGCGAGCTCCTATAAAAAGTAGGAACATTGGTGGCCATTTTGAAGAATCGAAAGCAAGCATCCATCCATAGGTGGATGCTACGTATTTGAGGGAAGGGCTAACAGCATCTCAGGGAAGAGGAAGTCCAAGAAAGGATCAGCTGACCAGGGCACCCTTTCTTGCTAGCCACGCTGGGGATATTCACCTTTCAGGGATGTGTTCCTCAGCGACAGGCACTGGCAGGTATGAGCATGCGTTGTCAACAGCAGAAACTCATCGTGGATGGCAAAGGATGTGACGTTTGAAGCAACCTGTGGGAAACAGAGAAGAATCTCTGCAGTAGGTCATTATGGGGGACATTATGTTGGGGAAGGGCTGAAGCTCAGTGGTAGAGCATATGCTCTCCAGGCAGAAAGTCGCAGGCTCAATGCCTGACATCGTATGAAACCCAGGAATGCCATACCGGTCAATGCTGACAGGACTGAGCTACATGGACCAAGGGACTGACTCAGTACAAGGGAGCTTCCTATGGCAGAGGGGCAACAAAGGAGCGAGAGCTAGAAGAGGAGTTGGTACCTCAATGTCGTTAATAAAAAAGCGGCATCTGTCAGTCAGACCAAAGATGGTTTCCTGAGGAGACAAAAGGCAGAGCACAGGGTTAGAAAGCAAACCTGCCATAGATTGGGTACCTATGAATTCTGTACAGAGAATCAAAACCAGGCGCCGACTGAATCCAAAGCCTGCTAATGAAATAAACAACAAACAAACCATCTAAAATCTAGATTTGTTGAAATCATCTGAATGAAACAAAATTCAAAAGTATTTTGGATAATTTATTCTGCTTCCGCTCATTATAGAGATGGGAAAAACTATGCAGGGATCTGAAACTTCACCCTTACCACTGCCGGAATATTTATTTCATTTGTTACACACACACACCATCCTTCATTATCGAATTCAAGGGTGATATACAAAATATATTGAAACTGCATATTCTAAAACAACAATAACTCAAGTACAAGAATCAAAGTAGAAAAATATAAGCAGCATTACTAAGAGCAAGGTATTAAAAACCGCAAGTACTTGATGAAAGGAAAAAGTCTTTCACAGGCACTGCTAGGCATTGTTTTCCAAAGTTTTCCAATGCATTTCTTATCAGCTACTAAGCTGTTTCTTTTTGGTTTCAAATGTATTTCTTATGAATAAAAAATTCGGTGCCACGCAAGCAAATTTTTACTCTGAAAGTATGGCTCAGAGAAAAAAGCTTGAGAACCACTGAGTAAGGTCACAACCGGGTGCTCAGTGCTCCTAGACTTCACACTTATTGTTTACTTACTTCACCACCAACCACAGCCAGTGCAGTCTGCATACATGGAGAGGGAAACTGGACAGCTGAACCGCTGCTGTTCAGCCAAGGGGTGACAACTGGTTTTTCAGCTCCTGAAGTGGGAGGGAAAAGACACAGCAGGTCTATGTGATAAAGCCAAGACTATTTATTTTACCGAATGCAGGAGGTTCAACATCTTGGAATGATGCGGAACAGGCCAAGCTTGCAACCGGGGTGGCATCCCTCACACCACTAGATGAGGGAATGCCCCAGAGCCAAGAACAGTGGGGCTGCATGAAGAGCGAAGAGAGAAGCTCCTCTAGAAAAGTTCAGCCCAGGAAAACACCATTCAGCTTTACATTCTCTCATAGAACAGACTTCCCCAACCTGGTGCCCTCCCAGGTGTTTTCTGGACTACAACTTCCATCATATCCCTGGCCATTGGCCACGCTGATGGGAGTAGTGGTTCAATACATTTGGCAAGCACCAGGTTAAGGAAAGCTATTCTAGAAAATAGGGACGCGGGTGGCGCTGTGGGTTAAACCACAGGGCCTAGGACTTGCTGATCAGAAGGTCGGCGGTTCGAATCCCCGTGACGGGGTGAGCTCCCGTTGCTCGGTCCCTGCTCCTGCCAACCTAGCAGTTCGAAAGCACGTCAAAGTGCAAGTAGATAAATAGGTACCGCTCCGGCGGGAAGGTAAACAGCGTTTCCGTGCGCTGCTCTGGTTCGCCAGAAGTGGCTTAGTCATGCTGGCCACATGACCCGGAAGCTGTACGCCGGCTACCTCGGCCAATAAAGCGAGATGAGCGCCGCAATCCCAGAGTCGGTCATGACTGGACCTAATGGTCAGGGGTCCCTTTACCTTTACCTTATTCTAGAAAATAGACACACACACACATAACTGTATGCATCATTCACACACAGTGCATGGATTTTTGTGGCATTTGAGCCTATGAAGCTTTCTTATAGGAAAAGGCAAAGAACCCCTGGATGGTTAAGTCCAGTGAAAGGCGACTATAGGGTTGCAGCACTCATCTCGCTCTCAGGCCGAGGGAGCCAGAGTTTGTCCACAGACAGCTTTCCGGGTCATGTGGCCAGCATGACTAAACCACTTCTGGCACAACGGGACATTGTGACGGAAACCAGAGCACACGGAAACACCATTTACCTTCCCGCCACAGTGGTACCTATTTATCTGCTTGCACTGGTGTGCTTTCAAACTGCTAGGTTGGCAGGAACTGGGACAGAGCAACGGGAGCTCACTCCGTCATGGGGATTCAAACAGCCAGCCTTCTGATCAGCAAGCCTAAGAGGCTCAGGGGTTTAGACCACAGCGCCGCCCGTGTCCCTGGTTTGGCAGGCACCAGGTCAGGGAAGGCTATTCTAGAAAATAAGACACCTGCACACAACTGAATGCATCATTCGCACACAGTGCATGGTTCACAGCACCCTCTAGGACAGCTTTTCTCAACCTGTGGGTCCCCAGATGTTGTGGAACTACAACTCCCATCACCCCTAGCTAGCAAGGCCAGAGCTCAGGGATGATGGGAGTTGTGGTCCAACAACATCTGGGGACCCACAGGTTGAGAACCGCTGCTCTAGGAGATGAAAACATTAAATGTGCTAGAGGCTAGACAAGGCAAAAAGTCAGCTTATGGATTTTTGTGACATTTGAGCCTACGAAGCTAATTTATATGAAGACAGAACACTGGCCCATTTAGACATGTACTGCCTGCTCTGGTGGGAAGCAGCTGCCCCGCAAAGTCTCAAGCAGGGGTGTTTCCCAGCCATTTGTATCACAGGTCCTTTTAACTGGAGATGGAGCCTGGGCCACTGTGCGGTCAAAACATGCGCTACAACCCTTCCCTTCCCATGTCAAGACATCCAAGACCAGCCTACCGGATAAGAGAATAACAGTGACCATACATACCCCAGAGGTACTTCATTATTTGTCCATCAGAAAGTTGCAGAGCCACAGCTTTGGTCTTCGGGTTGCAACACAGGCTGATGACATCTCCATCCACAGTCACAGGTGAGCTACAAAAGGTGCACAAAAGGGAGGAAGCTGACTGTGCTATGCTCAACCTGAGAGCAGTCATTTTTGCATAAATGACTAAGGGACCAGAAGGGGAATGCAGGTTTCAGAAACCCAAACCACACTCTGAACTGTTCCTTCAAAGTGATCCCTAACAAAGCAATAATTCCAGCCCTCCCCAATAATTTTTACTGGTTTTCATGCAAATACAAGAACAACATATAATTACAGTAACTGGTCCAGTGGCAAGTAAGGCATTCTGACAGGGCCACATTCCAAATATTATTTAACCAGATTTTCAATGGGGATTTTTATTATTTAACTAGCAAAGTCTCCAAAACTCTTATGATGATCCCAGTCTCTAGCCTTCAGTGCCATTTTAACATAGATGGCTAACATGAATCAGATGCATCAAGGCGTCAGTGTACAGTGGTACCTCAGGTTACATATGCTTCAGGTTACATACGCTTCAGGTTACAGACTCTGCTAACCCAGAAATATTACCTCGGGTTAAGAACTTTGCTTCAGGATGAGAACAGAAATCGTGCAGCGGCAGCAGGAGGCCCCATTAGCTAAAGTGGTGCTTCAGGTTAAGAATAGTTTCAGGTTAAGTACAGACCTCCGGAACGAATTAAGTTCTTAACCTGAGGTACCACTGTACATGTTTGTGGAGCTGGTGTGGCACAGTGGATAAGTGATGGATTTGGATTAGGAGGACCCCGGTTTAGCCACAAACCACAAAGGGTGGCCTGGGGTAAGTGACAATTCTTCTGTCTAGCCTATTTGACTAGAACAGAAATATATCAAGAAATATATACCATGGTCAAGAAAGGCAGCAAGCACAATGAACAATCTCACAAGGACTCTTACTCCCAGGGTTTTCTAACACCCACTAAAAATGCATATTAACTGGTTGTACGGCTGCAATACTGCTCTTTCTAGGCATCAGAACACACAGATGGGCGACTGGGAGAACAAGAAAATACACAAGGATAGGCTTTCCACAGGTACTGGGGTTTAAACAGCCAAAGCCTCTGCAACAGCTGAACCAGCCATTCAGATCCAAAAGGGCACAAAGGAGGAGACCCCGCCTTAGCATTCCAGAACCAAGCAAAGGAATTTCTGAAATTAACACAGCACACATAATACCCTGTTCAATACCAGATATCAATGCTTCCCTCCTCTGCCGACGAGGACAGATTCAGATGGTGAATGGAGGTGTGAGCTGGGAGGTACGCCTGGCCAGCAGCCAGGAACAGGTCATCTTGCAACCAGGTGACAAGGCGAAGCCACAGCGGATTTTTCCCGTCTCTGTTGTCGCCAAGGTCAAATCTGTGACAGTTTTCAAAAAGAAGGAGAAGAAATTATTCATGTACTTCATTAATTAGGAGCATTAACCATCCCCACCTCTGCACAATTCAAACCCTTTCTAAAATACACCCAGGCGACACGGCATAGAGAATGGACAATATTATTCTCAGTATTATTTGGAGGAATCGTCTATTAGCCCGAGGTAATACCAGTCAGAAGGCAAGTCAGAAGGCAAGCAGAGGAAGAGGGTTATCTACGGATTCTGCAAACACTTTTATTGCGTATGTGCATCCCAAGTTAGCTTTGGAGAGCTAAGGGCTGATTCGCGTGTGTTATGTTCCATCACATCATCAAAACAGCTCCATCTCCTCACTTCATTTAAAAGGTAAAACGTAAAGGGACCCCGACCATTAGGTCCAGTCATGACCGACTCTGGGGTTGCGGCGCTCATCTCGCTTTATTGGCCGAGGGAGCCGGCGTACAGCTTCCAGGTCATGTGGCCAGCATGACTAAGCCGCTTCTGGCGAACCAGAGCAGCGCAAGGAAACGCCGTTTACCTTCCCGCCGGAGTGGTACCTATTTATCTACTTGCACTTTGACGTGCTTTCAAACTGCTAGGTTAGCAGGAGCAGGGACCGAACAACGGGAGCTCACCCCGTGGCGGGGATTCGAACCGGCGGGGATTAATCGGCAAGTCCTAGGCTCTGTGGTTTAACTCACAGCACCACCCGGGTGCAGAGGACATACAAACAGCTCCATCTCCTCATTTCATTTACCGTGCTTTAAAACTGAATCAGTTTACATGTTTACTTTACCAGCCACCAAGCGGGCAACTAATTGTTTGTTGAGAAATCAAGTGCTGATCTGCTGGTGGGAATCAGGTTTGAGGGCCACTTTTTTACACGTTGTCGTATTCAAGTGCACGCCTAGGTTGTTTCAACTGGTTTACAATCCTGGATAGTAGACAGATATGAAGCTATAGTTTTTCTGTCTCATACGTTAAAAGGAAACTATAGCTTGTTTGGCCAGGTTTGAAGTACTAAAACAAAGGGAAGAGAAGCATGCTCTCCTAATGCTCATGATTTATGAAGCTGGGGTTGTTATGGTCAAACTGGCTCGTAATGTGAAGAACCAGTGAGTTAGCCAAAAAAATAAAAGCAAAGAGCTTGAGGAACAACTGTATGTGGAATGAGACATTGGGAAGAGGTGAATGCAACCTCCCTGTCTTAGGAGAGCGCAAAATATGGTCTGAAGATCAACATCAAAAAAACGAAGATCATCACCTCCTGGCAAATAGAAGGGGAAGAAATGGAGGCAGTGAGAGATTTTACTTTCTTGGGCTCCATGATCACTGCAGATGGTGACAGCAGCCATGAAATTAAAAGACGCCTGCTTCTTGGGAGAAAAGCAATGACAAACCTAGACAGCATCTTAAATAGCAGAGACATCACCTTGCCAACAAAGGTCCGTATAGTTAAAGCTATGGTTTTCCCAGTAGTGATGCATGGAAGTGAGAGCTGGACCATAAAGAAGGCTGATCGCCGAAGAATGGGTGCTTTTGAATTATGGTGCTGGGGGAGAGTCCCATGGACTGCAAGAAATCAAACCTCTCCATTCGGAAGGAAATCAGCCCTGAGTGCTCACTGGAAGGACATATCCTGAAGCTGAGGCTCCAATACTTTGGCCACCTCATGAGAAGAGAAGACTCCCTGGAAAAGACCCTGATGTTGGGAAAGATGGAGGGCACAAGGAGAAGGGGACGACAGAGATGGTTAGACCGTGTTGTCAAAGCTACCAGCATGAGTTTGACCAAACTGCAGGAGGCAGTGGAAGACAGGAGTGCCTGGCGTGCTCTGGTCCAGGGGGTCACGAAGAGTCGGACACGACTAAACAACTCAACAACAACAAATGGAAACAATACAGAAAGTCAAGGGAAGAGTTACCCTGCTCACCAGAGCTCACCCAGCCAGTACCCAGTACAGACGTACCTTGGTTTTCAAACAGTTTGGTTTATGAACAACTTGGAACTCGAACACCGCAAACCTGGAAGTAGTTGTTCTGGTTTGCGAACTTTGTCTTGGAAGCCAAACGTCCGGCGCAGCTTCCGACTGGAAGCCGCACAATGGTTTCCGAACGTTTTGGAAGTCAAACGGACTTCCGGAACACATTTTGTTCGAAAACCAAGGTGCCACTGTGGTTATATGTATTGGTTTCACATTCCTTCAGGAACAAATATTCTGCACCCAGTTTAACTCCCGGTACCTGTATGTCTTTTCCAGCCGAGGGACTGCAACTTTGCATCTACTTCCACCAACTGCACCAGTTTTAACAGTGGCGTCTGTGTCCGTCTGGCCATCTGTCAAAAGGCAACAAAGAGAACATGCGATGGACTTACTTCAGCATCAGCCTGGGAACTTACCTCTGTTCTGTTTTAAATTAAATTGAACGCCACCATCCCCACCCGGCCTTTTAGAATGCAAGGAGTTGAAGCCATGTTTTTGGCGAAGCCACGGGTGTACCTACCCGCTCTATAAATGGAAATCCTGTTGCTAGCATCCAAGACAGCAAGATCCCCACTTCTAGAAGGTTCCATAAGGAAGGCAACTTGATTGACAGAACAGGGGAGCTGGAGCTGATAGCTACAAAGAGGTGGAGGGGCAACAGCGTGACGGAAGGCTGTCAACAGCACCTTGTCTTTAAAGAGAAAAAGGAGAGGGGGAAATCGCTTTCATGGGCATCAATGCATAGCAGCAAAGGCCAGACTAAACATACAGACATCATCACAGATTTTTTCATATTAAAATCCAATGCTTCTTAGTGGAGTCTGATCACTTTTTCCAGCGGCCGATTGTTAAGTATAGCGCAATCACATGAGCTAAGGGTATGAACAGGCAGGTCACAGGTTCGAATCTTGCCTCTAATCTGAACTCACCAGGTGAATTTGAATAAGTCATTATATTCCTAGAGCCTCAGCCCCATCTGCTGATCAAAATACCAAGCTACTTTACAGGGCAGGTCAATAACAACAACAACAATCTTTATTACGGTCCAGAGACCCAACAAATCGTTACAAAGCAAGACACAATTCATACAGCCTACCTCCAGGTTAAACAAGCATTTTGTTCAGAATATAGGGATCACTGGTTCTCGCAACCACCGATAAAAACTTTGCCACTGCTAATGTTCTAGCATTTTCCGGTCTTCCAATAGGAACCTGACATAGTGAGCCTCTAATTTTCCTGGGAAAGGTACCAGCAAGGGTAGTATCAGTTCAGCCCTGGCTTGCTCCTATTTTGCACAGTGCACAATAACAATACTGAACTTCCTTACAGGATTGTTGTAAAGATTACTGAAACACTCTATGACATGTGAAGGGCTCTGAACACATTGAAAATTCTTTATAAATATTAAGATGTACACTCATCATGCACGGGAGATGAGGACGAGAACTGTCTCTTCACTATCTTTATAGATGTTTTGTCAGTTTCGACTGAGTTTCTTTGGAGGATTTCTAGGTTCCTTCAAAACGGCCTTTCCCTCATGTTAACAAGCCCTTAATCAGGGCTGTGTATACCCGGCAGTTAAAATAATTGTTCTGAATCGAGAAAAAACTAAATTTCATGACCTGTTTGTATTATGCAAAATTAAGCGAATTTCTATGTACAGTGGTACCTCAGGTTACATATGCTTCAGGTTACAGACTCCGCTAACCCAGAAATAGTGCTTCAGGTTAAGTACTTTGCTTCAGAATGAGAACAGAAATCGTGCTCCGGCGGCGCAGCGGCAGCAGGAGGCCCCATTAGCTGAAGTGGTGCTTCAGGTTAAGAACAGTTTGAGGTTAAGTACGGACCTCCGGAACGAATTAAGTACTTAACCGGAGGTACCACTGTATTTGCTTATTTTGCATCATTTATTCTGCTTCTACTAGCTATGGGGAGGAGTCCTGCATAGGGCCTACTGTAAACCTGACAGAGTAGCTTCTCCATCTTGTGAAATGCTGGGTGAAGTGGGGGAGATAAGGGAATAAATTCAGATTTTAGAGTTTGCAAAAGTGTGGCCTAATTCTTTTTGCGCGGACTTCTCAGCAGGCGCAGTCCACCTTAAAAAAAACCACAACAACCTCGCTCAGTAGAAACGTACCTCCATCAATGACTGCCACGCTAGCCAAGTCGCTTGCCCCTTCACCGCTGCTGCGGTCCGTACTCCACTGCCAGTCATAGCAGAGGTAAAGCCACTGCTGGCAGAGGATGTGGAGTCTGTACGGCATCTCTTGGTCCCATGCCAGGGACACAATGGACTGGCTGCCTTCTGAGCTATCAAAATGCAGGCTTTGCTTCAGGTACCAGTGGTAGTTCCCCGTTGTCCAGAGCTGAACTGTACACAGAACGCAGGACTGTACATTAGACACCCCCCAACTTGTAGCACAACAGACACTCCCCCCCCCCAATCTCTCTAGCCTTTGAGGTATTAGAATCTCTTCTCTGTCTAGTTGTGTAGCATTCAGCTTAGTTTGAAAATGAACATTTCCCAGGTGGTGGTAGTCACCATGTTCTTTTGCCACAGATGCCTCTTTCTCCACATTTCTTTTTAATTTTTTTTTATACTTTTCAGATTTATACATTTCATTAGTTTTACAATCGATTTAACATTTCAAATTTTGATTTCCTTCCTGCCTTTCTGCGGTTCCTTAAATTTATTTTTCAATATCTTCTGCATATCCACATTCATTTAACTTGCTCATTTAATTATCTACTGCAAATATATACTCTTATAAAACTATAATAATCCTGCTAACGTTTTCATCTGTTTACAGTTTATCTGTAAACATTCAATAAACCATTTCCATTCTTTTATAAAAAGTCTGTTATCTTGATTTCTTATTCTTCCGGTAAGTTTCCCCATTTCTGCATACTCCATAAGTTTTTGTATGCATTTTGTATGCATCTTCCTTCGCTGAGACTTCTGCTTCTTTCCACTTTTGGGCAAGTAACATTCTTGCTGCTGTAAAGGGTAAAGGGACCCCTGACCATTAGGTCCAGTCGTGGCCGACTCTGGGGTTGCGGCGCTCATCTCGCTTTATTGGCCGAGGGAGCCGGCGTACAGCTTCCGGGTCATGTGGCCAGAATGACTAAGCCGCTTCTGGTGAACCAGAGCAGCGCACAGAAACGCCATTTACCTTCCCGCTGGAGCAGTATCTATTTATCTGCTTGCACTTTGACGTGCTTTCGAACTGCTAGGTTGGCAGGAGCAGGGACCGAGCAACGGGAGCTCACCCCGTCGCTGGGATTCGAACCGCTGACCTTCTGATCGGCAAGTCCTAGGCTCTGTGGTTTAACCCGCAGTGCCACCCGCGTCCCCTTGCTGCTGTAGTAGCATACATAAATAAAATTCTATATAATTTAGGTACTTCTGTCCTTCCCACATCTTTCTCCACATCTCTTTTGCCTGGAGGCTTGCAAGAAGGATGTCAGCACACATGAGGGAGGGGGGTCAGGACTGGCCTAGGTGCCTCCAGTTACTGACCTCTACCCTATAGGATTTGGGTTGCATGAAAAGTCTCTCTAGTGCCCTCTCTCTTTCTCTCTCTGTGTCCTGAGAGTTTAAAATGTATCTCCTCAGTGGCAGCCATCACACATATTGGTGCATGCACGTTTCTGCAGTTTAATCCTCCACACGACTGGAAGCATTCAAATGCAAGCAGCCAGCCATGCACCAGGGTACTTGATGGAGGCCACACCTGACTGTGAGCCAGTCTGAGAAGTTCTGGTTCACCAAGAGTCAGATGATAATGCTATGTTCTTACTGTGGGGTGTGAAACACAGAGCAGACAAAATACAACATTCCTAGAGAGGGATGTTTGTTCAGCCAGTAGATAAACTTCCTGTTTCCTCCTGGGCTGGGACAAACTTCCTCTACATATGACCAGAAGTGGGCTTGACCTTACCTGTGCAGGTAACAAAAGCACAGGACTGGCCACCACATCTCTCTCTTCTCCATTTTGCAACTCAGCCTGAGATGCTCTCTTGGCTTCCAAGAGAGAGGACAAAGGCTTCTAGCCAAGAGAAGACAAAGGAACTATCTTCTTATGGGATAGATTCCAAGTGTATATATTTTGTAACTTAAGTCTGCCTTCTGGGATCCATTTGTGAACAGAATGTGTGAGTAAACTATTTTATACTTTTTATACAAAACTGTGCTGTGTCTATTTCTTTTTAGGAGGGAATAAAAGGGGAATTACCAGGACACTTATTTTAGAAGCTTAAACAAGCCTGGTAAACCTATTCGCTGTGTAAGTTTTAAAATGGGAATGTTACTCTGCTAAATTATAGAACTTGTTAACGCAAGTTGGAAAGGATATTATTAAACAATATATCCTCTCCTGCCTCCCTGAACATTCCCACACTTACCATATGTCTTTGGTTGAGCTGTATCTTCCGTTTTCAGTTCTTCCAACCATACTGCCAATATCATGGAGTCCGAATTCCAGAGTAGCTCATTTACCTAAAGCAACATGGATTGGGGTGTCATATGAAGCTGGAGCCATTTTCAACAGAATTTATTTTCCTTCAGTCAAGTAACATCTCCTTCACAATTTAAAACTAAAGAATTCTAAATCCCTCCAAACAAGAGGAGGGCAAGAAATCTTCAGATTCAGTTAGCTGACTACTACAGTGGTACCTCAGTTTTTGAACGTCATCCATTCCAGAAGTCTGTTCGAGTTCTGAAACATTCAAAAACCGAAAACTGAAAGCAGAAGCCTCAATACGGAAAACTCAAAATGGAAGCCGCATTTTCTGTTCGACTTCTGGTGTGTGTTCGAAAACTGAGGCATTTACTTCCAGGTTTTCGGCATTCGAGTTCCGAAATGTTCCAACTATGGAGGCGTTCAAAACCGAGGTACCACTTTATTCAGTTTACAAATCCTTCAGAAAGAGGGTCATCCTACCTTGACTTGGCCTTTCTGGAAGGGAAGTGTGAATTCACCATGAAGAAGTCCGTTTTTTTCAAAGAACACAACGTCGTGTTTGTTGGCTTTATCTTGTGTGGATGCAATTAAGCTTCCAGAGGGCCTCAACAAATAAAACGAAAGTGTAAGTTAGGACAACGTTTTGGACAATTCCTCAAACATGCATTTTTATTTTTTAAAAAAAGATGAAGTAGTGAAACGTCTGTCATAAGGAAAGGTGGAAGGTGGAGAAGGGAGACCCTATATATATTACAGAGAGCTTCTGAAGGTGGAGGTTTCTCCTGTGTGTTCCTCCTGAGTACAGCCCCTCAGAACAAAATGGTCTCCACTGAGAATCAAGCTTTCCCCTCCAGCATAGCCCCCATCTACAACCACCTGCAGGAACTTTTCCAGGGAGAAGGGTGAAAGCCAACACTACAAATATATACATACAAACAAACATTGCTAGAGTCAGAGAAAAGGGCTACCGTTTCTCGTAGATCTGGGAACTCAACAACAGTGAATCCTGAGCATTAGATCTAAAGCCTTGGCCTCTGAGAAATTTATATGCAAGGCCTACCCCTTCATTGCTCCTCAATGCCCTGCTGTCTGCGATACAAACAAAACCGGTTCACCCACCACTGAAATTCTCACTTCATTCCCCATTTCCCTCCATCTCTTCCGGCCTTTAATTCAGGCTTCCTCAAACTCGGCCCTCCAGCTGTTTTTGGCCTACAACTCCCATGATCCTTAGCTAGCAGGACCAGTGGTCAGGGATGATGGGAACTGTAGTCTGAAAACACCTGGAGAGCCGAGTCTGAGGAAGCCTGCTTTAATTAATGGCACTGCTGCTAAATTCAACTTCACAAAGGATTCCCAGGATCCTTTGGGGGGAGCCACGACTGTTAAAGTGGTATGATACTGCTTTAAATGCATAGTGCAGATTGGGCCTAAGTGGGTTTCAACAGTGAAGTCACCACCTTTAAAATCCATGGCTGGTGAAGTTTCAATGGGCATATGTGAACACAACACAAACTCATTGCGCACCACAAAACACAACTCTTCCCTACTCACTTCCATGCCAGTGCTTGTTCTAACCCTGGGACGGGCTCACTTGTTGTCTGCAAAACAAGCTCTCTGCTCCACACCCTGACTTTCCGAGCACCTGCATTTTCAGAGGGGGGGGGGAGAGAAATATGCGCACAGTAGACTCATTATAATTGTTTTCCAAGCTTCAGGATCTGCAGACTATGTTTCACCCATAAAGTCTCCCAGGGAGCCTTATCAGACAACACAGGTTAATATTACATCTTGAGCAGCTGTACATTCATTGCTCAGTCTGTCTGATGGAGTCTTTCCTCTTTTTAAGGAAACTGGTGCAACGCCTATCATCACGACTGTACATATTATGTGTGAACCCATGCGCAGGGACACCATAGGTGTGTTTGCATGCAATATACATGTATGTCCTCTGCACCCGGGTGGCGCTGTGGGTTAAACCACTGAGACCAGGACTTGCCGATCAGAAGGTCAGTGGTTCGAATCTCCGCAGCGGGGTGAGCTCCCGTTGCTCGGTCCCAGCTCCTGCCAACCTAGCAGTTCGAAAGCACGTCAAAGTGCAAGTAGATAAATAGGTACCGCTTCGGCGGGAAGGTAAATGGCGTTTCCGTGTGCTGCTCTGGTTCGCCAGAAGCGGCTTGGTCATGCTGGCCACATGACCCGGAAGCTGTACTCCGGCTCCCTCGGCCAATAAAGCGAGATGAGTGCCGCAACCCGAGTCGGTCACAACTGGACCTAACCGTCAGGGGTCCCTTTACCTTTACCTTATCTACCCAGTATCCCAACTGCAACACTGTAGCCATGAGTGAAAATAAAAAATGCACTCAAGGATACCACTGATTATCTCAGTGCCTGGGATGGGAATAGCTTTTGTGTTTCCTTAACTGTGTATCAGGCTCTGGCCCATTTATGTTAGCCCAATACTTTAACAGGAACCACATAGAACTGAGATAGCACATCTGCCTATGTCTTCTTGGAGTTCTGTCTCTTAAGGAGACATTAAGGGTGTGAACAGAGCCATGAGAAATACCTTAACAATGTATATTAATAACAGTTATGATGACAGAGTATTCTCACTTTTTAAAATACGATTTTTTTATCCTTTATTCAAGCAGGTGTTGTGTGGTTTTTTTAAGCAAAAAGCATTTTATTGTTTTGAACTTATACCAACCTGTCTCTGGGCAAACAGCACTCACTGCAAAGTACTGTCCATCTCCTCTCCAGGTGATTCGAGGTCTACGGTCATCCCATGGCAGAGCAGGCAGCACTTCCTGGGGAAATAAATGATGATGCACTTCCTGTTAACTGAGACGCAAGAGGCAGGTGGCCGTGTGCCATTTACTCCTAGTCCCCTCCCACACACCTTGTTTGCTAGCTTAATTTTCCCGTGGATGAGACTGAAAAACTGAGGGCCTGCTCTGATTGGCTGCAGTCGTACAACACAGTAAACCATAGTGAATGACAGCAACAAACCACAAGCTGTGGCTTTACAAACTGTTGTTTGCTTCAACCCCAAACAAACCACAATATACGATATGAAACCCTTCTTTGCTAAGCAATCATGGCTAATTGGATCAAAACAAACCAAAATCCCCACTATGAACATATCACTAATTTAGGAACTGTGATTTGCCGTTCCTTCCTATGCCAGGAGCGTGGCAAAGTGAGAGCAATCCTCACGTTCAGAGTAAACAAATAACTATGGGATGTGCAAACTGGGCCTTATATTTCAATTCAGTGTGTGAATAGGCTTAGGGACCTTCGCGATTGAGTGGACATTTCAAACTGGATCCTCTCATTCCAACGCTCTATCCACCACACCACACTAGCTCTGTGATCCTATTTAATGCAGGTATTCCAATAAGAACAATTTATTCAAATAGGGGTGTGTGCCTTTCTTACATCCATCATTTTGCCACTGTATACATTTTCTACTTATTTGTGTACACGCATAACCAATATTTATAATGAATACAGTACCACTGGCTTGGTGCGAGCTGCCTTCTTGCCTTCTGATCCATGAAACTGGGTTTCCTTTTTACCCCAACCAACAGTAATAAACTTTCCTAGAAGTTAACAAATTAGCAGCATTTGTGGTGTGACACTTTAACAATCCGACAAAAATGTATTGCCCACCCCATCAAACTTCACAAGACTTCATTCTCGTTCTCAAAATCTTTTGCAAACTTTACAAGTCACCATGCCAACCACCTGATATCAACTTCATTGCTGGAGACCAGCTGGAGACCTTAAGAGTTTATGAAGTCTTGATTCAAACATAAACATGATATCTCTTTCTATTATTCTTACAGGGGGCTATACCTCTCCATCCACAGATAAGCTAAAAGCATTTGTCACATTTCGGGGACACATTACAGCCAGGCAAAAATAAACACACAAAAAGGACATGGAGGAGGGCTACTGAAGGCTAAATAGTTATCTGAAGGGCCACATGTGGCCCCCAGGCCTGAAGTTCCCCGCATCCTGCATTGTAGAGTCTTGAACTAGGTGTCTTCTCAAGTCCCTTCCAACCTTGTAACATGCAAAATGAGCAGCTGGATCCAGTTGTCTGGTTTTCATTTGGTTCTGCCTATGCGGGTGGCGCTATGGGTTAAACCACAGAGCCTAGGACTTGCCGATCAGAAGGTTGGTGGTTCAAATCCCCGCGACGGGGTCAGCTCCCGTTGCTTGGTCCCTGCTCCTGCTAACCTAGCAGCTCAAAAGCACGTCAAAGTGCAAGTAGATAAATAGGTACCGCTCCAGCGGGAAGGTAAACGGCGTTTCCGTGCGCTGCTCTGGTTCGCCAGAAGCGGCTTAGTCATGCTGGCCACATGACCCGGAAGCTGTACGCCGGCTCCCTCGGCCAATAAAGCGAGATGAGCGCCGCAACCCCAGAGTCGGTCATGACTGGACCTAATGGTCAGGGGTCCCTTTACCTTTATGCATTTCATTCAATTTTTAAAACTGCTGCCGTGCATTTTTTGAGCATCCCATATCTGCAGCACCAACTCACCTTCTCCAAAGTCATCTTGGTGGATTTGACTTTCTGTAATAGGTTCAAAGTCCCTCGTCATCAGGATGAGAGTCTGCTGACCTGTGTCATAGTGTGAACAGCAATGGCCTTTAAAATCGAGACTCTGCCAAGATGGACTAATATAGCTTACTTATCACACCACAAAATTCCAACCCTTCTTCTGTGGCTGTTGGGACACCACTGCATTCTCTTTTCCTAGACCACCGTTTCACTTATATCATTAGTATTACGTAGTCTTCTCCAGTTCTTCTTGATATTTACCAAATATGGATGTACTCTTACATGACATTGTCTGATACTGCTTTCTGCCCCATTGTTTCTTTGGATTTGGTACATTTCATTCTACCTACCTAGACATTCTACCACATTAAGTGCAACATAAATTGTATAAATAAAACAAGAGATTTAGGCTACAATGTTGTCTTTCAACAAGCCTTCTAAAAGCTTAAACCCAGTTGATAACTGTATTGGATTTGACTTGATTTTATGTATGTGTTTATTTGTTTTGTTTTTAAATGTTTCAATATATGCAGTTTTAACTGTTTTTATATACGTAACTGTTTTATATATGTGATTAAACTTCAAATCGTTTTGGGGTGCCTCATATGAAGCGATTTGTAAGTGAACTGGATAAACAAACAAACAAACAAACAAACAAACATGTGATTCCCAATATTTTAAAGTCTTCTAAAAAATAATACAGTGGTACCTCTGGTTACATACTTAATTCATTCCGGAGGTCTGTTCTTAACCTGAAATTGTTCTTAACCTGAAGCACCACTTTAGCTAATGGAGCCTCCTGCTGCCCCCACACCGCCAGAGCACAATTTCTGTTCTCATCTTGAAGCAACGTTCTTAACCTGAGGTAATATTTCTAGGTTAGTGGAGTCTGTAACCTGAAGCGTATGTAACCCAAGGCACCACTGTATTCAGTTAGCACATGACAAAGACATTTAAACTCGAAGAACAGTTGACAAAACAGTAGCAGAATATTAACTTAATAGTTATTACTTCTGTATTGCCATTAAACGTAAAAAGTGACTGCTTTCAGTAGGAGCTTCTGGATCTCACAGACACAGAGACTTTGTGCAGACATGATGCTGGTTCAAAGAAAACCTCGGTCTGCCAATTGGTACAGAAACAGGTATGTGCTCCCCATCCCTCTTGCTCTCATCAGAAGTAATTCCCCCCGCCCTAAATCATACTGATTTAGTGTTACAGGTGCACTGATGCCGACAACTGTTAAATGCTAACTAAGCAGGTTTTCTTGTCAAACCAAGGTCTGAAGCCAAGCTTGGAAGTTGGTTTGGTGAAGAAGAGAACCGGATTCACAGCCAGCACTGGTGAACCTGTAACACTAACCCGGAAAGCGCACAGTTCCCAAGGCTTATTACAGTTTTGCAATGGGTCAGCACTGTATCATCTTCAATAGACCAAAAGGTAAGGAACGAGGCTGACAGGATTGGCTTTGGAATGTTGCTCCACACCTGTGGCAAGGAGAACGAGCTCTTGGTCAGGACTCCAGCTCATCACAGTTAGACCGCTGTCCACACTCCCAACACACTCCAACTGCAAAAAGATTGAAGATTGTTAACTCATGCTGCTGCTCCTGTGCCTTTTAACAGCAGCCTCACACAACCTCACAAGGGATTTGACAGTGTCAAATGGAGGATAAAGCCATTAAAGGGTACTAGCCGAGGTTGTGATGTACTCCCTCAGATTACAGAGGAAGCATGCCTCTGAATGTCAGCTGCAGGGAACAAGAAGAAGAAGAAGAAGAAGAAGAAGAAGAAGAAGAAGAAGAAGAAGAAGAAGAAGAAGAAGAGGAAGAAGAAGAAGAAGAATTTGGATTTGATATCCCGCTTTATCACTACCCTAAGGAGTCTCAAAGCGGCTAACAATCTCCTTTCCCTTCCTCACCCACAACAAACACTCTCTGAGCTGAGTGGGGCTGAGAGACTTCAGAGAAGTGTGACTAGCCCAAGGTCACCCAGCTGCGTGTGGAGGAGCAGAGACACAAACCTGGTTCCCCAGATTACAAGTCTACCGCTCTTAACCACTGCATTCAGGTTCTGTTTAGAGGCTTCCCATAGGGCACAGCGGTCCAACAGGTCGCCCAACGGCCACATATGTCCCTTGAGGGCTTTTTTGTGGCCTTCAGCAACATTTGACGCTTCCACAACCCTTGCGCTGCCTTCCCAAAGTCGGTAAACAAGGTGCTGTGCTTTGGGAAGGTGGTGTGAGGTCTCTGACAGGATCCTAGTGTCTCCTTTTAACTTTCCCAAAGCCTAGTTAGTGCTTTCCCAACTTTGGGAAGGAGGTGTAAGTTCTCTAGATGCGGCAGCTAGACTGGTGACTGGGAGTGGCCGCCGAGACCATATAACCCTGGTTCTGAAAGATCTACACTGGCTCCCAGTATGTTTCCAAGCACCATTCAAAGTGTTGGTGCCGACCTTTAAAGCCCTAAACAGCCTCGGCCCAGCACACCTGAAGGAGCGTCTCCTCCCCCAACGTTCAGCCCGGACACCGAGGTGGTACCTCAGGTGAAGAACTTAATTCGTTCCGGATGTCCGTACTTAACCTGAAACTGTTCCTAACCTGAAGCACCACTTTAGCTAATGTGGCCTCCCGCTGCCACAGCACCACCGGAGCACAATTTCTTTTCTCATCCTGAAGCAAAGTTCTTAACCCGAGGTACTATTTTTGGGTTAGCGGAGTCTGTAACCTGAAGCGTATGTAACCCGAGGTACCACTGTATGTGGTAAAATACACCTCAGTGACAATTTACATTTGGCAAACTTCCCCCGCCCCTTACGTGCAACAGATGTAAAGAAATCCATATACTGCATTAACAAAAAAGAGCAAAAGCTAAAAACTCTGTGGATGCTAATAAGATTAAGGCAAGAACATTTACAACATCCATATCACTGGTTAACCATCATGTTACTTTGGCCCCTCCTGTCATACCTGGTTTGTGTTCAGATTGCACAGTATGACGTCTCCAGTCGCAGTAGCCACACAGACAAATTCCTGATCAGGCAAATCCTCAATGCCCACAATGAACCCGCTTCCATCTTCAGGTAGAAAACCCTCAGCTAGCAAAGAAACTTCATTTGTGACCTTTAAAACAGAGACAAGCACCTGCTATAACGCAAACATGTTGATTTGGCTCTTAGCGGAAGACCACAACCAACATGTGCGTTAAACTGCAGTTATTTACTGGTCCTGCTGCAAACTGCTGGAATCATCCTAGCAAAATGCATGTTCCTCTGGCATACACATCTACAAAAATATGTGGATATATTTTGATTACCCTTTTACTAGGATTCTATGCAATGGCTTAGCATCCAACACACTGGGAAACTGTAGAGTGCCTCTTTACTGATTGTTTTGAGATGCTGGTGTTCATGGGTTAATTATTTTTATATTAATTGCTGTGATGAATTTAAATGCTGTTGAACTTGATGAAATGTATATTACCCTGTACACCTTGAGGTTGATGGGCACACTACACATCGTCACCACCACCACCATCATAGAAAGCAGTGATTTGCAAACTTGTTTTCTTAGGAATCTTGGAGTCCTTTGGAAATCTGTCAGGGGTTCCTTACTGAGAAGATCAGTAATAGCATAGAACATTTAGTGAAAAACACTATAACTGAACATTCCCTGCAAAGTGCAGTCATGGGAGAAGAGTGAGCAAATTCTGGTGCACTTTTGGTTCATGAACATAGCAAAACCTAACAAGCCTGGTCAGCAACAACCAGCAAGACCTGGAAGTATGTTCTAGAATATATCCCAGAACCCTTTGCAATATGCAGAGGTTCTGTAGCAGAGGCAAGGGTTCTTCAGCAGACACACCAACATGGCAAGAATTTCCTGGGAGCAGGAAATCGAAAGACTGCCGCCCTGAACGTTTTAGTGTTAATCGACACTCTTCTGCAAATACACCCACCCACAATTTGAACAAAGTCTTTAATAAAAATTATCCGCATGCTTTCTGTCTTGCAAAATTAACTCAAGAATCTACCCAAACATTTTTTAACGCCAGAAATTACCTCTGTATGGAGTAGTGAATAAAATACAATGTTGAAAGCATACACAGGTTCAATTCCTTCCTTTGATTGAAAGTATTTTATGCCCAAATATTCACATCATTAGGCCTCACCTGATGAAAAGCCAAGGGCTCACTATGGAAAAGCAGCAAAAGTAGTTGGCAATGGACTGTTGCTAGGCAGGCAGCTCTTAGAATGCAAAAACCAAAATTGACATGTGCTATCTCACCTCTTGTGTGGTAGGATCCACCTCCACAATTCCATACTCTGTACTGACTAATAACGTCCCCTTGTCTGCACGGAGACAGAAGCCTTGAGGAGTTCCAACAGTCCGGACTGGCTGGCATTCCCAGGTTCTCAGCAATTTTAGATTTCTCATGCTGTCTTCAGTGCACACAACTGAAAAGGGGTAAAAAGGAATTGCTCTTCTTGCCCTAAAGACCAAATCAAAGTAACGGACTGCACCTAAATGAAAAAGGAGAGAGAAGCAAGCGTTGGAAAATGTTAATTCTTGAACACGAATACTTGAAGCAGTGTCAGGAAACTAAAATTGGGAGTGCTTCCAGACAGGGGGCTTTATACGGTTGTAACCAGGGCCGGATTTAGGTTTGATGAGGCCCTGAGCTACTGAAGGTAATGGGGCCCTTTATATGTCCAGCTGTCCTTTGTCAACAACAAATTGTCGCTGTTTTTTGTGTTGAATATATGCTATATGGTCATTTATGGACCTAACAGGCATCTAAAGCCATTTGCACATAACAAAATATGTATTTTATCAAAGTAATCGTTGAACTGAAATACAATTAAGAAGAAGTATATTAATAGTGAAATACAATTAAGAAGTAGCATATTAATCGTGATATTTTAGAGAGCAGGCTAGCAGGCGGGGCCCATTATATACATCAAAGGAGCCTACACAACACAAAACACTGTTGCTGTATGTAGGTTTTATTTTATTTGTTTTTTATCTTCTATTTTGGAAAAGTACATCCAGTTTTTTCCCCCTTTAATTTTTTTGGGGGCCCCCAAGAGAGTCGGGCCCTTATAGCTTATATGTAAATCCGACACAGGGACGCGGGTGGCGCTGTGGGTTAAACCACTGCCGATCAGAAGGTCTTCGGTTCGAATCCCCGCGACGGGGTGAGCTCCCATTGCTTGGTCCCTGCTCCTGCCAACTTAACAGTTCGAAAGCACGTCAAGTGCAAGTAGATAAATAGGTACCACTCTGGCAGGAAGGTAAACGGCGTTTCCATGCGCTGCTCTGGTTCGCCAGAAGCGGCTTAGTCATACTGGCCACATGACCCGGAAGCTGTACACTGGCTCCCTCGGCCAATAAAGCAAGATGAGCGCCGCAATCCCAGAGTCGGCCATGACTGGACCTAATGGTCAGGGGTCCCTTTACCTTTTAAAACCGACACTGTATGGTTGTAACAAACAGATCGGTGGCAGAAGACTTGCATGCACGAGGAGTACAGATCCTAGAGTAAACACCCGTCTTGAAACACCCATTAGTAGAACTGTCACTGTACCATGATGGAGAGCTAGCTAGTTTTAAGCACATCCAAAGATTGTCCTGTTTAAGAAAAGAAAATAAAATGGGGGGAGATGGAGGGCTATTTTGCAACCAAGGGCCCCGTCATTCCGCCCTTCACCTGCTAGTAAGGCGATAATTCGCAAAAACCAGACTCCTCAGCTGTGGGAGAGGCGAGGGCACCCCCAACCCCTGGGGTGCAGGCGGCACCGCGCGCTCACCTTACAACAAGCGGCTCCCAACTGCCCGCGTGCAACTTCGCCAGAGACGCAGCGCGCCTGCCATAGTCAAACCACTGTGCGGGCAGAGCGAGGGGTCGAGCATGCTCAGTGAAGATCGCGAAGCCGAACCGGAAGAGGGCGGCTCTGCGCATGCTCGGCGGCATTCTGAAGCCGAACCAAGTGAGGGCAGCGCTGCTGAGCAAGCAGTAGAAATCTCATCCTGGGTATTATATTTAAAGGGAGCGTGGTGGTTCCTTAAGGATCAGTTCAGTCTCAGAGTCTGAGACTTTAGCGACTTGCTTGCCCTTTCAGCAGCCTTTAGTGCCTGGGAGTGGGTTCTTTTCATTGAAGAAAAACTGCTTAGGGTATTAAGAGTGATCTTGCGTGGTTTGTTTTGTTTTTTTAAAGGGCATCGGAAAGTGGAATCCTGAAATCAATAGCTCAGCTAATAACGCCTTATATAATAACAGCACTGGATAGTTCGCCAGTATTAAATAACGGATAATTAGACGCAACTTTTGGTTGTGCTAGCTAAGTTGCTGAAAGAAACGAGCATGTCATTCGCTTTTTGCTCTTGCAAGAATAATAAATAAACGACGCATGAATCTGAGCTTCCAAGTTCAAGGGCTTACGATAGCAATCTAGCTCGCGATGATTTATCGCTCAAGGGCGCTCGGGTCTTTATCTTGCAGGAGTTTGCGCCAGTCCTGTGCAACTTGCTGTAAACCTCAAAGCACTTCCGATCAGGCATTTGCGGGCATTCGCTGGTACCGGGCGACATCACGGGAATCAAGGCTGCAAACCCATTAAATCTGGGCGGGCTTGCAAAAAGGCGAATGCACGCATTCAAGTTGCCCAGCGCAGCGGCTTCTAGCAGCATTTGATCTCGCATGACCATAGCTGTCAAGGTTTCCCTTTTTTTAAGGGAAATTCCCTTATTCCGAATAGTATTCCTCGCAAGAAAAGGGAAAAGTTAACAGCTATGCGCATGACATGTTCTTGGAATGCCGTTGCGCATTCTGTAAGATGTCCTTTCCCTATAAGTAAAAATGAAATAAAATAGGCGCAGGGAACTGGGTTGGTTTATTGGGGGTGGATGGGAAACCTATAGCCAGCTATTATTAGGACCAGCTTAAAGCGTCGCAAAATAAGCCGCAAACTTTCGAGCTCTCCGGGGGAAAGAATCGCCCTCGCCTCGGGCAAGAACGTGGAATATTTCTAGGAGAAAGACACGGCAAGGCGCGCCTCCCCGCTTCCCCCGCCAAGCGCGCAGCGGCGGAATCCATTGTTGTCTTGCTTTCCGCTCCTTCGCGGCTTTCCATGCCGGGACTGCCTGGCACCGCCCCGTCCCAACCGACCAGGAAACAGCCGCTGCTCGCTGGCTCGATCCTTGCCCCATAACATTTGCTGCCGTTTGATCAGGAAGCGGATCGGGCCCTTTGCAGGCACAGCTGCTTCTGCTGAAGTCCGCTCGGAGGGCGAGTGAAGGTAGGAGCTGAAAGAGTGACTTGCTTGCTTGGGCAAATTTGGGTATACTTTACGCACATGCGGTCCTCCTCTGTTGAGTGGGGTTTGTTTGTTTTCCCCCAACTCCCTTAGCGACGCCACTTTTCTTACTTGAAGGACAGCGCTGGGTAGTTTTAAACAGCAGGAAAGAAAGCAGTTCAACAGGTGCAGCATGGAGGTACTGTGATAGGCAGGAGTGCCAGCCAGCTTGGCCCTGCGTCAGGTGACAGCAAAAAACTGCAAGGTTTTTAGCGGGGGCAATTAGAATAAGATCTACTATTTGATTATTAATGTAAACCTCCGAAATGTATTTTGTACAGTTAAGTTTTTACCTCTGTCTTCAGTACATCTTGTTTTATTTTATTGCTATGGCTGATACAGATAAAGATTATTCTGATCTGATCTTGGCCCCATGACCGGGGGTGCCTAGGGCCATGGGTGCTATGCAATATGTGCATGGCGCTGGCTGGCACAGAACTTTGTGGGTGCCCGGTCCCTTCATGGGGAATTTTGTAGGTGCTCAGGCCACCAGGGCCCCAGGAAGTTGGCACCTGAGGCAATGATAGGTGAGGGAAACTGCGCTGTTTATTTTTGTTAGCCAATGCAGTGGCCCGAGGGGGTAGGTTGTTGAGAGCTAATGTGGCTGAGCTGTTTGTTTGAGACACCTCACCCCACCCATCATCTATCCCATCACTCGTTTTGTGCAAGTGCTTTTGTTTCTTAGCTCCAGAAACCCCTCCTTTTTGCATTAAATGGATGGCACTGTGGGTTAAACCACAGAGCCTAGGACTTGCCGATAAGAAGGTCAGCGGTTCAAATCCCCGCGATGGGGTGAGCTCCCGTTGCTCGGTCCCTGCTCCTTCCAACCTAGCAGTTTGAAAGCACGTCAAAGTGCAAGTAGATAAATAGGTACCACTCTGGCAGGGAGGTAAACGGTGTTTCCGTGTGCTGCTCTGGTTTGCCAGAAGCGGCTTAGTCATGCTGGCCACATGACCCGGAAGCTGTACGCCGGCTCCCTCGGCCAATAAAGCAAGATGAGCACCACAACCCCAGAGTCGGTCACGACTGGACCTAACGGTCAGGGGCCCCTTTACCTTTTATTATTGGACCAGGGGTGCCAACTTGAATAAAATATGGGCGGGCGGTCAGATAAGCTCCGCCCTGCATCATCAACCACATGATGCGACACACACACACAACATTTGAATGGCAATGCCCATCAACTGGGGGAGGGGGCTCAAATATTTTATGGGAGGCCAAAGGGATCTTGGCCCCTAGGAGTTGGCTCCTATGTACTGGACATGTCATGCTCCTCCTGGAGTAGTTTGTCCACCTTTGGTCCCCATCCTGCACCCGGTGCTCACCTGTGGCTCCTAGAAGCTGTCAGGATGCAGCCACACCCCAGGAAATGGCTCTGGCTAGCCAACCAAACCAGGTGAGGGAAGCTGATGGGTCTCAAACTCTGAGACAGTTAGGGACTTCTCCTGCATGTGAAGAAGGCTCTGGTGGATTGAGCGGACAAGACCAGTAGTAGGTCCAAGGGTCAAGAAGACAGTGTCTGCAGGGGCAGTAGAGGGACGTGAGGGCAGATGGGACTCGTCCACCTGGGAAGGGAGCCCATCTAGGAGAAGGAAAACTCCGATCCTAAACCTCTGCTGCCTTGTGGGATATTTTGGGGAGAAGAAAAGAAGAAGAAGAAGAGTTTGGATTTGATATCCCGCCTTTCACTCCCTTTAAGGAGTCTCAAAGCGGCTAACATTCTCCTTTCCCTTCCTCCACCACAACAAACACTCTGTGAGGTGAGTGAGGCTGAGAGACTTCAAAGAAGTGTGACTGGCCCAAGGTCACCCAGCAGCTGCATGTGGAGGAGCGGAGACGCGAAACCGGTTCCCCAGATTACGAGACTACCGCTCTTAACCACTACACCACACTGGCTCTCGAGAAAAGACTGAGCCAGCCCTACACAAATCTGGAGTGGAGTCCTTATGGGTAAAATTATGAACAGAAGGTTTGAGGTTCACTGCGTGCTCCACTCTAAAAGAAAATTTAATGAAAATGATGTACCGTAGGTATATCACCCTGGTTAAACTAGCAAAAATGTACAGAGTAAGTAATAAAATGTGTTGGAAATGTAAAACAAAAGACGGTGAATTTTTTTCACATGTGGTGATGTGAAAAAATGAAAAAATATTGGGACATGATATATAACGAAATGAAAAAACTATTTAAATACACTTTCCCAAAGAAACCAGAAGCATTTTTGCTAGGGATAACAGGGGATGAATTTAAAAAGGAAGATTACAAACTATTCATGTACGCAACGACCGCCGCAAGAATCTTAGTGGCTCAGAAATGGAAATCCCAAGAAATCCCAACTTTAATGGAGTGGCAAGAAAAAATGTTTGAATACACAGAATTGGCGAAATTGACTTATAAGATTCGGAAATTGACTTATAAGATTCGGAACCAAAAAGAAGCAAAGTTTGAAAAGGATTGGAGTAAATTTGTTGAATATATACGGAGTAATTGTAAGAATTTAAAAACTGTAGCAGGATTAATGTAAATCTTGTGATGTGGATGGAGTGTAAATACGAAACTGTAAGAAAAGATTTGAGATATGAAAACCGTTGAAGGGATGGAAGGAAGTCCGGGCGGAATAAGGTGCAGGGTAAATAAGAAGACATATGAATTTTTGAATGTAAGAGTATTTATTTTATTTATTGTTGTTTCAAAAAAGCAATAAAAAGTATTGGAGTGGAGTCCTTAAAATGGTTGGGTGGTGCCTTGTACGCCTCCTTCCAGCAACTCCTGCAGCCAAGCTGGTGCCAAAAGTATCAGTGAAGTCGAGAGAGGGGTCTTGTCGTCTGGGCATCCCAGGACCTCCATACAGACTGCCCATGCTTGTGCACTTTGGTGCAGTAATTGTAATGTGCTAAGTGCTGCATGGTTTCAGTCATGGTTTTTATTGCTGCTTTTCTGTCTTGCATCTTATTTTATTCTATTGCAGCCTGCATTCCACAGGAAGCAAATTGAAAGACAAGAAAATACAATATAAGAAATGAAATAACAATACAGCTAAATATCAATGGGAATGTTGAAAGTGGCCAAGCCATGGATTGCCTGAATGAAGCTTGTGGTCCACAGACCACAGTCTGGAACCCCTGTACTAGGTGACTCAAGGCAGCTAGCAACATGTAAAATTTAAAGCTATTGAAAGAGGAACAATAAAATGCAACCAAAGCAGTAAAATAAAAGCAGCAGGAATAGAATAAGAGCAGCAGCTGAGAAAACCTCAGCAAACCTGCAGCAAAATTACCCAGCCTTCTTACTCGGCCAGCCACAACCCCTCCTGAAATAATCTTAATGTCCTTAGCTAGTTTGGTTTCTGTAGGGAGGGCATTCCAAATCAACTGGAAAAACATTTCCTTGTTCCCACTTGCTGCACTTGAGTTTAGGAACAGGATCTCTGATGCTGAACAAAGTTCACAGGAAGGCATATACATATATGAGATAAGGTGGCCCTTCAAGCATCAGTCATGGGCTGTTTAATGCTTAAGAATCAGTGCCTATAAGTGGCCCTGGAATTGAAGAGGAAGGCATTTGGGGGTGGGAGGGACAACAACAGAGTTACATGCATCAGCCCAGCCCCAGGCAACAGGCATTTTGAACCGGTTGAAGTTTCAGGATGCCTTTCAAGGGCTGCCCTTATCCCCACAGCTGACAGTATGTGGCTGAAAAGTGGCATTGCGCATTAATGGCATGATATACTGGTAAGCTACCCAAGCAACTCTGGGAACGGGAAATTCTGACCAGCAGTTATTGAACAGAGGTAGAAACCAACCCACCTGAAAGCAGGCTGATTTCCTGGACCTACTTGTATTTTTTTTCACACACTCACTGCTTGTGGTTTTGTTATGTACTGAGTTGAATAGGATTCAAAAGGCAGCAGTCTGATTGGTCCTAGAACAATAGGATTCAGAATGCAGCAGTCTGATTGGTCCTAGAACAATGCAGCAGTAAGATTGGTCCGCAGGAGCCACCCAATCCAGCTCCAGGTGGAAGGGAATCTGCAACCTGATTGGCCTACAGGAGAATCCCAGAATTAGCCAATCACATGCGGCCCATTGTGTAAATAATGTATATAAAGCAGATATTTGGGGGGAACTTTCATTCCTCACTACTATGAGCTGAATAAAGAGCATGAAATACTCGACTCTGAGTATATTTCAGGTTTGTCTCCATTGCCATGTGAGTTGTGTGATGACCTCCGTACATGTGAGGAAGCTGTTTGGAGAAGCAGAAGTGCTGCCAGATTTGGGCTGTGGAAGGAAGTTTGCCAAGAGGAACGTCTTTCTATTAACCAGAACTGTGGGGCTTGCATGCACGTAGTATATGCTTATTTTCTCAGCAACTTTTTCTTGGGCTTTTTTGTCTTTCGCTGTTTGCATTCCAGCAACACAAGATCTGCCCTGCGGTGGAGTATGGAGCCGGATTCTGAGAGCAGAGATTGCCTTGTGGCCGGAACTTCCAGTAAGCCCGAAGAAGAAAAAGCAGAGGATACTGAGAGCGGCATCAGTTGCGCCCTAGAAGGAGGTGGGCCTCCTTCCAGGGAAAAGTGGGAGAATGTGGATCTGAAACCTGGCAGAGAAACCCCCAAGAAACAACTCTGTGGCTATTTAAACAAATTTTCTGCAAATGCCCCAATCAAGACCTGGAAGTCGCGTTGGTTCGTCTACGATGAAAACAAATGCAACTTACTTTACTACAGGACAGCACAGGACATGAACCCTCTGGGGAACATAGAGCTATCCAGTGCTAGCTTTGATCTTAAGGTGGGAGTGGAAGAGGGCGTTTTTGAAATCAGGACCCCCAGCAAAGCATTTATCCTTCAGGTATGTGGAACACATGGCTGGTTTGGGCTAGTGGTGGGGAAATGTGCATGTTGCGGCTGGTGGCATGCAATGGGACTTGAGCTCATAGGGTGACCTAAAGGGATCTCGGACAGGGATCTACCGTTTGTGCCCAACTGAAAGTATGGAAACAAAGGCAGACCAACCGTACTAGTGTTGGTGGATAAATTATTTGATTCCTTGTCCTGGAGACTCGATGCGCTTGGGGGTTTCCACAGAGCTGAAGCTGTGAATTTCCTGAATTAGCCTAGGACTTGCTGATCAGAAGGTCGGCAGTTCGAATCCCCGCGACGGGGTGAGCTCCCGTTGCTCAGTCCCAGCTCCTGCCAACCTAGCAGTTCGAAAGCACGTCAAAGTGCAAGTAGATAAATAGGTACTGCTCCAGCGGGAAGGTAAATGGTGTTTCCGTGTGCTGCTCTGGTTCGCCAGAAGCGGTTTAGTCCTGCTGGCCACATGACCCAGAAGCTGTACGCCGGCTCCCTCGGCCAATAAAGTGAGATGAGCGCCGCAACCCCAGAGTCGGCCACGACTGGACCTAATGGTCAGGGGTCCCTTTACCTTTACCTTTAGGACATGTTATAACCAGTGTTTTACTATTGTGTCCAAAGAACCGGGAGCATTTATATACAGGAGAGATAAACATGTTTTGTTCCATTTAACACACATTTTAACATCTCTATCACCATTGAGAAGCCAGCATTATCTTGGTGTAGTTTCCACGGCTACATCCAATTGTAGCTGAATGTTCAGTTAACCAGAATCCCAGTCTTCTCCTGTTCTGACATTTAATGGTTCTTGGCTGCAGACTCTTGGAGGACAAAAAATAATAAAATTAGCATGCAGAGGCAAGTTTAAGTAATCCCTATTTTTTAAAATTGGCAGAAGATAAAGGAGTTGGAACCTTTGGGTTGCATGAACTTCACAATTTTCTCTTCCCTTTACAAAATATCCTGATTCACAGTTTGAGAAGAAGAAAGCTCTTGTCTTCAGGAAATTGCCTTAAACATGATTTCCTAGTGAATTTTTTCTGAAAGCAGAAGACAACCCTAATAATTCATGGCAGTATCCTGAACTCCTGAGACCATTAGCATCCTCTGCCTCAAAGATTATTAAAACAATACAAGTATGTTACTTTTGCTGAGTGTTGGTGGGGAAGACTTTCTTGTACGTTATCATTTTAGACAGCCCACTCAGTGTATATGGCATTTTACATTGGATGCATTTGTACATAACACTCAGCCATGGTTAGTTCAACAAATCACCAGTTGTCCTGCAGACAATTAAACAAGCCACGGTTTGTTTCCCAGCCACTTTTGCCTCATGCCTCTGTAGCCTGGCAAATGTCTGCGGTGAGGTGTCCTGATAAGCCATGGCTGAGCACGGCTGTTAAGTTTGCAGTTAAAACAAGCCATAGTTCACGAGCTGCCAACAAGCCATGGCTTCAAATTGTGGTTTGTTGCCAGAAAACAAACCATGGTTAGTCGGCTAGTCTGGGTTTGGATGTTCAGAAAAAACACATGCCGAAACAAACCATGGATTACTGTTGTTCAGAGCAAGCCATTGTTTCATAAGTGAAAATCACACACACACACAAAAGCAGACACGGTAGACTGACTCACCTGATCCCCCTCTTGCTAAAGGCTTGGGGGGCTAGATTTTTGTCAGTTCAGGGGGTTCCTCAGTTTAGGCACTAGTGGTTGATGATGGGAGATGGCACATCCACCGCGCTGAATATTCATATTGAATTCTTAACTGTATTTTGATTGCTACTTTTACAGTGGTACCTCGCAAGACGAATGCCTCGCAAGACAAAAAACTCGCTAGACGAAAGGGTTTTTTGTTTTTTGAGCTGCTTCGCAAGACGATTTTCCCTATGGGCTTGCTTCGCAAGACGGAAACGTCTTGCAAGTTTGTTTCCTTTTTCTTAACACCGTTAATACAGTTGCGACTTGACTTCGAGGAGCAACTCATAGAACGCGGTGTGGTAGCCTTTTTTGCGGTTTTTAAAGACTTTGGTGATTTTTGAAGCTTTTCCAAAACTTTCCCGACACCGAGCTTCGCAAGACGAAAAAAATCGCAAGGCGACAAAACTCGTGGAACGAATTAATTTCGTCTTGCGAGGCACCACTGTATTTCTGTTCTTTTTTTATTGTATTACAATTTGGATTTAGTGAATGCAACAAAATAGAATATATAAGAAGCCAAAGAAGCAATCAAAACACAATTTAAAAATCATTCGGCGTCTTGCACAGAACATTACAATGGTTACAACAGGCAAAAAATCATTAAGTAGCCTGCCAGAACTCAGCAATTTTCATGTGGTCCATGGGGCAGAAAGTTTGGAAACCACTGCACTAGGCCCTCTGCTTGCACAGGGAAGCCAAACTTACACTGCGTCAAAACCTCCCCAATTATACTGGATTTTGGTAAGTCCATGATCTGTTGTGATGAGGTTGGGTTTGTCGCTGAAATCTATCTGTTGTGGAATTTAGCTGTATCTGTAGGCAACTCCTTGAGTTACACAGATCCTGTATTTAATAAATTTTTTCCCCAAATTGAACTGTAGGCTGTCAACAAACAGACCATGATATACTGGTTGCAGCAGTTGCAGATAAAACGCTGGGAGTTCTGTAGTAACCAGACTAGAAGTCCGGCAGAGGATGACACAGATTTCCTCTGTGTGAATGACGCCACACTTAACAATAGTAAGTAGCAGCAGCAGCGCAAATGTGTTGCCCCCCCACCCCTACCCCAGGGGACAGGATTATTTCGCCAGTGCTGGTTTAGTTGGTGCGGCATAAATTCAGCCATTTAGCAGGGCTTGATCCTACAAATATTAATGCAAACAGAATTCTGACAGGGCTGAGACTTGTGAGAGAGTGTGTGTGTATGAGAGAGAGAGAGCATGAAAGAATCTGCTTCCTCACTGCGCACAAATTGCACAACATCAGCCTAAGTGCTAAAGTAGGGTTTGCTAACTTCTTTTTAGTTTGAGGACCGCATTCACCCTAGGAAAACTCCCAGTGGTGGCTGTAGCCCCAAGTGGTACATGCACAGCACACACAAGACACAGCTTCCTCTCCTCAGCTGATTCATGCAGATCAGCTGAGGAGCAGCTCATCTTATGATAAATGGGATGACCAGGGAGGAGCAGATTAGTATCCCTGTCAGGGTGCTGGACTGGCAAAGAGGTTTATATCTCTTCACCCATGCTATCCCCATCTCTATCCTCACTGTCACTGCCAAAAATTGGTGGGGTCTGGGAACAAGGGCACAGAAAAAAATGCTTGGGTGACTGGATCAGGCCCCCGGGCTAGAGCATATTAGTTGCCATGGGTGACTAAACACAGCAGGCCAACTCTCCAGTGAAGAACAAAAAAAAAAAAAAAAATGCAGGCAGATGGTCCATGGGGGGGGGGGGGGGGAATTCGGACAGTAGAACAATACCTTTTACTGGAAGCCACAATCTAGGGAGCAAGCTTTAGAGTTCAGCAGAACTCTTCATCAAGCTGGATGTTAGGCGAAACAGCACAAAAAAACCAAAGGAGAATAACCGAAGTCTGTAATTTTGATGGACGGCTTTCTGGAATGGAGACAATGCTATGCAGACTCCAGCCCAAATCTTTATGTATCTACTCTGAAGTAAGCGCCACAGAGTTTAATGCAACTGACATCTAGTTAAGCGTGTCTGCGCTCACATTGCTTCTGTGCTTACTCTGCATCCAGCACACTCTCTCTGCTATTTTTGAACCTGCAGTCGCATGCAGCAAACTATGATCCATATCGATCCTGTAGTTTCTTAACAAATACTGCTGTTTCGTGTGTGTGTGTGTGTGTGTGTTTTAAACCGGCTTCAGTCCAATTAGAAAACTTGATGTGGAGTAAGTACTAATGTGAACCCCTCCCCCAACAGCCATTGCACAAGTTCAGATGACGATTTAGTGAACAGGAAAACTGGGGGGGGGGGGGTGTTTGCAGGGATGGGGAAACCAAACAGGTTACCTGCATCAGGTGAAGACGTCCCTGCCCCATCTGTAATGCAAAAAACTCCATGCAAATGTAGCTTGAAATTCTGCAGGGCACAGGCTGGGAAATGACCTCCCTGTGTTTTAAGCCGCAAATGTGAATAACATGCCCTCAGATTATAGCTGTGCCTTCTGCAAACAAACAAACAAATAAACAAACAAACAAACAGAAAACACCTCTGGACGCCATAAGAGGCAATGGCTCCTCTCGGTTTATAAACACGCCAGCAGTTATTTGGAAATATCAAAAGTAGAGGCCTCCAGTGTCTGCCTGCTTAAGTTCTAGACTTGCCTGGGCATGTGAGAATTTCTGAAGTTGACCACTCCACCCAAGGCTAGCCTAGTTCTCCATAGCGGTTGGAGAAATGCTTCTTAAAAGTCAGCCAAAATGGGTATCTCATTTGCCCCAAATGGGTGGCAGTATTTGTGTAAGGGACGCGGGTGGCGCTGTGGGTTAAACCACAGAGCCTAGGACTTGCCGATCAGAAGGTCAGCCGTTCAAATCCCTGTGACGGGGTGAGCTTCCGTTGCTCGGTCTCTGCTCCTGCCAACCTAGCAGTTCAAAAGCACCTCAAAGTACAAGTAGATAAATAGGTACCACTCCGGCGGGAAGGTAAACGGCGTTTCCGTGCGCTGCTCTGGTTCATGCTGGCCACATGACCCGGAAGCTGTAGGCCGGCTCCCTCGGCCAATAAAGCGAGATGGGCGCCACAACCCCAGAGTCGGCCACAACTGGACCTAATGGGCAGGGGTCCCTTTACCTTTACCTTATTTGTGTAACAGACAACAGAGAATGCACTGGTAGCAGTTCTCTCTCCCTGCTGTGCTTGATGCACCTATAACTTTAGCTTGGGTGTGTCTGAATCCCATTGATTCTGTTGGTTTGTTTGTTTTTTCCCTCCATAGCAGAGGCAGAACATGATTTTTTGCCCCCTGTGAAAACCCCCACAGATGTCGTCGGCCCGAAGGCAGCCTCTCTCCCAGCGCCTCTACAGCCTTCTCACCCTCTTCAGAACATCTCCCTCAAGCATCCTTGGATTGAAATACAGTAACTGTTTTTATCTCTCTTTTTTGAATTTCTGGAAACTAGCTGTGTTAAGTCTGTTGCACCACTAACAGCAGAGTCTTTTTGACATCTCAAGGACTAGCAAATGCTCCTTTGTGTCCTGAGTTTTGAAAGGCGAGAGCCAACCAGATGGCATGAAAGAGAAACCCTGCTGTAGGCATGGGTGTCGCTATAGAGGGGGAAGATGTTGTTATGGAAGGTGACGTTATACTTTTTTTAAAAAAGCAAAATTATTAAGATGCTTAAATGTGTATTTTAGCTTTATTAAATGAAAAAGGGAAAGGCTTGAAAGTGCACAACTTGCATTGATCAACTCTTGTAAGCATTTATGGCTCAATCACTATTTCAATAAACTCACAGATGTTGCATAAGAACTTAAGGAAAGCTGTGTGGCATCAGATCAAGGACTCCTCTAGCTAAACCATATTCCTGCGTTGCAGGGGGTTTCCAACCATATTCCTGCATTGCAGGGGGTTGCACTAGGTCAGGGTTTTCTAAATTTGGGTCTCCAGCTCTTTTTGGACTACAACTCCCATCATCCCTAGCTGGTGGTCAGGGATGATGGGAATTGTAGTCCAAAAAACAACAACCAACCAGCAGGAGACCTGAGTTTGGGACACTCCAGACTAGATGATTCTCAGGGTCCCTTCCAACACTACAAATCTCTGATTCTGTGTCCATGAAGGACTTGAAGAAAACATTGTGCTCCCCACCCAACAACTGTTTCTCCCTAGCAACCAGGGAGAAACAAGGTTAGTCAGAAGCAAAAATGTGGGGAAGTAAACATTGTGCAGGAGCAAAGAATTCCCCCATGAACCTTCCTCTTTGTTCATATTACATTCAAATAGAATATTTAGGCGCAACTGTAATGTTTGAGTTTTGTACCTTTTTGTGCAGATTTGTCTGTTGCACATATGCTTGTACCTCACTTCATCTCTCTACATATGATCAATATACACTTGATGACTTAGAATCATAGAATCATAGAGTTGGAAGAGACCACAAGGGCCATCGAGTCCAACCCCCTGCCAAGCAGGAAACACCATCAGAGCACTCCTGACATATGGTTGTCAAGCCTCTGCTTAAAGACCTCCAAAGAAGGAGACTCCACCACACTCCTTGGCAGCAAATTCCACTGTCGAACAGCTCTTACTTACGGCTGAACTTGTGAACCAGGACGTGACATTGTATTTGAAGAGTGATGACACAGTCATCAGATGATGAGCATGCATGTATGAACCCGGCCCTAAGTGAGTCCAAGTCCTGTGAGTTTGCGACAGCTGGGAGCAACGGCTACTAAATGAAAAAACCGTCCAAAGTCACTAGGAAATGACTGGATATTGTTGCAGGAAGATGTTGCATTGTGGCACGAGTGTACCAAAACAGCCAGCGGCATTTAAGCGTTATTAATTCACAGGTTCTGTCTAACCATTCCGCTGTGCTTCTGTGCTTCTAGGAACACAGTGCATAATCTTTATGATAGCTGGCAGAGCCGGAGGGACAATGGTGGCATGCCTTGTTTGGAGGGAATCCAAGATGACCTTGAAAATGCAGCCGATGAAGAGCATGCAGAAACTGAAGCAGAAGATGCAGGTACTTATTTCTGCATGACAGTGAGAACATTTAAAAACTGCATTGCTTCCTTGTGATTCTCAGGGCCGGATTTAGATTTGATGAGGCCCTAAGCCACTGAAGAGGGATGCGGGTGGTGCTGTGCGTTAAACCACAGAGCCTAGGGCTTGCCGATCAGAAGGTCAGCAGTTCGAATCCCCGCGACAGGGTGAGCTCCCGTTGCTCGGTCCCTGCTTCTGCCAACCTAGCAGTTTGAAAGCACGTCAAAGTGCAAGTAGATAAATAGGTACAGCTCTGGCGGGAAGGTAAACGGCGTTTCCGTGCGCTACTCTGGTTTGCCAGAAGCGGCTTAGTCATGCTGGCCACATGACCCGGAAGCTGTAGGCCGGCTCCCTCAGCCAGTAAAGCGAGATGAGCGCCACAACCCCAGAGTCGACCACAACTGGACCTAATGGTCAGGGGTCCCTTAACCTTTTAAGCCACTGAAGGTAATGGGGCCATTTATATGTCCAGCTGTCCTTTGTCAACAACAAATTGTCACTGGTTTTTTTGTGTTGAATATGTTGAATGGTAATTTATGGACCTAATAGGCACCTAAAGCCACTTGCACATGCAGAATCTAGGCACCCTGTATATAGAAATGAGCAAACCAGTGATATTTTAGGGAGCAGGCTAGCAGGCGGGGCCCATTACTTACATCATAGGACACTACACAACACAAAACACTGGTGCTGTATGTAGTTTTTATTTCATTTGTTTTTTATCTTATATTTTGGAAATGTACATCCAGTTTTTTCCCCTTTAATTTTTTTTTGGGGGGGGGGAAGAAAGTGGGGCCATAAGCTATAGCTTGTTGAGCTTATACATTAATCTGGCACTGGTTATTCTGCACAGCTGTGAGGGAGAAACTGGGAAAAGTGAGCACAAAAGCCTTCATTGAAGCCTCTGGGATTTATTCTGAGTAAATATCAGGGTTTAATTAAGCATTTCTAGGTAACCTGGGCATAGACCCATTATAGCACAAACTTGCAAAAACGTTTGCACATGCTAAGATACACCCATAGATGCAAATGTCCAACTTTCAGATGTGTGGGGGGGGGGACCTCTGACTCAAATTTATATAATACCTTGCTGTGTGAATTCTGGGCCCAGTATGGAGTACAGTGGTACCTTGGTACTCAAACGCCTTAGTTCCCAAATGCCGAAAACCTGGAAGTAAGTGTTCCAGTTTTCGAACATTTTTCATAAGCCAAACGGCCCATGCAGCTGTTGGCTATTGTTTCTGGGGCGCCTGCACCAATCAGAAGCTGCGCCTTGGTTTTCGAACATTTCAGAAGTCTAATGGGCTTCCAGAACGGATTAAGTTTGGCACTTTTGTTTTTGCTATTTTACATTTTTGTTTTTGAGGCTTTTTCGGTTAATTTGTTTTTGTGACTGTGTGGAATCCAGTTCAGCTACTAATTGGTTGTGTGACTGCGGAAATGGATAAAAGCCCTCTATCCAAACAAAGACTATCATCAGTCTGGGTAAGAAAAAAAAATAATTTTAATTTTTCTCATCTACAATACTGTCTTATTTATTTTATGGTGCAGTACACTGATTATTGCTTTCGTATTATGGATCCGTAGTCTTGTTCAATAGTAAAATTCTTGTTAAATTGCTGTTTTAGGGGTTGTTTTTAAAAGTCTGGAACGGATTAATCCGTCTTGCATTACTTTCTATGGGAAAGCGTGCCTTGGTTTTGGAACGCTTTGGTTTTGGAACGGACTTCCGGAATGGATTAAATTTGAGAACCAAGGTACCACTGTATTGGATTTTCTAGACCTAGAATGCATGGATCGGGCCCTTCTTCCTACCTCCAGTCTGCTGGCGAGAAGTGCTGCTTTGGACTCATTAGAAGTAAAACAAGCCTTGTCTAATATCGAACATTGCTTTCCCTTTCACTCAAATTTTGTCCATATAGCTGTTTCTCACTCACTCACCCACCTCATATTGCTATTGCAAATACACACAAGTTGCCAGTCAATACCACCTACATAGAATAAATGGTAATCACAGATCAAAACAATCTGTGGCACCACTCGAAAGCAGGAAAGTGTCCTATGTTCTTTTCTTCCTCAGGCGAAACAGAGACGCAGAAGGATCCAAAGTCAAGGCTAAAACCACCTTTGGTTAGAAAAGACAAAAAGGAAAGCAGGAGTTTGCGTTGTTTTGCTGAAGGGGCAAGAGATGGGAGAACAGCTTCTCTTCAGCACCAAATTTTGGTCCTTGAAGAGGATGTCAAAGCTCAGAAGGTAATCCTGCCCTTGGTATGGATGGAGTCACCATACCATTTTGATCTATAGGGAAATGTGCTTAATTGCCTTTTGATCTGGACACAATATTGTAGAAGAAGGTGTATGTCTGCCTCATGTATTACTGTTGCTGGCAAGAGAAGAACAGGACCAAACATGTGATGGGGTTGATGAGAGCTGTGGTCCGAAACATCTGGAGGGCACCATGTTGGCGAACGCTGCATTCTAGAAGGTATTATGAAAGGAAGCACACCCATCTTCTCTTTTAGCATCTAAATACTGTGTCCAAGTCCAGATTCTAATTTGCCTTTTTTCTGGGCTCTTGTAGAAGGGTCATTCTAGAGCTATAGTGCGTTTCCTCTTTACTAGGTTGCGGTAGAGGGATGGTTGTGGAACCAAGGTTGGAAAATGGTTGGAATACTTGTGTGGTTGTGCCCAGATACTGGAGAGTTGTTCAGAGTTACACCTAAGAGGGATAACTGCCAGTATAGCTTTTGAAGACCCGATTTCTCTCTAGTAACTCACAGAGGCACCATCCTACACAAGCCTAAGAGTGGGTCACAGACTGAGTGATTGCATCAGCCTGCGATACAGACTCCCCGCTGAAAACTGCATTTCCTGTTCAACTGCTGAAGGACAACGTTGTTCCTGATATTTTGGGGGAAAACTGAAGTTAGAACATCTAAGCTATTATGAAATACAAGCTGATTCTCTAACGGTGCTCTTAGGTTTTTTTCATGGTGAGGCTGTCAAAAGGTTTCTAAAATAAGTTGAATTCTCAGAGGAACAAAAACCTGATTGTTTTATGGAAGACTGGTGGCGGCCATATTTGGTATCTAAGTCTTGCCAATTTAAACATGATTATACACCTGAGGGTTTTTTTAAAAAAACAACAGCTAAGAAAACACTTTTCTTATACATTTCATTTTTACTGGTAAATTATTCAACTTCTTAATTCGAAGATTATGATTTTTATCATTTTGTGCAGGATCAATGTAAATTTAACTAGCCTGTGGTTAACGCCTCATTTGTGCTTCTAGAATATCGGCACAGCATCAACTCTCTGAATCTTGGGAATTTCCTCCAGAACTGTATCTGAAGAATCATTGTGGCTTATTGTCCTCACTAATTATAGTTGGAATGGAAAATTAGTTCATCCTCATATGATACAAATGCATCATTCTTTGTTCCTTTCCAGATACAGAAATGTATGTTTGATCACTCTGGAATCCTGCGCTTCCTCCAAGTTGTTCAGAGTATGACTTATAAAGCTGCCTTTAGAAAATTAAGGGTCTCCCCCCCATGTTTACTTTTACAGGAACTGGTTAAACTTCTCCACAAAGCCCTGGAGGCAGCCCAACAGGAGAAGCGAGAGTCCTGCAGGTACCTGGTCACAGCAAAGGAGGAGGATAGGCTGGAGCTGGTGCGGCACAAAGTGAGGCAGATTGCTGAGCTGAATAAACAGGTTGAAGTGCTGGAGATGGAGAAAAAGGAGCTGGAGCAGGGCTTGGCTTTGAAGGACGAGCACATCGGGGAGCTGAAGGCCCACGTGCAGCTCCTGATGGACAAAAACCAGGCCAAGCAACAAGTCATCCTGAAGCTGACGGAGCAACTTGCCAGAGACATGCCTGACTCTGTTGGGGAGGCAGACACCATTCCCATGGAGACCTTGTACAAGCAGCAGGAAGAGATCGAACATCTGAAGGTACTCTGAGGCAAATGGTGCAATGGCAGGGCCGGCCCTACCATTGGGCAGAGCCTTGGGGAGCAAATGTGTTGGGGATGGCACAACAGTAAACACAAGAGGTAAATGCCTCTTTAGTCCCCTATCCCTTGTCTGTTGCTACACAAGCTGTCCTGGGGGCCCTTATCTGTCCTGATGATTCAGGTACTATCCCATCCCTGGTGTTGAAGGAAAATTTAACTGCTAGTCTCTTCAGTTTCCGTACCTGGGAAGGGGCACCATCTCTGGTGGCAAAATGCTTTGGCCAGGGTACAGTAGGAGGTGACGATTATGACCTCACTCCTTCCACAGTTGCAGCTTGGTGATATGTTATCCCATCGTTCTATACCTCTGTTTTATTTTTGTGGCAAGTCTGTGTGCACCACGGTACCATAGCAGCTCCTTTAAGAAACAGCCCGGAATATGATATTGAGCAGAGGATTCAGTTTCCTTTAAAAAAAAAAAATCACTGTGCTCCTTCATCCCAAAGGAGCCCTCAACATCTGGAGCGCACCAGGTTCGAGATGACTACTACACTTAGGAGACAGTGTTCTGGTTATCTCTGTGAATGTGATGTTTTCTATCTGTCTACAAAATAGGACTTTCTGTTGCTTTTTGTCACCAATGCCCTTGGCCTGTTTGAGGAGCCATGGAAAGAGTCCAACAACACAGCTTGCCCCTATCTTTCTGTCAGACACCATTTGCCAATTCATAAATGTTAAGTTGTGGGAGAACATATCAGATGACACAGCGATTCTTCAAACAGCTCTTGTTTATTCACAGGCCAGAACAGAACTGAACTGAAGTGTTCAGTCAGCCTGCTTATATAGAGCTCCAGTACAACGTAACTGTAACAATTTTCTAAAACTATCCAATCACTGAACGTCACTTTCAATCCCTTATTTGCATAACTATCTACAGTATCCCCCTGCTGGCCCAGGGTGAGAACTTCAGTACATAACAATAAACCCAACAAATTTCTTGGGTGTACAAATTACAGTTGTGCCAACAGGTTATTTCTACGTATCTTCTCTTGTCTTTTTGCCAGGATGACTTAGAAGCGTACAAGATTCAGAACCAATTTCTGAACTGCGAAATCCACCAGGTTACTAAAATCTGGAGCACGGTAGCGCAGAAAGAGAAGACCCTACTGATGAAGGTAAAAAGCAAAGTATTTTTAAAAGTCCAGTGTTTGTGCTTTAGGCCCCATCTGCAGTATACATCTACTGTATAACAGTATTATACCACTTTAAAACAGCTATAGCTTTCCCCCAAAGAACTGTAGTTTGTTGAAAGTGCTGATAATTTTTAGGAGACCCCTATTCCTCTCCCTTCGCAGAGCTACGATTCCCGGAGTTCCCTGGGAAGAGGGATTGGCTCTTAAACCACTCTGAGAATTCCCAGAATTTGGGGGTGAGAGAGGAGTCAAGGTGCTTTAAATGTGTGCTGAATGTGAGGTGTGGATCTTTGTGTTGGTTTTCTGTGTGTTTGCCTGTGATGCTCTCCAGCTTTCTAGGAGCCGACCTCAGCTGTCCGACATTAGGTTGCTTGTGGCTACTTCTGAGCATAACACGACAACAGAAAGCCATGGTCATATTCTGACTGCAACACATTTTTATGCTTTTTAAAATTCCAGTGTGCCCGTCTGCAAGCCCACAACTGCCAGATTGAGAGCAAGTACCTGATGGTTCTGCGGAAGCTGCAAGGCCTACCGGACTTTGCCAGTGAGCATGTGGAAATGCTGAAGGCCCTTATCCAGGAAGCACTTCAGTGGGGTGTGAAGGAAGAAGCCATGATCCCTGTACATCTCAGCCCAATCAAGTAATGGCTGTGTGTGTGTGTGTGTGTGTGTGTGTGTGTGTGTGCGTGTGTGTGTGTGTGTGTGTTTAAAATAGATGCAGTGCTCTTTTATTTTCACCAGGCTCGCTGTTTCTGGAATATGATGCTGGTCTAGATTGGTCTGATTCATCAGACAATCCTTATATTCTTACTGTCAGTGAGCTGTCATTGGCAGATTATCAGATAAAGCTTTATTTGATAATCCTATTTTTAATCCACAAAGGCACATTTTCACTTGTGGGGCTGCGAGGTGAGGGTACACTCGCTTACATTATGAGGTTACCTTTGATTTTGGTGTGCTACTGTAGTAGAGAAAGGCAAAAGAAAATATGAGCTGGTTTTTCCTTCAAACAGTCAGTGGTAGCATTTTATATCACCGTATTTTTCGCTCTATAAGACGCACCAGACCACAAGACGCACCTAGTTTTTGGAGGAGGAAAACAAGAAAAAAAAAATTCTGAATCTCAGAAGCCAGAACAGCAAGAGGGATCGCTGCGCAGTGAAAGCAGCAATCCCTCTTGCTGTTCTGGCTTCTGGGATAGCTGTGCAGGCTGCATTTGCTCCATAAGACGCACACACATTTCCCCTTACTTTTAGGAGGGGAAAAGTGAGTCTTATAGAGCAAAAAATATGGTATTCTTAAACTGTACATTAGCTTACTTTTTTATTGTCAAAAAGGCACCTACATTAAGATCTTTGGCAAGATACATTTTTAAAAATAATGATAATTGTTAGCAGAAAGTTTACAAACTTTTCTTTAATTAATTTGACAGCTCTAGAACTTGATGTTTTTCCCATATTCTTCTCTTTTCCCCGTTCAGCCAGTATGATGACTATGGGTTTATGACAATTCCTGAGTACGAAGCTGCAGACTGGAAGCTTCTGGCAAAAATCCAGGCTCTGGAGATCAAATCCAGTAACCTCCTGAACCAGGATGCCATGGAGAAAACTCTCTCTGACCGGTGGAATAATCTTGGGGAACTAGCTCCCTCCTCAGAGCTAAAGAGCCTGCTGCGCTGTGGCGTCCCAATAGACCACCGCCAACGAGTGTGGAGATGGATTGTGAGCAGGCGGGTACAGCAGTTTCGCTCTCCAGGCCATTACCAAAACTTGCTCAAGAAGTGTGAAGCTGCTGAGCACCCAGCTTCCCGACAGATTGAACTGGATCTGCCTCGCACGCTCACCAACAACAGGCACTTCAATTCACCTGCTTCCCAGCTTCTTCCCAAACTCCGAAGGATTTTGCTTGCATTCTCTCTGCAAAATCCCACCATTGGCTATTGCCAGGGACTGAACAGGTAAAGGGTGCTAGCTCATTGCTGACCTTTTTAAACTCTTTGTTTGCAACAAATATTAGGGTCAGTAATAATAATAATTTACAGTGGTATAATAATAATAATTTACAGTGGTACCTTGGTACTCGAACGGCGTGGCTCCTGAACAAATCGGCTCCTGAAGGCCGCAAACCCGGAAGTGAGTGTTCCGGTTTGCAAACGTTTTTTGGAAGCCAAATGTCCAACGTGGTTTCCAACTGGCTGCTGCAGCCAATTGGAAGCCACGCCTTGGCTTTTGAACCTTTTCGGGAGTCGAATGGACTCCCAGAACAGATTAAATTCGAGAACCAAGATAGCACTGTATATACCGCCCTATACCCAGACACGGGTGGCGCTGTGGGTTAAACCACGGAGCCTAGGACTTACTGATCAGAAGGTCGGCAGTTCGAATCCCCACGACGGGGTAAGCTCCTGTTCCTCGGTCCCTGCTCCTGCCAACCTAGCAGTTCGAAAGTACATCAAAGTGCAAGTAGATAAATAGGTACCGCTCCGGCGGGAAGGTAAACGGTGTTTCCGTGCGCTGCTCTGGTTCACCAGAAGCAGCTTAGTCATGACCCGGAAGCTGTACGCCGGCTCCCTCGGCCAATAAAGCAAGATGAGCGCCACAACCCCAGAGTTGGCCTTGACTGGACCTAATGGTCAGGGGTCCCTTTACCTTTACCTATACCCAGAGGTCTCAGGGTAGTCCACAGAACAAGATCAACATACAAACCAAAATATATAGTATCAAAATAAAAACAACCCACTAACACCCCCATCTGACCAGATTGCCCCAGCCACTCTGGGTAGCTCCCAACACAATATTAAAAACATGCTAAAACACCAAACATTAAAAACTTCCCTATACAATCTAAGTATAATGTGAAAAATTAGTCATGAGATGCATTTGACAATGACTCCAGCTGGAACTGCTGTGTTCTGACAAAGCTATAGGTGTACATGAAACCATACAAACAACCAAATGTTTTCTTGTGCCTATTTGCACCTGTGCTGCTGAAAAGATGAGCTGCTCTTACTCAAAGGTTGCCAACCTTTTTTTGGGCCCAGGGGCCATGGCCATATTGGGAATGTTGAGAGAGTATCATGGTCACCAGTGAGAAAATGGCTGCCTTGGAGCGTGTGGCATAACGCAAAATGGCTGCTGCATCTGAAAGAGAGACTGAGACAGAAATGATGTGGGCGCTGCCACCGCCACGCTGCCCCGCCAGCTACCCACAGTCAATGGGGGAAAGGCACCTACCTCAGCTTACTCTGCACTCACTTGTCGAGAGAAGCTATTTGTATCTCTCCTCTGTTCAGAACCATAGCTGTCAACTTACAGATTTGAAAATAAGGGACCAGTAGCCTCGAAAATAAGGGATCAGCAGCCAAAATAAGGGATTTTAGTCAACCAGCAGCCAAACAAAGCCTCAAGCGGTGGTTCCCACAGCTCAGCAACCCAGCAAAGGGGATGCAGCAAGGAAAACCACCATCACCTCTCCGCTGGGAAGCGCTGAGCAAAGGCGAGTCCCCAGGCAACGCAGCTGATTTGATCAACACAAGGCATGCAAGCTCCATCCCCCAGTTGTTCTTAGACTCCTTACTGGGTGAGCAACGCAGCCAAGCAACACAGTTGGAGCCTCCCTCCTCCCTGGCTGGCAGGGAGGGAGAGAGAGGAGCTGCTTCCTTTGAAACCCGGGAAATTTAAGGGACATCATCAATAAGGAACAGCAGCGGGACACAGTGCTGGGATAAGGGACTTTCCCACCAAATAAGGGACGGTTGACAGCTATGTTCAGAACAGGTGTGTTTCCAATTCTGGCAACCAGTGAAATATGTGCATGCAACAAGTTTAAGAGTGTTGTGTTCAGTGCAGGAAAAGGAAGTGCAAACAGAAAATGACCAGGAAGATGAGTCAGTCTCTTGTGTGCTGTAGCTTTTTGAAGGAATATTTACTGAGACCTTTCAAAGACACCATAGAAAGAACCGCCAGGGCACCATAGTAAGAACTGGCAGCTACTATGGTACCTGCTTTATAGTTACATTAACAAGTGGGCTGCCTATTTATTTACCACATGTAGTGTTAAGTTTCAGAAGAAACTTCCTGCTTCTTCGCCATTTTCCTCTTGTGGGAATTTTCCAGCTTGAAGGACCGTAGCTGTAAGAACCGCCTGCCAATGTTGCCTGCTTTCCTTAACAGTGATGTCTCTTTATTCATCCCAGATTGGCAGCCATTGCACTACTGGTTCTAGAGGAAGAGGAAATCGCTTTCTGGTGCCTAGTTCATATCACTGAAAACCTAATGCCTGCAGATTCTTATAGTAACACACTAATAGGCTCACAAGTAAGTCTGGGACTCCCCACCAAGCCATACAATAGGACAGTCATGGGTGAAAGGAAAACGGGTTGTTTTAAAAGGATTGCATATTCTTAAAATGGAAGTGGTGCTTCTAGAGGAAAAATTCCAACGCACTTCACATAGGTGTTGGCACAGGCCTGGCTTACATCGTTCTGCGATTCATGTTAATCTAGGCAGTTGATTATTTAACAAAATAATGGAACTTCACACCTAATCCAGTGGTTTGCATGATGTCAAGAATCAAATTGTCCTTAAAACTAATTAATTTGTTCTTCACTGTGGCCTAATTTGGACATAATGCAAAGCCAAACTACCGTATTTTGCGCTCCATAGGACGCTCCGGCCCAAAGGACGCACCTAGTTTTTTGGGGGGGAAATAAAGAAAAAAAATTTTATTTCCCCCCCCCAGGTGCGGGGCTGGAAGAACTAGGTCGGGGAACAGCGGGAAGGTGCGCTCTGCCTCCCCGCTGTCCCCCGAGCTTGTGGGGCTGGCGATGGGGAGAAGTGCGCTAATCCTGGGACTGCAGGCAGCTCTGCGTGGCCATCAGGAGCGGGGCGGGACTTCGCGCCCGGCTCCCGGTGGCTGCGCAGAGCTGCGCTGATCCCGGGACGGCAGGCAGCTCTACGCCGCCATCCGGAGCGGGGCGGGACTTTGCGCCCGGCTCCTGGTGGCCGCGCAGAGCTGCGCTGAGCCCGGGACTGCAGGCAGCTCTGCGCAACCCTCGGAGCCGGTCTCCCGAGGGTTGCGCAGAGCTCCTGAGCCTGGAGAGCGAGAGGGTCGGTGCGCACCGACCCCTCTCGCTCTCCAGGCTTCAGCGAAAGCCTGCATTCGCCCCATAGGACGCACACACATTTCCCCTTCATTTTTGGAGGGGAAAAAGTGCGTCCTATAGGGTGAAAAATACGGTAGTTTGGCATAAAGTTACACCCAAACCAATCAATTGTAGCTCATACCAATGTGATCATCAGTACCGTGGGATTACCTGTTTTTTAAAGGTTATTTTTTTAGGGGGGAGTGCAAAAAACCCCTTTTGGTATCACAGAAGGGACCTATGGGAGAGTCAGTAACACACACACACACTTAAGAAAAAAATGACCAAAGGGAGCGGGGTTTGGAGGGCCACACACACAAATCATTTTGTAACCACAATATCAGAGTGGGGAAGCTTTGGAAGCAGATTTTGTGCTCGTTCTCTTGGTTCTGCCTCCACTGCAGAAAGTACAGTGGTGCCTCGCAAGACGAAATTAATCCGTTCCGCGAGTCTCTTCGTCTTGCGGTTTTTTCGTCTTGCGAAGCACGGCTATTAGCGGCTTAGCGGCTATTAACGGCTTAGCGGCTTTAAGAAAAAGGAAACAAACTCGCAAGAACTCGCAAGACGTTTTGTCTTGCGAAGCAAGCCCATAGGGAAATTCGTCTTGCGGAACGACTCAAAAAACGGAAAACTCTTTCGTCTTGCGCATTTTTCGTCTTGCGAGGCATTCGTCTTGCGAGGTACCACTGTATAACAATAGCTTGTGTGTGTATCTCTATAACTGTATTGTGCTGCAAGTCGAAAGTTTTGATTTTGTTAGATCGGTCAGGTGTTTACGAGTACAGTTAACCCCTGTGGATTTTGGAGGAGTCTGAGAAGGTGCTGATAAAGCATCCTTTCAAATGTGGTTATTGGTTCTTATTGTTGTTTTGCTGAATCCAGGTGGATCAAAGAGTCTTTAAAGATTTCTTGTCAGAGAAGCTTCCCAGGCTGGCAGCTCATCTGGAGGAGCACCGAATCGACTTGGGTCTGGTGACCTTCAATTGGTTCTTGGTTGTATTTGTAGACAGTCTTGTTAGCGATATCCTCTTCAGGGTATGGGATGCCTTTCTCTATGAAGGTACTAAGGTAAGTGTATCCCTGCCTCCTATCTCTCCTATGTCTCCTATCCCTTCTCACTTCATATATCAGTCTCCGCAGAGATGTTTTAGCAACCAGGCATTTAGGACAGGCTTCTATTGAACCTGTACCTTCCTGCCTCAGTGACATTACCTTTATCGTCTGTGTGGCTATGACTGCATCCCTCCTGTGACTTCCCCCTGTCAGCCATGTTTTTCTTTGTCCCAGGTGATATTCCGTTACGCTCTGGCAATATTTAAATACAACGAAGAAGCGATACTGAGGATCCAGGACAGCCTGGAAATTTACCAGTACATGCGTTTTTTTACCAAAACCATCTGTGATGGCAGGTAAGGATGATTTCAGGAAGTGTTTGGGATGGGGATTGTGGTTGTCAGGTGATAGTTTGTCATTCAGAGAACTGGAAAAATTCAAAAACTGGGATTGAGGCAGGCACAGATCAGGAATAAGCAATAGCAAGAGACTGATTTATGAAACCCTTCTTACGAATGGAACACGCTTGAACAGGGCGGAAAGGGTGAAATGGCTGCTGAGTGATACTGATGACTTTGTAACTTCTAAAGTGGCACTATATGCGTTGGGCAGCTAAGAAGATTAGGAGAAAAGAACTAGATAAAATATTCGGACATTTAAGCTGGCACATTCTATCCGAGAATCCCCTGCTATTATATCATATACAACAAATAATTTCTAGGAGATGTGACCGTTCATTGTATTCGCAGTCCCTGATGTTTTTATGGTGTTTATGGTTATTGCTGTCTTTTTGTTTCCTTTGTGAATGATGCCATGGCCTTTGGCTAGTGCAATAAAGTTGTTGTTGATGATGATGAATAGCATTGACGCCATGTTTATCTGAGGCAAACCAGAAGCTACGAACCAAGCCAAATACACCTAGATTAGGGCTAAAGTGAAACCTTTTTCTCTCACACACAGAGACATGCTGGAGCCATTTCCCTCATACTGATGGGCAACACTGCATATGAGGTGCTGATCAGATGGGGAAATGTTCACACTCCAGTTGCGTGGGGCAGCACCACAGGGAAGTGGCTTCCACGTGATGCGGTGTGTGAAAATAATGGCTGAGGCAACACTGAAACTGAACAAATACTCCTTTAAAAGTATACCCGCTTATATATACCCTTGGGCTCTGAGGTGAATCCTGCCTCTTCTTGAATGTGTGTGCCATGTATTTGATAGTTTCATTGATCACCGTCAAATATAACCTGCACATCTAAAACATAGGTCCATGTTATTGTATATAATAATCCCTTATTCCAGGAAATCCTGGGGTTCTTCGGAAAGCTTATCAGGAGTGTTTAATGAGCAGATCAGTAATGGTTGACCAGTTTTCCTGAAGGACAGATGTCCTGCTAAAACTCATTTTCCCTCTGTAATGCTTAGCCTCTGGGTAGTTTTGGGTGTGTTCTAGATTGCATTCTCATTTCACAGAAGGTGGCAGACCGGCCCGGCCCTACCATTAGGCATAGTAAGGCTGATACCTCAAGCTGAGGTTTCTGGGGGGTCAGGGCACCTGTGAAGTACTAGAAAACAGAGCTGTGTGAACCCCATGGCCGGATTGAGGTTTGATGAGGCCCTAAGCTACTGAAGGTAATGGGGCCCTTTATATGTGATAGTTTAGGGAGAGGGCTAGCAGGCGGGGCCCATTACTTACATCATAGGAGCCTACACAACACAACACATTGTTGCTCTATGTAGGTTTTATTTTATTTATTTTTATCTTATATTTTGGAAATGTACATCCAGGTTATTTTCCTTTAATTTTTTGGGCGGCCCCCAAGAGAGTGGGGCCCTAAGCTATAGCTTATTTAGCTTATACATAAATCCGGCACTGCCTATAGCCTAAATGAGCCTTAGGAGCAGTGTAGGATGCTGTCCCATTGCCAGTGTTTAAGAATCCACTGCAAATCCAGTACATAAAAGGAGCAACATTTTGACCATGACTTCAGACAGCAAAATTACTTGGGGCAGCCCTGTAATTTAGTCCAGTAGACTTGGCTATGTGCTCACCCTAAAACATTCCCCAGAATCTTCTGTACTGAAGAGAGGTTCCTTCCTTAGCAGAAAAATAATTGTGGAAAATACCAGTAGTAAATTTTGAAATACTGTTTTAGAACAGTAGTGCAGAGAACCAGTAAATTGGTCTGGCACAGAACTGCATCTAAGGGTGTTTCTAATCTTATGTGGCCTGAAATATGAGGGCCTGGTGCAGAGAAGACCCAGAGCTTTGATCCCTGGGTGACACTTTCTGTCTTTGGAAGACAAACCTCTTTCAGAAATTGTGTGCGGGAAGCCAAAATAGCATGTAGAATTCCCACAAGTCTCTCTTCAATGTCTACTTAGTCCAAGCTACCTTTAAAAATTCTGGCTCATATGCTTGCCCTCTTCCAGGAAGCTGATGAACATCGCCTTCAGTGACATGAACCCATTTCCCATGAAAGTTTTACAAAATCGGCGCCGAGTGTACAGGTTAAAACTGGAGTCTGAGATGAGAGAACTGGAGCAGATAAAAGTCGAGTACATGAAGGAACAGGCAGAACATGCTGCCAGCAACTCGAATGGAGCCGTGAGTGAGGATGAAGAAGATATGTAACTCCAGTTTCCTCCTCACAGCTGGCCTTCAAACATAAATTTTCACTACTTTGGAAACAAAAAAGTGTTAACACTAGCTACCCATGAGCAAAGATGCACTGGATTGTCTTCAAGTGAATTGGAAAGAAATCATGTACTTTGGAAGCCTTGTTTCTCACTAAGGCCTTTTCTTGACGTAGTGTGTGGTGTACAATATTTCCAAGAAGTCACCGCACCAGAAAATCTCTACTGTCTGCTTCCCTTTTTGGATAACATCAGGTATTGTAGATCTCAATTTAGAGGTCTGTCCCCATTCCTCAACCCACAATCCATCACTCTGGGCCTATGTGGTTTCTGTACTCACAGATACAAATTAAATACCTGAGACAACAAGCTAGTGAAGTACCAGCACTTAACTATCTTGTGGTCTCCTCATGAGGACCAGTCATATATCTGTGCATACATACACACACTCAGATAAATGTCCCTGTGGATGTGCTAATCAGTGGATTTGGAGCTGATTTCCATATACATTTCACACACTAAACTCTATGTGAAATTCTTTTCCTTCTGCTTTTCTGGTTTTGTAAGGAATTGGCGATGTGGTACATACATGCACGTACACAGAAACTACCAAAAATCACTTGCTGGACAGGTTTCCTGATCAGCCCGCTTAGAGGGGATATTCTGATGTTTGCTTAGCACCCTGTCCATGAGTTTTCGGATATTTCACATCTTCTCTCAACCCCCACTCCCAAATGCATGTACTTAGTGTGGCTCTACATTAGGTGCTCACCAGTAGAAGTCAGTTTACAATAAATCTATGTAGGAGTGCCATACTGGCCAAAAAATACCAAGAAGTGGAATTCCTTGTGTTGAAGCAACAGTGAAACTTGAGTGTGTACAGACTATTTCTTTACATGTTAGTAAAAGGTAGATTATAGGGACGCGGGTGGCGCAGTGGGTTAAACCACAGAGCCTAGGGCTTGCTGATCAGAAGGTCGGCGGTTCGAATCCCCGTGACGGGGTGAGCTCCCGTTGCTCGGTCCCTGCTCCTGCCAACCTAGAAATTCAAAAGCACTTTAAAGTGCAAGTAGATAAAATGATAAATAGGTACCGCTCCAGCAGGAAGGTAAATGGTTTTTCCGTGCGCTGCTCTGGTTCTCCAGAAGCGGCTTAGTCATGCTGGCCACATGACCCGGAAGCTGTACACTGGCTCCCTCGGCCAATAAAGCGAGATGAGCGCCGCAACCCCAGAGTCGGCCACGACTGGACCTAATGGTCAAGGGTCCCTTTACCTTTAAAAGGTAGATTAAGCATTCCAGGAAAGGGCATTCTCTTGACGTATTGCAAAAAAATTATCTTGCTGGTCTCAGGATTCTAACTGTTATGATAGATGGGGCAGGTCCATTCCCCCCACTCCCTGTGAAAGTGTCAACATTATGAGGGCTGTCCAGTCCAAGGCCGTGTACAAAGCATACATTTAAAGGCGCCCCCCCCCCCAAACAAAGAATCCTGGAAATTGTAGTTTGCCTCTCACAGAGCTAAAATTTATAGGGCCCTTGACAAACTACAGTTTCTAGGATTCTTTGGAGAGAATGTGTTTTAAATGTTTGAACACCTCCCTCATTCTCTTAGAATGGCAATGGGGCCTACCTGAGAGGTGCCAAAACTGAGTTTCGGTGACTTTTGGCTGGAAAAAGAAAGCCCTGGTTATGTCCCTCATTTTCTTTTTCCTTTCAAATTCATTTTGCACGTACAGTGGTGCCCCGCAAGACGAATGCCTCGCAAGACGGAAAACCCGCTAGACGAAAGGGTTTTCCGTTTTTGAGTTGCTTCGCAGGACGAATTTCCCTATGGGCTTGCTTCGCAAGACGAAAATGTCTTGCAAGTCTTGAGATTTTTTTTTCGCTTCCCCCCCCCTTTTTCTAAGCCGCTAAGCCGCTAATAGCCTTTTAGCAGCTAAGCCGCTAAGCCGCTAAGCCTTTAATAGCCGCTAAACCGCTAATAGTGCTAATCCGCTAAGCCGCTAATAGGGTTGCTTCGCAAGACAAAAAAACCGCTAGACGAAGACACTCGCAGAACGGATTAATTTCGTTTTGCGAGGCACCACTGTATTTACTCTTCCCCTGTGCCATTTTGAATGCACTGACTTTATGTATTTATTGTTTATGTGTTTCCTTTTGACTCCAAATGGGATTCCATGCCAATTCCCAGTGTTTCATGGGGGCCTAGGCCTCCTGAAAGATTCAGGGTTCACAAATCGCTTTTATCTAGTGCATTTCCCAGTCAATCCTGCCAGTCTTTGCTGGGAAGCTGGTCATATGCAGTTCCAAATTGGTAGCTTGCAAGTTGAAACCAAGTTTCAAGGACCACATCTCAACATGGACCATGAGATCATCATCTGAGGCCCTTCTTCATGTACCTCCTCTGTAAGAGGTCTGGGGGGTAGCAACACGAGAACGGGCCTTTTCTGCAGTGGCTCTCCCCACGGTGGTTTGCCTGGCGCCTTCATTATACCCCTTTAGGGTCCAGCAAAAACATTCCTCTTCAACCAGGCTTTGGGTTGACTGACATCTAATGCCCATTTAAATGTGTTGTGGGAGGGATGATTATTGGTTTGTTTTTGTTCCTGTTTTTATTTTGTATTTTGTGTTTTTTATATTGTAATTTTATGTTGTGAACTGCCCTGAGATCTACGGATAAAGGGCAGTATACACATAATAATAATAATAATAATAATAATAATAATAATAATAAGCTGAATTAGAGCAAGGTTGCTTTTGATTGAGGCCATTTTAGGCCAGTGCTAGAGCTCCTAGCCTCAAGGAATTCTTTATACAAGGGGTTGGGAAAACTGTTCCTGCTAGAGGGCCACATTGACTTGCGAGGCAACCTTTCAGGGGCCGCATGGCCGTGATAAAATGGGTGGAGCAACTAGTGTTAATTTGAACTTTGCACAGAAGAGATTGCTTCAGCACACACTTGCTCATCCTCTCTTATCCAGGTAAGCAAGAAGCATTATTGGAGTTCAGGGACACATTTTAGCCAGGTGAAAACACTAGAGGGTACACAACAGGGGTGCTAAGGCCTGGGGTGATTCCTGAGGGTCAGAAAGAGACCCAGAGGGCTGATTTCAGCCTCTGAATCCCAGGTCCGCCAACCCTGCTTTACACCAAAGCAGACCATAACCCAACACTGCAGCTCAGGCCAATAGCAGGTATGTAAGGTCTTTCCCTGCTTTTAACTTATTTCTTTGCCTTTAACTTCTTTTTAACTGTCAACTGAGGACTGAACTTCACCAGAAAGCTACAGTCTCATGTTTCTCTCATCCTCTCAGGTTAGCCTTTATATACTCATGGATTTCCAGTGTGTTTTGACAACATTATCTAACATGTTTTTTAAAAAGGAGGCGCAGGAAAGCTTTTGCTACCTGTACAAAAACATCCAGGGTTGTTGCCAAAGATGCTAGCTAAAGAAGAGCTTTACATCTGTCTTAAAGTGAGTAATCTTTGCCTTAGTACTGTAATATTCCTGGAAGCATTTTTCCTTTGCACTGAATTGGCTGCTAACTTGTACTGCTCCTCGAACAACAGCTTCCGTGGCCTCTACCTTTTATGTTACTGATGAAGAATATATATTGGTCGTTCTTATCTGCACTGTCACGTACATGCTGCTTCATGTAAGCTCCACAGGGGATAAATAAAGGGAGATCATTGAGCAAGAGGGGATCTTCATTCTCTGTTTCTTTTTCTGCTTACCACTCTGCCATCAGTGATATTAGGATATTGTCTGGGAAAAGAGCTGGGGTATGTGACTGGTAGCTGAATGTGCAAGCTGACTATCGAAAAGTATTTGTATCTGAGACATTCAGGCAAACAGATCTGTATAAAGAGACCAGATTTCATACAGTTGCCCATCTTTCTTGTGTTTATGGAAGCAGAGATGTACCTAGGCTCCCTTGCGCCCTTGGCAAGATGCTGTATTGGTGCCTCCAGAGCTGTGAGACACCATGGATTAGAAATGCTAAAAATTTGCTTTTGTCGCCTTTCGTGCTCCGCCAATGACTTCCTTCGTGGTCATCAGGGTCTGCCCTGCTTCTCCTCCATTGGTCCATCTGTCTGCCTGTCTTGACCACCGGGTGTCGAACACACTTCCACCCGCAGACAAGCCTCAGCTGTCTGACCGCGTGACCTTTGGGTGTGGAGCACACTTCCACCCACAGACAAGCCACAGCTGTCTGAACATGATGCCCTCTATCTAATATTTGCTCTCTTAGTGGTCTGCCGTGCCCTGTCTGTGACCTTTGTCTCCTTCATCATACATTGTTCAAGAGGAAAGTGATGCGGTGGAAACAGGTGCCAAAATAACTTTGTACCACCCCTCGATCTTGGCATTGGAAGATGTGTAAAGTTCACAGTCTAAAATGTATCTGACTGGTTTTGCATATTGTGCTAGTAAAAGGAGCCTCAGCAGAGCTAGCTGGCAGCTTGCTTATGCACAGCTCACCTGCATTACCAACTCCCGCCTCATGCCTTCCCTTCCCCTCCCTTCCTTTTTCCTCCTGCAACTCTCACCTGCTCCCTCTTTCGTCCCTCTCCAGGAGCCTGCATGCATCGCCCAGCCTCCTGGAGCACCCTCTGGGAGCGTGCAGGCTCCTAGCCACTCCAAGCCCAAGTTGAGAAGTACAATTTTTCTGCCCCCCTGAGTCTGCACCCTTGGTGGGGGCCAACCTCTAGGGGCACCCCTGTATGGAAGGTCAACTCCTCATGTGCTGCCAGTTGAGTCGAGTCCTCTGCCCACTGTACAACTGGGGAAGGAGGTGGGGAGAGACTTTGCCTTCCAGTGTTGAAGTTTTAAAACATTTAGCCACCCTTCAGCTCTCAGTAAATCTCAAGGAGGTACTCAAAACCGTATTTATGCAGCTGATGACCTTTCACCAAAATAGTGACTCAAGCACAGGGCTCTGTCTTCTACAGTTTTGCAGCTGTAATACACACAACATCCTGGTATCCTCCATAT